TGTTTCATGTATAAATTACAAAACTGCTGTGTTTTTTTTTCATGGACTGTAAATAACCTTGAAGGTATCAAAAGGACTATTCAGTGTGCTTATACTTCGGAATATGTACATTCTGTCATTCTAGCAATTAGAAACTAAATTTCCTCTATTGAAAAATTAATGATATTTATTGTTATATAAATATTTCGAATTAAGATTCTAAATAGCGAAAGTTTCATGTCATTTAACGAATTCTGCAGCCTAATTGCACTTTGAAAGAATGAAAAGATTTCACTTTGAGTAAATTGTTGAGATATTTAATGCGTAAATATCGATTTTATGAATAGAATGTGGAAATGTTCTAACAGCCAATGCAATATACTATTATCCAAAAACTCATTGTTGCATTGCTCACCGTACTCGGATACCACAAAAATATAAAAAGCAAATTTTATTTCAATTTTCTCAACACTCCTGTTGATTTCCTGGAGTTTTTCCGAAGCGAATTAACCAATATTGTCAATTTAATTTTTAGAAATCATGTAATCGGAAGGGCGCATATCATGTATTCTAGTCGTAATTGAGCATCTCCGTGTTTCCAGCTATATGAATTTTATAAATCTTTGTATATTTTTATAACACATTTCCGCTTTATTTCACTTCCAGACGCTGTCCTTGATTCGAAAAGCGGAAAAGTTGATAAAGTTGAATGCCCGAGGCGAGAAGTTCGTAATTTGCTCCCATATCTGCAAGTCGGGAACGATGTTAGCCTATTCTGATACGAAAAATTCCCGTTTGTTTACCCTAGAAGGCGGTGGAAGTAAATTAACAAAAATCAGGTTAACCAAGCCGCTAGACCCTAGTTGGAAAATTTTGGTGTTAGCAGACGCCGTTATCTGCTGTCAATCACATGGCAAAGTCTTACTGATTGACGTTCGAGACGACTGTCAAGTTTTTACAATAAAGGAGGGTGGTAAGTAACTCCATCAGTAATATGAACTAACAAAATGGTCTTCTTTGATGAATCTGACTGAAAGCCACACCCCTTAGGTGTTTTGTCATAAGGAGACTACATAAGCGTATTCCATTACATTAACAAGTATAACTAATGAAAGAATATAGTAAAGGTGTGAAATGCGTTGGCTTTTGATGTCAGATCTCCGACAATCTTATATAAATAATAGCCTACATCTTTAATTTGTTCTTGTATAAATGCATATTCTTTTGTAGGAGATGTCATATCCGTACTAAAGACTAGTGAGGATGAAAAGTATTTTGCACTGGGAGATCATGGATCCAACATTGAGGTTTACGACGTCAAAACCAGAGAAGTATGAGTTCATTTACATTAATAAGGATTATTAAAGATTAGTGTCTTAGAGATGAGCAAAGTATCATCTGATTGTCACATAGACAAAAAATCCAATTATAATTGATTCGAATATTCTTTAAAAACTCTTAAAAAGAGTTACCCTGTACAACAGCGATATGACATTAACGCCTAATAAACAAAAACTCAAGTAAAAAAACACCACGGCTAAGTCATAAAAAAAACGACAATATGCGATTGTTCACAAATCCAGACCGTTTTTTCTATTTTTAACTCTATTTACTTAAAATCCTCGTTCTGATTTTGGTTAACTTCTATTACACCAATTTAAAAGTCTACGAGTTCCAGTAAATTTTATGCTTAAGCCTCCTTCCAACGGTTGGCTCGATTGGAAACTATGTGATTCCTATTCATTATTGATAAAAGAAGCTGTGTGTTGTTTGCAATCGATCAGATCGTTGGAGGGCGGTGTTTTGCTAAGTGGAATATCTACTATATATTATCTTTGGTATATTTTATCGAACAATAAAGTCAGTTGACAAGTGCCGAGACGAAAATAGGCAATTTTGTCATATTTATATGAAATACGTGACAGTCGAATTAAAATGAATTATCATATTTTCAGATGGTCTACAACCTACCGCAATACAGCACTGCTCAACCGACCGCAATGGCCTTTCATCCGCAACTTCCGCTCCTAATCGCCAGCTATTCGGACGAGAAGGTTAGCTAAATGCTAATTAAGTATACATTATACAGCCGTTTCTTTGTTCGAAGGCACCCCGAGACGCCGTCGTTCTCACTTCCGGCGTCTCCTATTTCTATTATTAGTCTAGGTGCTAATTAAACGTCTATTCACTCTGATTAAGATTGATCATGAAAATTATCAGCAATCGGATTAGAACCATTAATCACCAGAAGCGGAAAAGCGTTCAATAACTGACCTATTTTTGCTCTTTTAAATTAAGCCGCGATATATTGCATATACAGATACGCAAACATATTGAAAAACAACCCCACTTTTGCATGTGTAGTAGTTGAATTTGCTTCATTTTACTATAAGTCAAATGTTAAATCCTCAAATTATCGATTTTTTTTTTACTTTCCCTAGATATTTGAATTCGATTCTGAGAAAGGTCAATATACTCAAAGAGCCTTAGTTTTGAACGACACCTGGCGGTCTAGACGCTTTTTGGGAGATGTTGTCGTGAATATTCAGTACGAGACAAATAACAATAAGATAATTCTTCAAACGCACTCAACGATTTCCATTATTGATCCATCTGGAACCCAAAGAGACGGTTTGCACGAATGTAAAGAGTTTAAGGTATATACTAAAACATAATGTCAAATGCTTACTTACTTGTTTCTCTTCCTGTAGTACATTCTTTATGGACAAAGTTTCAATGGGCAAATGGTTGTCGTTGAACAAACACCTGATAGAATAGCAAACAATTTCCCAGCTGCTCTGAGAAAGAAACAGTTTGGAACATGATAGAAGAATTCTGAAATAATACGTTGCTATGATGTTAGAATACTATTTGTTGATCTTTTCTAAGGAAAATACAAGTGCTTTGATACAGTTGTATGTGACGCTTTCCATTTGTGAATTTCATTAAAAAAGACGTACAATCTTTTGATAAACTGTAAAAAAATTGATTTTTAAACACCGATTGTATATTTAAGCGTATTAAATGCGTTATGCACCTAAAACATGTGACCTTTAACAGCCTTAAACAAAAAACTGTATTTTCTTGCTTCATTATTAAATTTAATTATAACAAGACCGCTTAAAGGCGGCAGATCATTTGTCAAAAAAAAAGAAAAATTGTTGTTTTGCGTCATTTCTTTAGACTGTACAATAAAGAAGTTTTTTACACCGAGATAAATAGCACAATCTCACTGGCCTTTTGAAGACCGGGAAACTCACTAGTTCATTCGTACATTTGGGAGAAGAGGAAGATCGGTCTAAGACCGTATTCACGCTCTATATGGAGGAGGAGAACCAACACTGACACTATTGCTCCTAGGAGGTTCTTCAGGTCGAGATCGTCGTAGACCTGACAATGAATTGTGCCTGGTTGTATTCACGACTGGTATCCGACTGTAGGGAGGAGGGGCGTCTTCGGCTTTAACATTTGGAGGGGCTATGACGGTCGGGAAGCGTGCTCCGTCGTCAACGACGACATCTGAAGGGTCATGAGAAAAACCCTCACCGTCACCGGATCTCGCTACGTGGCAGGGCTGACGAATTGGCGAATACGAAACCTGAAAGGAAAATGAAGAATTAAGAACGAAATATAATCAAAAATCAAAACAACAAGAGACTGTAGTGCGAGATTTCCATTACAAACTTACGTCGGTCGTTTTACTACACTGACTAGAGACGCGTTTTGCGTGTTTGATCTGCTTTGATCGTGGCTGTCGAAGGTGTTTTCGTTCTACGGACTTCTCCTTCCTCTTAACAAAATCTTCTAAAAAGCATAGAAATTTCTGAGCGCAATAAGTTCGCCCAGACATTTCCTACGCTGTTACTCGTCCGACACTGACGGTCGGCTAGCAGTTACAAAAGAGATAGGGGATTTCACTAGAGTTCAGCCAATCAGCGCGCTCGAATATGAATGACGTCACTAATGCATATTTATTAGCCTGGAAATCCAGACGTGCGCTAGACGGACGGATTGTAGGCCTAGTTTTTGCGGGCAAGTTTTATCACTTATATATTATTATCATTTACCTGAGTTTGCTGGGAGGACAGAGAAGCTGGTAACAAGCTTCCCCTCCTTGCTCTTTGTCTTCTGCACAATAGCACTAGAGAGAAGGCGAATGCTAAACAGACAGCCATAGCAAGACAGCCAAATAAAGCAGTTTTAGACGATATTGTCTTTTTTTCTTCACATAAGAACCTCCGATCGTTTATACACAAGGCTTCACATCCACATGAGTCGTTTAAGCGCACTTTGTAGACGACGCTCCAAATTTTCTTTGACTTTCGCGTTGCCCATTTAAATTCAACACCCAATTGTTCTGACAAATCGTATTTTTCGGCAGTGAAATTTGAATTTGTCAAAGGCCTCTCTTGGATTTCGATTGATGCCCGGCAGCAATCTGAAGCGTTGAATAGGAGATTTAAGTGATGATTGGAAGAACGTAAGAAGATTAGGCAAGAAGGCGAAGGCCTGATGAGCTCTTGTTTACTAATTGTTATAGCGTCGCATGCCTTATCATCTGTGATAACAAAAAAGTTGGGTAATTAAATTCAATAGTCAAGGTAGCCGCTCTTCTCGTCAAATGATAGTTAAATAAAAGCAATACATCAAAAAGTAAGATATGTAAATTTCAATCATTTGCATTGTATTTAACTACTCAAAAATCTGCCATTTACCGCCTTTAGAGAACCAGTATGTATAACCATGCTGGAATTTTTAATACTGAGTTTATGGTGCGAAAATGAATAGGGGAAATACAAAGCTAATTCAGGTATGTAACATAATATGAAATGTCACGTGACTAGAAAAAAAATACTATTATACATTTTACAATTGATCCTCGTAAAACATCCAGACGTCTGCAGTAAGCCATTGAGCGCCGTGTCTACACACCACTGTCTACGACCTAATTATCAACTTATTACTCAATCAGGAAGCGGAAAACACTCGACTAATTCTATTCAGAGTAAATTGAAGCTACATAGAGTAATATCACGATTTGAATAATTTCGTCAAATATTCATCACTTACCAGTTTGCAATGCGTCAAACCTTTATGAATTTCAAATAACTCCCCGGGTGTCAATTAGTCAAAAGGTCAACAAAAAAGGTCGCGAAAGACGAACTAGGAACAGAGAGAATGATAGACAGACAGATGACAACAAATAGGTTGGCCTGCCGAGTGTAACAACTTTTCTCTTTTAAGAAAAGACGCTGTTGTAAATCATAACAATTTACTCACAGTCAGAATAAACAAGGCGCCTGGGGATCGTCCGCGTTTTGAGATTAAATTGCTACATTTTGTCCGTGACGTCATCATAAAAACGTGCTGATTCCGTACGCATGCGTACAAGACAGGGAAACTGAATGGGACGTGAAATGGAAGAAGAAATTCAAACATTTGGCCTTAACCCTGTCCCTCTTTGATACTGATATATATTTCCAGTCAAATAAATAGGCCTGAGACGCCATGTAACAATTTCTCTCAAATATAGGTGTGTTGATAAATCATTATCGTTTACTTAACGTTCTATCCACATTACACGCCTAAATGCGCAGTAGCCTACTGGTCTATGCAATAAAAAATTGTTACATTCTCATCCGTAAGAAAACACTGACAAGCTTGGTCGCGAACACAGATTTGCGCACAGACGCAGACACTAGTACGTAGATAGATATAGATAGATAGTCATATATAAACTTACACATAGTATATATCTATACATATCTCTACACGTTAAACTGTATATGACTATACAAATAAAGATTATTGCGGTACAGGTGGATAACCATTGCGTATGTGCAATAGAGCATGTACCCTCACACCTCAACACAATTCCCGGTTCGGTAGCAACCTGAAAAACTTTTTCCAAATGACATAAATGTAAAACACATGCCGTGCACGTTTGCCTCGGCGAATTAAAGTGAACATTAACCGTTGCGTGTTTTTACTGAAATCCTATACGGGAATAAATATTAATGGCATTGGCACCAAAGACGCATTGGTTACATTGTTCTCCAACGCGTTTATTTTGCGGTTTAGGCTAGACAAACGAGCTAACCATAAAGCTGTCTAGACTTTCACTATTGAAATTATACAATCATGAAAAAGGTTCCTTACCTTGAGCGGACCGTAACACCAAACACGATTCTGAAAATGATTAAACATGTTAGTTTTTAAAACCAACAAGAATATTTCAATATATTATTTGGCTAGATTAAATACGTTATTCCATTAAACATTCGGTGAATCTTATACTGGGCGCGAATGCACGCTTTTCGTAAACAAACCTATTATAAGGAGGATTAGCGGGCCATTACGCACGCACTCGCATTTTGACGACATGCTGCCGATGCTTATGAGTCACTTCTACCATTTACCAATCGATTTTTTTCCGATAACTATCGTACTGATTGGTTTTTAAGCTAGTTTGAATGAGACCGATTGGTTCATTAGAGGAAAGTGTCTGCGCATGCGCGTTCTTGGGGAGCGTTTATTGTCAAACGCTGGAAAAAGCTGCTAAAAACGTTTGATCTTTTTTGACGAGCTACTAAAAATATTTAAGAGAGTATGACATAGAAATTTTGACACAAAGTTCAAAATTATCAGAGTTGCTATGACAACAAGGAGAATAATAGAACTGTGCGATAGATTTCGATTAATTATTGCAGACAGTATTTCAAAGAAGTTAGTTTACTAATTATACATATCCTAACGGAAATGGCCCGTCCAGATCAAGGATTAGCTGTTGCTAGATGTAATTACGTTGGTCAAGACGATATTTGGTAAGATTGAAAAATTAATTGAAGAATTTCTAACACGTACTGTGATAATTCACTAGGAAATCTCACGTCTATCACGAAACGAAAGCTGCGAAGTCATGGCCGAGAAATTGGAACTTCATGACAACAAGATATCGCGACGTAAGGATTGATTACATAAAAAATACAGAATTTTTTTAACCGAAGATACTTTTTTTTTAACTATAAAACTTATCAAACTCTTTTTTTTAACATTCCTCGGGTCATATGATTAATATAGTTTTAAATTTATTACCGAAATTATCAGGTTTTATCACATTCTCCCCTTTAGCAAGAAAATCAATTACCAGAAGTTTCTGTTAACTCTACCCCTCTTTCTTTCTTCAATTTTGTGATTTATTACATTAAAAGATAATTGTTAATCATTACGCAATTGCCTAGTAGCAATAAAAAAATGTAAACAGCAAACAAATTACCCAATTAGGTCTGCTCTGTTTGCTGCACAAACACCCCGGACGGGTTTATATGCCGTACTAAAACGTCTATGATCATCGTTACACTTTCTACTATCACGGAGACGTTTTTAAAATAACGAATTTTACAAAAACAGCTTGTAAAAGAAGAATTTCCGGTGAAAGAAAAAGCTCACCAAGAAACTAAATTGCCGAAAATCACACCAATAGAAGAAAGGGTTAAGGTCTGTTCAATTTATTATACAATGATTCATACAACTCTCAGTCTATTTACTTTTTCGTATTCATAACAACATTTTAATTAGAATTGTTATTAAAACAGGTGTTGCCCTCGCCTCGACCAATTCCAAGAACAACAGCACATATGATTGGCTGGAGATCGTCGCTTCCCGATCTTAGAGTGAGTAATGTTTTTCGCGTTAAGCTATAAGAAAAAAAAATGATGGTAAAGATAAAATATTTCCGTAACGGCCTCCTAAGATTTGACTGGAAGAAAAGGTTATTGGAAAGGTGAAGTATTTAGCATTATTTTGCTTGCATTTCTTTCCAGTAAACCTCTTGTCCGTCAACCTTTTTATGTTCTTTTTTACATTTAAATAAGTCGAAACTCAAGAACAAAGTAAAATAATACTGACTGTGCTTAGCATATACTTTCACCTTAATATTAAACGCGATACTCTCCCATTTAACAACACGAAAATCGCAAGTTGTTATCGCTTTCAGAAAAGTGCCAAATGTATAGAAACAATATTAAAAGTACTCTTTTTGAAATTAATTTTACTGTTAACAGCAAAAAATATATAAATAGTTTATGATAAAAAAAGACAAAGAATACAAAAAAAACACAATACAATTATTGAAATAAAATAACTATAAGAAAAAAAAAGTAAATCCTAGTATACAATTTATAAACAAGTGAGAAATTGTTAATGTCAAGAAAAGTAAATTGTACAAATTTGGAATACTGTATCCTTGTCAGTTGAAAGATTTTCTTTTTTGTATGAAAAGGGAATTTTAGTATGTTTATCTCTAAGAGTATTGATTTCTTCAAGGAAGCTGAAGGTTTAGCAGACACGATAGCTTAAAAAAAAGGCAAATTATATCAAGTGAACTTAGATCCTAAAAAATATTTAATATAGGCTGATAAGTAGAGGATATAAAGTTCTGTTTAAAAAAAACAGGACAATCAATCGACGATTTTTTTATTTTGTACAAATAAAACTTGCTTGAAAAAAAAATACTTAAACGTTGATTTGACAGGCAACAATTCCGCAAGTGTTTATTATGTCAAAAAAAAAATAATAATTCTTTTTCTACAGCTCGAACGCTATGGCAGATATGCAAAAGGGAAAGGAGGTATAAATATCATTTTATTACGCGAGTTGCAGTAAAATTAAAACATATTCTCTTCTTATACGTCTTATAGGCTTAATTCGACAATTGAAGTGGCCGGCTGAAGGCATTTGCTGAAGAAAAGAGAGAGAGAGAGAGAGAGAGAGAGAACGAGAGAGGGAGCAATTTTGTTTCTTGTTTTAAAAAAATCGTTTTACTTGTTTTCCTTCTCCTCGTTTTTGCCTAATACACAAAATCCTGCACTGCATTATAAATAATTTAAACCTCTTCAGAATATTTCACGTCGATTAATGCATAGGAGAAAAAGAAAAACAAACCGCCTAGTTCCACAGCAATTAAGTTTGTGCACCTGCGTAAATAAGCGGGTATTAACCTTCATTATGCAATAGGCCAGTTACCTCTCATAATATAAAATATATCAGCAGCATCTGTTTCTATAAGGTCGGAAGGCGGTAAACTCCGTCACTGAAGATTAATTGCCCGTTTTTCACCTTGTTCGCAAGAAGATTTTGTATGTCCAATTGAGAAAAATGAGCAGAAAACATTGCGAGAATTTTTAGCAATTTGTCTTTCGGAACAGATTCCATAGTTCGTAAAACACCTTGAATATACATCCAGACAGTATTTACATTTCCTTTTTTTGGACTAGGCGCTTTTGCCGCTTCCTCCTTCTCGTCTTCTTCTTCCGGATTTTCTTCCATGGATTCATTGACAGCAGCCCTTGTTGAGGTAGTATTGAGCTCGAACCTATCATCTGGCAGTGGGGAAATGACACCTTCTTTCAACCACAAATTCATCCTTCTTTTCACTGCCGCGCTAGTCATACCAGATTCCCTAGCGAGATCGCCAAGTGACCATGGTTCATCCTTTACAGTAAATAAATGCAGAAGAGCAGAGTGAGCTGGACTAACTGCAACATTTAAGCTCTTATCTCCTAATTCCAAACGCATATTTATAGTACCCAATTGCTTGTGCCATTTTAGTGTTCGTCCCTCCTTAACTTTTTGATAGTCATTGGTAAATTCTTCAAAACGATTTTCTATCTCGGGAGGGAGAACAACTTCCTCTTCCTGTAATTTTGGCCAATAGTGTTCTGACAGAATAAGAGCATTGGTCTGTTCTTTCTTCAAACAGCTCCTTATACGACTAGATTCTTTCAAGTCCACCATCATTACATCACAGGCTGACAATGCTGGTTCACCAAACTTTAATTTGAGGGTTTCGATCCTTTTGATTTCGTCATCAACCCGCAAATCACCAGGCGAAGCAAGCATTCTTTCAGCTAATTGTTTTGCGTACTCTTTGACTAATAAATCAGCACCACCCAAATCGTCAACTAGAGCATTGAAAGTGTCTTTGTGTGATTCTTCTAAATCTATACTATCAATATGTGTGCTTGGGGGCTGCCACGTTTTCCAGAAATCCATCGAATAGTTTAGAGAATCAAAAGAAGACAAATCAATGTCATTGTCTTCATCAACAACGCTAATAACCAAACAACGAATTGTGTCGTTTCTTTTGCGTAAATAATCTGTTATGGGTCGAGTTATAGATGCTACAACACTATCCAAATCTAGTAATAAGCGACAAGTTTTAACGACAGCTACGTATGCCGTTAAAATTTCCGTTGTTGCAACGCCCGCATGAAGAAGTCTTCGACTGATTGCGGTCTTTATCTCCGTCGCTAAAACCGGCTTTAATTTCGGAACACGATCGATGCAGTCTTTCAACTCTATCAACGATCTGGAACTATCTGGGTAATGAACCATAAGTTTGAAGATGTTTCGTATTCGCTCCTTGGCGACAGCCTCAAACAAAACATACAACGGAACGTTTTCAACACTAGTTGACGCCTCCTCGCCGATAAGCCGAGAATATTTATTTCTAAACGCACATAACCATTGAGAAAGGCGAGGGACAAGTGGAGAATGTATAAGCTTTTCATTAGATGACAGGCTTTTCACCGTTTTCACAACCGTTTCGTGAAAAGCTTCTGTGGCATAACAATAACACATATTTTTCCATAAATTAATTTCTTTCCTACAGAACACAATGATTGTTTAGTACCAACACCTATTCAGAAAAATAAACACACTTACATTTGAGCATTCATTTGGCGAAATTGGTTTGCTTTTGTTTGATTGAATACTTCGAAAGAAAAATTTTCGTCCAGCGAATATAATTCATCGGAAATATCTTGATATAATTTCATTATGTGATCAAGGAAAGGCTGGGATAAATTAGGCAGAATGCAGCTTTCAATTTTTGATTGTAAAATAATTGTGAAATTGTTACTATCGATAAAAGTGTCACATAAATTGCAATAGTCAAATAAAGATTTTAAACCGGAGTGTAATACGTCTAGGCCTCTATACACTCTACTTGTTTGATCAGTCGCTTTTGAATTAAATTCATTGTCTAAATTAGGGATAAGTGTATCTTTAAAGTAGAGTGACAGTTGACTACCAAACCAATCAGCAAACAACGATATCATCCCGTAATTTCCAACAATACGGAACGCGCATTCAATATTCTGTTTGAAATTAGGATCAATCGTCTGAAAAATAAGGTTAAAACTATCTTTATCAAAAGAGAAATTCCAAAAGTCTTTATATAAAAATGATAAAAATAAAATTTATTGATTTTACCCGAGAGACAGCCAGGTAAAAGCTATTTTGTAACTTTGCAAAATTTTCAAATAAGTCTCTTTCCGCCATTTTGTGTATGGTTCTATTACATATATTCCGGATATTGTTACCCACATTTTCATTTTTTAAGATTCTAGCCCTCTTCCGTTTATCTCTTGTTCTAAGATATGATATATGACAATATATCATAAGATTTAATATTTAAATTTTATCTTAACGAGGTCAACCTTAGATAATTTACCAAGCTCAGATAACTATGAAACAATTCAAAAAAAGTAACATTTGATATCGACTCTCAATGACTTTACCAATACCAAACAAAGAAATGCGAGCTCGAATAAAGCAAATAGAGAATAGCCAATATATGAGTACATATAATAATAATCTAATAATTTCCTTATGCACTCCAGAAGGTTTTTATTGATAAAAAATGGAACATCCCATATTTGTTACCTTGATTTTAATAACAATAACTCAATTTTTACAACTAAATTTTAAAAAATATTAAGAAATTTACAATATTTAAGGATAAAACTTCGATTATACGAAATCTTGTATGTAATGAGCTTTCTTCTGTGAATTTTACTCTTTTTTAAATTAACAGTATTCAGTGTCTAACTTATCAACAAGCTTAAAAGGTTTTCAACTATGAAGAAAACTACAAAGCTTTCCTTACTACTAACAAGGAGGTACTCTCATTTTCATAATATCACACCAAAGAAAACAAAATCCCACTATTTCTTTTATTATTCTAGATTTTGCAAGTCGATCAACAATATTTTGTATAACTCAAAGAAATCTTTGTCAATTTTATCAAGGGGGTGTTTATTATTTGAGGCTTAACCTGAACGGCGGGTAAAAGCGTGATTGTATTTATTTCCGTTTTACCCTCTAGACGCCCTTCGCATTTTCATGACAATTTCGTGATGATGAAATTCTTTCATGATTTATTTAGGAGCATGGAGTCATATTCCGTTCTATTATTGCCAGAATGAAAATGTTAAGAAAATTAAAACGAATCGACAGGGACCACCCTATGACATTCACATTATTTTTATAAAATAGAGGGACGCAGCAAATATAAACAAGAGAAACTCGAAAATATCAATTGAAATTTCAAATCGATTGGAGACAGAAAGATGATATCTCGTCCAACAATAGTGCTTGGAAGAATACTTAAACAGCATATTGTTATAACATCATTTCGTCAACTCTCTTATTCCTCTCAAGTACTTTGTAGCAAGAAAGAATATTCGCAAGCTGATTTCGATAAACGAGTTCAAGAACAAATTTCCGAAATTAATACTGGAGACAATTTTGTTAGTAAAACAAAATCGGCCCATGAACCACCTATTGGAGCATCCTCGTTGCCTCATCCAATATGGAGCGATGACGAAGTGAGATCCATCACAATCACCCATCGACAACCAAAAGGCTTTATTGATTGGTCTGCTTATCTAACAGTTCAATTTTTAAGAAAGGGTTTTGATATATTGTCTGGATATAACAGAAAACGCGACGAAGGCGTTTGGATAAATAGAATCACATTTTTGGAAACAGTTGCAGGAGTGCCGGGAATGGTTGCAGGTAAAGATTTGTCAGTTAAGAAAAATTCTAATATTTTTTAAATTTGAAATTTGTTCGTTTCCTTACATAGCAATGGTTAGACATTTGAATAGTTTAAGAAGAATGGAAAGAGATCACGGATGGATACATACATTGTTAGAGGAGGCCGAGAATGAAAGAATGCACTTGATGACCGCTCTGCAATTGAAAAAGCCATCATGGATGTTTAGAGCTGGAGTTGTAGGGACTCAAGGCTTTTTTGTTACATTTTTCTCTTTGGCATACCTCATCTCGCCGAAATATTGCCATCGTTTTGTGGGTTATTTAGAAGAAGAAGCCGTAGTTACGTATACAAAGTGTTTACTCGATATAGAGAATGAAAACGGTTGTTTAAAACATTGGAAAACTACTCCAGCTCCTAAAGTCGCTATAACGTATTGGAAGTTAAAACCAACAGCTACTCTTTTGGATGTAACTCTCGCAATAAGGGCAGATGAAGCTCACCATAGAGTTGTCAATCATACATTAGGATCTATGAAGAAAACAGATTATAATCCATATAAACCTGGAGAATAAAAAAAAATGTGGCTTTTATATCAATCAATTACGGCTTTACTGTGAGATTAACTGATCTGTTAAACATGTTTTTTTAACTCTCCATGAGTTTATTACGTTCAAACTTTTTTTCTTTTACAAAAACAAAATACATCACCTCCTGATGACTTATAATTTTAAAATGAAACCTGCTAGTTGCACTGTACTATAACACTATGATATTGACATCATGCAGTTTGGTAAATTATTGGAAAGCGTGAATTTTATTTTCATTTCCCCATTTTACGCATCTTGCATCGTTCACTGTCTAAAGTGCACCAGAAAGAAATACAATTAGCACAGATATCGAATTTAAAATGTTTGGTCAATTAGTAATTGGAAGAATAAAAGAAATATTTTTTATATATGAAATAAAAACTGCTAACCTAGTTCAAATATTCAAAATTCTCGTTTTTTATTGTAATGTAGGAAAAACTTAAAGATTTACTCAATTCTCTCTCTCTCTTGTTTTTTCTTTCCCTACTCTCCCGATTATAAGTTATCTGGCATATAAAAATGTTTCAAATGAAAAAAACCTACTTGAGATGGCTTAAGTTAACTTGATACAGTTACTCTCTGAATTTTATAGACGGTACTAAAAGTCTATTTAACTGAAAATATTTTCGCATGCAATCGCATAAATCAACTTCCTCATGCTTCAACTGACTTCATCTAAGATACCTTTCTCTCATCTTTCATTTTCCAGTAGGTTAGAAAGATTTCCTTTCGTTGGAATCTTCTAGGTAGTTAGACTACCCTTTCAACTTTTTATTACATATACAACATCTCTTTTCTGTTATATATTTCTGCTTTTATATTTATATTTTTACAAATAGAGTGTGTAAATGTGTTTGTCGGGATAGTAACTATCGAAATTACAACTATTAAATATAATTAAAGGAATTCTTGTTCTATTAAATTTTTTCCATGTTTTTTATCATTGTTTGCTATCAATATATATATATACTGTATATATATTGAATACTTTCAATATATAATAATGTATATTTCTAAATAACCAGCCAAATAACAAAAAATTAATATTCAAATTATATATCCATGTGTTTCCTTTGAACTTTTTTATTTGCTCTATACTAACATACTTATAGGAAAATATAATTTATCAATTAAATATCTAACAAGATTCCCTTAAAGCGATCGTTTCTTGTCAATTATCTCGATTCCATAGTTTTGATAGATTACAGCGGTGCAAGCAGAAAGTTCTAATTGACATTTATCAAAACATTGAAAATCCTGGCAAGATTTAAAGCAGGCCTGAAAGTATAAAAAAATAAATTAGGGATCATCATGATTATGAACATTTCTTAAATACATCTGATTGCGGAGAGCATTTTTCTTGAATTTCTTGCGCGATTGCCATCTGCTGTTCGTAAGTTATTTCTTCTCTCTTTGATAGCGATTGTAAATTAAAGCCTATTTTGGCAAATTCTTCTTGGACAATCTTATTTGAACATTCCACAACTACGGATTCTGCTTCTCTTGAACATTGTTCTTGGGGATTACCTTTGCGCAAGCAGTCCATGAAGAAATCCTATCGTAATAGCAGTTTTTTCTTATTTAATTTAAAGAGTGCTCTCGATATAGATACCTGTGTAGGCTTCCTGCATTCGGTCATGGCTCGGTTAGATGCAATACTTTGGGCATTTTGAATATCTCCTTCACTAACCGCTCTCTTATGTCCGTTTCTCTTTGATGGCAAAGAAATGCCAATTTTAACATATTCCTCTTGAGCAATTCTTGTAGAACATTCCATAACCATGGCTTCAACTTCTGAAGAACATTGCTCAGGGCTTTGACCCTTTCCCATGCAGCTCAAGAAGAAATTCTATATTTACATTTAGTTTTTATTGTCTTGAATATAATAATTAAATTTTTACCTGAGCTGGTTGACGGCATTCAATCATTGCTCTTTGAGTGGTTATTTGTTGAACACGCTGAAGATCAGCCTGGGAAGTTTGTCTCTTAAGATCTCTCTTTCCAGGAATAGTAATACCCAACTTTGCATATTCTTTCATAGCTATTTTGTTTGAACAGGCTACAACCATAGGTTCAAGTTCAGATGAACATTGACCTTGAGATTTACCACTTCCTAAACATTTCATAAATGACTCCTGTGTAGTAAATGATTGAATTTTTTCAAGGACAAGGAATAAAAACGACTGTTTTTTACCTGAGCTGGTCCACTACACTCATCCCTAACTCTTTGAGTAACAACTCTTTGCATCTTTTCAAGATCGGCGTTCGAAATTTGTCTCTTTATGCCTCGTTTTGAAGGTATAGTCATCCCAAATTTAGAGAATTCTTCTATGGCAATTTTTTTTGAACATTCAGCAACTACAGCTTCGACTTCACTGCTACATTGGTTTTGCGATTTTCCGCTTGATAGGCAGTTCATAAAAAACTCCTATTATTTTTATAGTTTACTTATGAATTTGTCTTTAAAAGTTCAAAATAATACATTACCTGAGCTGGTTGATTGCATTCTGTCATTGCCCTTTGTTGGGAATTTTTCTGAGCAGTTAAAATATCGGCCTTAGATATTTGCCTCTTAGTCTTCTCTACTGCTCTAGCTACGAGCTGATGTGCAGATCTCTTCTTATCACTATCGGGATAAACGTAATTGTAAGAGGCATAGATTTCACTTGTGATTCTATGAACACATTTGGTCATATCATTTTCGCATTGAGCGCAGCTGTTTGGATTTCCAGCACAACAAGCCTAAGATGACATTCAATGAGAATTATTATTTATCAAAAGAGAACACTTACCATAACTTTAGGGTAACATTCTGTTTGAATTCGACGTTGAAGTTGAGCATCGGCATCAGCTGCCTCTTCAACCGTGAAACGTTTACCGGACGATCTCTTTTTAAATAAGGCACTTTGAAGAAACGGTAAGCCTGGCAAATTAGCTTCGCAAAAAACAATAGCCGACAAAGCAACATACGCAAGTAAACACTTCATTTTTCCCTCTAATACTTTGCAATTGACAAGTGCAATAGCTTGAAATTTGCTCTATATATATTTATATTTAATGATAATTATTTAACCTATCTAATACGGGAAATTACAAATATCCTCAACAAATTAAGCAATCAGAGCAACAAGTTTTCTATAGGTTTACACAATTTTGAACATGTTTACTTTTCTATTCGCCATTTTTATCAAGGAACTCAATTGAAAGGTTATGTTTGACAGCAGACACGATTAATACATAAAGTTTCCTCACTATATCTAATATTGGAATGATAAATTTTGGAAAATTGGATATTGGCTATGTAGACAAAATTTTATATACGTATAGATATATTTTTGTATTTATTTCAAGGTTTTATGGTGCCGTGTTTGATAAAACAATAATAAGTTCTTGTTACAGTGAGATATATATATATATATATATATATAATTTACATATATAAATGTATAAAATGTTAAAACAACTAAGTTTTTTGTACAGCCGTAAATGCATAGTCTGGTCGAACAAATGAATAAAAGTTACAAAAAACATCAATAAGTAATAATATGTTAAATTGAACACACAGTAGGCAGTAGGTTATTTTGCTGGTTTTGCTGTTTCCTAAAAACTTATTAAATATAAATGCAGATGCTACAGTTTTACTAATAAAAAAATGACGATAAATTAAATAATTATTCTTATTATTTTTACTAGTCAATAATATAATTTGGATGAACAACTAGAATAGGATCATCGTCGGAATTATCTTCGTCATCCTTCAATCCTTCACCAAGCTGAATGAGAACTTGATCAACTTTTGTAAGACGCTTAATAACCTTCTCCACCATAGTTTTCTTTTCAATTAAATCTTCTTCGCTTTCTAGATCTTTTTCTATCTCTTCTAAATACCACTCTATCAGTTGACTTCTCTTTATTTCTTCGGTTTCGTGTTGTCTCAGGTATATGACCATCATATTTGTGATGTTCTTGTACATCTCATACGATAATTTTTGGCTTTGTTTTAGTTTATCTTCTGTTTGTTGTGTTTCCTCGGGGATGCTAGTTTCCATTTTTTCTCCGTTTTCTGTAAATAGATTTTTATTAATAATAAATGGATTATACATTAGAAAGAGCACTAACCTTCGTCCATTTCAATATCTTCGAATTGCTCTTCGAAATTGATATCGGGTTGTTCAACTCTAATAATACTCTTATTCAACAATCTAAAAGCCTCTTTAACGTGCTTTGGTTGAACTTGATCAACACAATGTAATCTGGCCATGCCCTCGCTTAACCGAATCATACTCTCTAATTGACGAACAGTTATTCTCCAGGACATAGAGCCCGATCCTGTAGAGTCCCTTTGCCTTAGCTTCTTATATTCTTCAACCATATATTTTTGAGCAGCAGGACTTATCTATTAAATAATAATAAACAAATGAAAAAGATTAGATAAAACTACTCCGTAAAACTTACAATCGGTTTAAAGAGTCTCGCAAAAGTTATGTAACGTTGAATATCTTCTACAGAATATTTTCTTTGTACGGCTTCTTCCTCTTTCCTGTGTAAATCAACGATGCTTCTGGCAATTGCGTAATCAGTCACCTGATATAATTTAAGGTCAAAAATGTTTCCATTGCACAATGAAATCTATACAAACCTCATTGCATTCATCTACAACTACAAAGAATAAGTCAAATCTTGACATAATAGGTGCGCTCATCGCTAAATTCTGCTTCAATGATTTAGTTCTGTCGTAGCGTCCACCAATTGGATTTGCAGCTGCCAAAATTGACGTTCTTGCATTTAAGGTAGCCTGTTTAAATAATGAGATAATTAATTAGTTAAATCGAATTAAATAAATCTAAATAATTTAGAGACCTTAACGCCAGCTTTTGTAATGGAAATAGTTTGCTGTTCCATTGCTTCGTGTATAGCAACTTGATCTCTTATTTCCATTTTATCAAATTCGTCTATACAGCAGACACCCTAGAACATAACAATTATGAGCTTTTTTGTTACTATTAATTAAACAGGGAAACCTACGTTATCAGCCAACATCAAAGCTCCCGCTTCAATAACAAATTCATGAGACTCTTCATCTTTCACAACGGCAGCTGTTAAACCTGCTGCCGAACTAGCTTTTCCGCTTGTGTAAACAGCTCTAGGACTAAACTCTTCGACTTGCCTTTTTGAAGTTTTTCATTATTACTATAAGATTTGTTCTAAGTAGTATTTGCTTACTTCAAAAACTGGCTCTTAGCTGTACTAGGATCACCAACAATGCAAACATTAATATCTCCTCTAAGATTTGTACCTTCTTCTGTAACCTTAGGAACGCCTCCAAACAACATTAGCAGAATACCGTGTTTAATCTCTTCATTTCCTGTTGGGTTTTAAATATATAAATGTTTCATATGACTTATTAAATAAATATACCATGAATTGTTGGAAAGAGACTGCTTGCAAGATTATGATATAATTGCCTGTCTCTACTCATATTATAGATCGTCTCCCATTCTTGGGAAGTCATTTGATCTTTAATTGTTTCTCTGGTTGCCTCTTCAATCATCCTGGGATCTTTTGCTAAACCAAACTAATGAATAATAAAAATACATATAATATTCGCCAACTCATAAATATGTTATAAATAGACTTACTCTTTGATTAGTAGCTTCTACATTGCATGCTAAAAAGGCTAATCTGTAATGTAAGTCTCTGACCCCAAGGGCTTTTAGGCCTCGCACTCCTTCAGATTCGTAACCAGCTTCTCCTGGGAGAACTTTTGCTCCGGTTTCGGCTCTTGCTCCTTAGAAATATACAATATATCTATAATTTAATTAAAAATTCAAGAAAATACCAGGAAGAGATAGACTCGCAACATCGGGTACCACAATCAGCGTTCCTGTAAAATCACACTTATCTCCAGGTTGAGCTTTTTCAACAGCTTCGCCTCGAAGAATCACTTCTACGCTGGAGAATTATATAAATTTAAATAAATAACCAACTACTAAAAGGTGCATTATTCAGTTTACCTTCTGGGAATGCAGCCTCTGGGCAACTCGCTTTGAGTTTCTTGAATTCTTACTTTTTGAAAATCAACAAATTTAGAACAATGAACATCCAATTGAAACTTAGTTCTATTGTTACAAGCCGGATTTCTGCATATTGTAGGCTAAAATATTGTGAATTAGTAAATTCTTAACAGAGACAAAAAAGGAAATACCTGAGTGTATTTAAATTGTTGTTCGATGTCTGGAATCTTGGTATGGCAGTCTAAACAAATAAAAGTTCCCCTAACCAACTCCGGATGAACAGGATGTGTTCTTACGACTTGTCCAGAAATTTTAATCAGCTGACCCAATTTTGTCGTAGTCAATTCTCTCACCCTTAAAACAAGAAAGAAATTATATAATAACTTTTCATTTATAGACTGATAGTCTTACTTGATCACGGCGAAAAAGTTACAAAAGCTAATATAATAGTCTTTTTCCTTTTCTCTATTTGCCTCCCGTATGTTTTGAGAATAATGAACTCTATCATGCAAAAAATTCTTCACGGCCCGGCACAAATAAGGATATAACCTATTTCGAGTAAAGTCAGATAAATAATACAAAGTATTAGATTATAAAGAACCTGTAGTATTCATTAACGAGAGTTGTAGCAAGCTCTTGGCTGTGTGTTTCCACATCAGAGAAATCAATAGTTACTGTATTTCGTTCAGGTTTTATCAATTCTCTAACTGCTGGGAGATATTTCAGACCTTTTTCATCACGATATCTGTGTTAGGGATAATTTTAGTTTATGGAGAGGAGTAAATATGGCTTACTCTTCGAGAAAGTCTTGAAAAAGTTTCTGCATTCGCTCTCCGAGAGCATCTTTAACTTGATTGGTAGCTGCGTGTTGTTCAGCCACGTCCATGTTTCTGATAAGTAGTGAAGATCTTCGCTTGCAAGCAGACTTATAACTCAATCCAGTGGATCTTAGGACGCCATGTTTCCGTTTTGGCGCGAAAGTGTAGGCACGTGATCAGATCAGACCGCAGCAAATGCTTTCCTTAAGTCTGTTCGAGTGCGGAACTCAAGTCCGGCTTTTAGCAGAAATCTGGATCAACATCCGGTTCGGATTGTGTTTGAACATGAAATTACCCTTTTACTACCTTTTCTCATCAATCAATTTAATTTTTCTGAAAATTTAAAAGTGTCTTGTCATTTATAACTCTGTTATAAGTCTTATACTGTGATAAAATCATAAAAAGTTTCAGATTGGTAAATTAATAAAGATGGATGAATTACGCGAAATTAATCTCATTGATAGAAATATAACAAATCTTCATTCTTTATCAATAACAGGACATTTAGTTTCTCTTAACCTCCATTCTAATAAGATTGATCGTATTATAAACTTAAAAGCAGCTGTTAGTTTACAATTTTTGGATCTCTCATCAAATAAAATAAAATATATCGAAGGCTTAGAGAGTCTCGTTAACCTTAGAAACCTGAATTTATCATGTAACAAGATCGAGACGGTTACAGGTTTACATAATACAAAGTAAGTTTCCTTTTTACATGAAATATTAAAATATTATTATCAACGGCCTATAGGAATCTTGTAAAGTTAGATGTTTCGCATAATAAGATAAGTGATTTATCTGGTTTGAGAAGTATTCCATCCACCAAATTTAGTATCTTAAATGCCTCTGGGAATACATTGACAGATTTTGAGCACGTCTTAGCCTGTTTAGAGGCATGTCGTTACTTAAAAGAGTTATTATTTAATCAAGGATCTGCTACAAATGCAATTTGCTGTGAATCTGGTAATGGTTAACTCAATTTAAATGACAATGGGTAGAATTAAGTTTTTTCTTCAGATTATCAAAAGTCAATATGGAATACTCTACCGTATCTACATTCTTTAGATGGAAAGACTAAAAATGGAGAAATAGCTGAAAAAACGTTTTCGTTCTCCCCTCACTTAAACGAATTTTCAGAATTTCTTCATTCAAATTCATCCGATACATCAATCTTAGATTCTAGAATAATGACGCCGAAGATTGATGCTGCACTAGAAAAATTCCGTAGCAGAAGAGTAAAAACGCCAGAAATATCCACTGTAAGCAGCAATGAATCAACTATTCTAAGCGAGGAACCATCGAAAGATGAAACTAGAAATAAAACTTCATTGGTATAAACAAAACAGTAGAAAATATTTGATAATTAAATTTTTTATATTCATTTCTACAAAAATAGAAAGTCGAAAGTAAAGAGAGATTAGAAAATATTGAAAAACAATTGGCCGATCTACTCGAAAAGTCAAAATTGAAAGAGGTAATGAATAGCTAAGAATTTTAGATAAAGATAATTTAAAAGTAGCAAAAAGTAGCATTAATTGTAATTGCATAGTATCCATTTTTTATACTTTAGGAAAGAGTTACAACTACTAGTTCATGCACTCAAACTGAAACAAATAGAAATAAAAATGAAGTTCGATCAGCTTTTGTCAACGGTCAGTTAATTTAAAAAAAAAGTAGGACAGTTGCTAAAATATATTATATGCTTTCTTCAAGGAACCAAAAAACCGGCTGAAAATATTACTAAAAGGTAATAACATTCTTTTTTTTGTTGTATAGATACTTCAGTTATTTATTCATTTAGAATTGAAAGGGAAAAGATGGACGAGAAACGTATAAAATTTGATTACGATCGTCTTCACCAAGCTGAAGCTGCATCCCATAGATTAGCTTCGATGGTTCGTCAATTACAGCAGACCCTTTCAGAGGAACGAGACAAGAGAATAGAATGCGAGAATTCTTTAGAAACAATGCGCTTGGAGCTAAAAGAGTCTTCCGAATATATCAATCAATTACATAGTAAATGCATCAATTTAGAGAAAAGTAATGGGGAACTAGAAAAGAACTACGCCGAACGATTCGACGAATTGAATAAAGAATTGAAGATAAATCAGAAAGAAAATTTTACTATTTCACAACAAGTTCGTTTATTCGTTCGTTTAAGAGCAGTTGTACAATAGAGAGCAGTTAAATACTTTAAATAGATTAAATGTCTTTGGTAGATATCCTATACATTAACGTATCTTTTTAACCGTGACAGGTTGAAATCCTAAAGGGAGAGAATATTGATTTGAAAGCGCAGTTAAAAGCTAAAAAGGAAGAATACGAAAAAGAATTAAACTTAAGACTTTCCAATGAAAAAATAGATGGCACCCAAAAGATGAAAATCGATATGTTGGCAAACGAATATAGTAGGCTCGAAGATGAACTTAGAATTGCTCTTGTAATAGAGGCAGAGACAAGAGAAAAAATCGTAAAAGAATTAGAGACTAATAAAAATGAATTATCAGAAACGAGAGAAGCCCTAAAAGAATCCACAGAACAAAATGTTAAGTCTTCGAAAATGATTAACGAACTAACCCAATTGGTGAAAGAACAAAAAGGGAGATTAACGGAACTAAATAAATGCAAGCATGAGCAAGCATCGGATATGAAAGACCGTATAACTGAACTGGAAAAACATGTAGATGAGGCTAAGCGAAGAATGATACAGTTAGAATTAGTAAAAAAGGAGAGAAATGACTTATTGGCTCAGTTGACAGCTGTTAAATCGATTAACGAAGGTCTGAAAGCTGAGAGAAAAGTTTGGAGTGAAGAACTTGCCGAGCAGGGGTCAAGTTTAGCTCAAGAAAGGGGAAGGCTAGAGGCTAAAATCGAATCTTTGAGAAATGAAAATGCAACTTTAGCAAAACAACTAGAGTCTGAAGTTGATACAGTAAGAATAAAAACGGCTATAATTCAAGATCAAACGTCAACAATAGCTAAACTTAAAGAAGCTTTATTAGAGAGGGATGCTGAAGTTAAGGAAGCAAGGAGTGATGCCCTTCGTTCCGAAAGAGATTTACATGATCATTTAGAAAATGACGCTTGTGTTCAGAAAGATTATGATGATAGATTAGAGAGAATGAGAAATCGAAAAGATGACCTAAAAAAGAGAGTCTCTGAATTAGAAGAGGAAGTTGAAAATTGGCGTAGATCTCATAATGCGATCAAGTCCCAATGGAGTGAAAAATGCGACTTGATCGTCAAATTAGAAGAGAAAGTTCGTAAATTAAAGTCTGTATGGGATGAAAAGCATAAAAAATTAAACGAAGAGAAGAATACTGCCGTCCAATCTGCCGAAGAAAGCCGAAAAAATTTACAAGCGGCTGATGAATCTTTTCGAAAACAGTTAGTCGCACAGAAAGAGCTGTTAGAATCAGAAATGAGGCAAAGAATTTTAGAAAAGGATAGAGAAATAGCTGACCGATCAGCTAGAGTAAAAGAAGTCGAAGATGAAATGAGGGAATTGCTAAAGGACACTGAAGAAGCCAAAGCAGCAACTGAGACTAAATTGCGTAAATTACAAGACGCTCTTTCCAGTTTACAGACCGCTTTTTGATCTATTACAGTAAATATTTTATTTCTACTTTATTACTTTTTTCCCCATACAATTCGATTTTTTATATAAAAATAATAAATTTTTGTACAATAGTCTTTCTAATTTATTTTCTTAGGATTTGATCTGTTTCTCACAAAATTCAACATAAATTGTATAAATGCCTTGTCGGTTAGCCATAGAGTTAATAAAACTCCAGCTAAGCAAACACCACCAATAGAGACATGAATGAGAACAGTTAAGGTTGAGACCGGATAGAACAATCTCTGCCAAAATTAATAATATGAATTAGGAATAAATAAAAATGATTTCCGTTTGAAAGAGCACCAATTACCTCGGACGCGCAAGTAATTCCTAGTGAGCATAGAAGAGAAATAACAAAGGCTTTAGTAGGATAAACTCCTTTCAACGGACTATAATTCGAACTTTTATAAAACTCTCTTATGTATAAAAAGCTGTCAACGAAAAATTTATGCGTACTTGGTTAAATTTTGGATTATCAATACCTATGGATAATACGAGCCAGCATATTGGCGCCATTCGCCCAGACAAACCCAACACCCCCAAGTAATTTAGTTAATATTAATGATAAAATGACGAAAATAATAGAAAATAGTAACATTTTTCGGTTATAGCTATAAATAGTATACGTAATTATAATCTACAATGTTATTTATTTCGATTGGAATTTACCTTTCTATTTGGTTTTTCTTCATAACCGAAAAAACAAAGCTTTCCGTTACCCCATTAACGGCTAATAATAAAAGATAAACGCAGAAAGTTCTCAAGAGACAAGGCCCTAATGATTTTTTACGAAGATCTAATCAATAATATTTATGTCAGCAATATAAAACTAAACCTGAATCCGAACTAAGTAGTTCTCCTCCATACAAATTTAACGCTAGAAAGGAATAAGCCTGCCCAAAAGCGCAAGCTAACAATCCTAAGGTAGTAACAAATTTAAGCACATTCTCCAGAAACGATGAAGCTAATTCAAGATCTTTCTGAAAATTATAAGCTATTTTTTTGCAGTTTAAAGAAAAGGGGAACTCGTTACTTTTGGCTGACTACTTGCATCTTTCCCTCTTGTGAGGGTTTGAGAAAATAATAGATGGGAACTCTCTTCCACTGGCATAAATATAAATCTAGCCACCATTGAACCTAGGTTATTTATAACGTCATATTTGCCTGAAAAATTTAAATATATTCTATATAATCAAGAAATTGATCGTAATGTTGGATATATAAAGTAAGAAAACTTTACCTTGGTCTTGAAAATTTAATACATGGAATATAGTCATAACGTATCTTTCACCCTCTGTTAATAATTGTTTTAAGCATGATTGCTTAAAGAAACTCCAAGAAAGTTGTAATAATTCAAAATTTATCTTAAAGAAGCAAAAATAGAAAAAGTTACTGCTAAATACAATGAGCTTATTCCAAGGAAATTTGAAATTACTGAAGAAAATCTCGGTAGAAAATCAATGAGATCCTTTATTGGAAATTTTTCGGTTGTTTGCTTTTTTATTATTCTTGATGAGAAATAAATGTAATAGGATAAAGTTACGAAAGAGCTGAAAAATATCTGAATTAAACCAAAACCAATTAATCCCCAATTTTTAAAATAAAAAACTAATATAATCGTTAGAAAAGTTCGAATGAATGTGGCCAATCCTTCAATTACAACCTTTAAAAATGTTATTAATATTTAAATTGATTATTTAAAATACTTTTTATTTACGTACTCTTAATTTAACGTACAAATGAAGTTGTCCTAATACGAATAATGGCAAAGAGAATGACTCTATTACCACAGAAACTCCGAAAGCTAGCACTGCGAATGTATAATATGGCTCAACCGGTTGCTTAAATCCAAAAATCCACAGTAATGAGAGAATTAAAACACAAAAGATGCTTGCGGGCACTCTACAAAATACGGTCATGGCATTATTATTTAGAAAGTATTCATTTTATTGCAACTAACCCCAACCATAAAACATTGTTGATTTCTGACCAAGGTTTATTTTTAACACTATTTCGATTAGTGCATGCTTTTTTGAAACATTCTTGAGTAACAAACAATAAAGTTGTATATAACAAAGTCAACCTAAATTAATATTATGATTTCAATTGATGTATGATAGGAACGTGAATGTGCTCATTGATTACCTCACATTTACAACTCCTAGTAACTCTTTTGATGTTTGACGTATTATTAATGTATTTAGAATGAAAGATGACATTCTAAACATAAACTAAAAGAAACTTGAACTTAAAGATTCACACGGAAATGTAAAAATTGTTTACAAACTTGGTAAATCATATGGCATAGTGCTGATGTGGTCGCACTTGCCAATATATTGTGATTTTCCATTATAATTTGCTTAGTTAGTTAGAAGGAAAGAACCTAAGGTGTCGTAAAAACACAGAAATGGTTGCAAGTTACGGACACCGCGTTTGTATCGAAACTCATTTCGATTAGACGTGATATTTTAGCTGGGAACGACCTCTGAGTACAATAATCTTTTTGAAAGACTTGTGTAGAACTCGGTACGGGCTGTCTGACATTGAAGTAAGGTCAAGGTTACATTTCGCCTCAGTCACGTTTGAAATTTTGTTACAACCTCATTCAGTTAGAATCATGAATTCAGCCAGTAAAATAATGCGCAATATTGTGCCCACTTTGCGAAACTTGCAACAATCTTCAATTAGAAGGAGCTTCAACACATCAGTGAGACGCTTAGACAGTACAAGTAAGGTTGGTACTTGATCAAATCACCTTATGTCATTGTTGCAATTTTCAGTTGGACCTACTCACAGACCATCAGACTTTGATAAGAAGATGTTGGTTTATGCCAAAATGTATAAATCAGCTGCTGAGGTTCCCGAAGTTGTTACAAGCAGCCAAATTAAAAAGGCTAGGGATTTATTCAGAATTCGAGTTAGTTTGGGAATGTGTTTAGCAACCTTCTTTGGTTGTATTATCATGGTATACTCAGGCAAAAAAGCCATGGTAAGTATGCTTTCCAAGTTTACTTTTAAAAATAGGCCATTTCACCGTTAAATTATTTTTTATTTAAAACAGCTTTTTTTTTAAACAATCGTATCATTTTCGTTTATAGAAAGAAGGAGATAGTTTACATAAACGAGGACTAGATTGGCAAAAACAACTGAAAGAAAAAGCAGCAGAAGAGAAAAAATCGAACTAATATATTGCTGTAGGAGACAGATGGCGCGGGAGAGTTATCTCGTGCTCTGATTTATGTTATGATATATGTAAATTGATGGTACAAAGAACGGTAATCGAAAGAATCTGAAATTGCTTTCCTTATAGTTAATACAAATTATATTTCGTACACCGTGAAAAATACTGAAATCTTGATGAGCAGCGTTCGTGTCTTATTAGGTCAAGTATTGTAGGAAAAGCCGTTTGGAGCTATTCGATGACAGGCAAAGAGTAGTTTTTTATTTGGTCGAACGACCAAAGGGTTGTTAAGTTATATATAAATTTCAGGCCTTCGTAATCGATTCTTCCAATGTCTTTCCGTTAGAAATTAAGCTTGACCGATCATCCTAGTTGAGTTGTTCGTTAGCGACGCCGCTGGCGAATAGAAATAGATTGCTTGTTGACTTGAGGCTTTCTAGAATGTCGTAAACGTATAGTTGACAGATATGCCGTCGGTCACGCAAGATTTGCCAACGACGCGCAATAAATCGGTAGTGTCACCAACTATACGCCTACCCGCCTGGCATGAGTACAGCGCCAATCCCTCCACATTTTCCACATCACAACCGCAAAATTCATCATCTAGCGAAATCTTTAAAACCTCTGAGATATTTGTGCCTAAGAACTCGAAAGACAGAAACGGTTCGTTCGAAAGTGAAACTGTCAGAAAAGAGACGTCGAAGTAGATGAACGGCTCGATATTCCCTAAATCCGATTTTCTTGGCGTAAACAGAACATCTGTGGAGGATAAAATGTTCTCTTTTCTTTCTGACACTTTTCGCTCTATATTGAACGATTCGGATTCACCCCGTTCTATATTTTCTATTCCTTCGGAATAAGCATGAAAAGTCCATTCTATGTTTGACACATCAGGGTGCAGATAATGCTGCATAGTCACATGCCACGGTCTATTTGAATAACCGTCACTTATTTCATCTACAGTCCAATTAGCAATACAGTTTACCATTCGAACACATTTCGTCCATCTGAAAGCAATGCTTTCCACTTCGGACACATTACTTGTAAGTTCGAATTGTATTTTATGGTAACAGCTTTGCTTAACTTTAGGAACATCAAAAACAAACTTAACTGTACCAAAATCATTTAGTCGAAAAACTGGGGTAGAGTAGCGTCTAAGAAATCGTCCAATGGCCCAACACTCCACTCTAACGTCGAAAGCCGAGCGAGCCGTTTGTAAACAGCACAGTAAACAAATCAGCTTACGCATCTCCTCGCCCAAATCCGCAATGAATTCTGACAGGGAATTCGAACGGCCTGCGCGTTCTGCAAAACTGCAGTGACGCTACGGCAAAAGGTAGCGCTCTCTAGACCAAATATTTTAATTAATTTTTCTTACTACTCTTTATACACACCGACAAATCTAATTAGGTGCTAAATGAGCAAGAGGTAATCAATAAATCGAAAATTCTAGGCCTACAGAAAAATCAGTGCCAAATTACAATGAAAAACAATTTACAAACGTTCGTCTCAGGAGAATTGGATTTTGCAAACTATTACTAACGCGCCGTAATTAATCAGTGGATATCAATATAAATAATACAAACTAGAGACCAGCTAAATTCCGCAAGAAATGTCCCAAAGACGCTTTATACAGAAAGCTCATCAATCTAGTGTTAACTTAAGTCGTAAATTCTACTAAGCCGCCTATCATTTCCGTACGCTGATCACGTGTTTGTGGACAAACCGTTTCTTATTCATCGATTTCTTTTTCGTTTAATAAATACTTGTTTTGCATAGCATTGTGCGGAAAAAAACAAAGATAAGACTCTCTTTTACTAACGACGTAAAGCAAACTAAGTATTATAAATGTTGTTATAGCCCGTCTGAAGCTGCGAAAGGAAAAACTATGAGATTATGTCTGAAGGGCAAATCGTTTAATATTTCAAACATTGAAGTGTATTTTTTCTACACCGCTTAATGTCTCTGTTTAACGAAATCCCATGCCAGTGATCACTTTCTGGTACGGTTCGATCTTTTTAGCAACGTTAGTGCGGGCCTTGTTTCTGATCTTTTCAAGAATAACCTTTCTCTGGTAATAGTTCTTGGACTTTAATTTCCTTTTCGTTTCCAAAGTCGACATTACGCCCTGATATTTCCAACCGACTTCGTGAGATAGACGGCCCAAAACACAGAACTGAAAAAAGGAAAAGCGTTTAAGAATAATGGAAAAAGAAAAGAAAAGTTTTAAGTTATGAAATGAGAATCAGATGGTGGTGCATGACGTGTTTTTCTCTTTTCATTAAGAGTCAAACTATGGCTAACGGATCATCAGCTTAGAAACACTGTACTTCAGAATCTGTAATGAAAAATACTTACATCTCGTCTTTGCTTCAATCTGATGACTCTAAGAGCGGATGGAACAACCAATCTCTTCTTCTTATCGTAAGGTGGCGGTATGCCTTCAAAAACCTTTAGCCTACCAAGAGCTTCCTTTCCACGAGTAGTTTTGTGGGGAATCATACCTAAAAGAAGATAAAATTAGTAACATTGTAAACATTTCGCCATTTAAACAAGATAATATTCAGGGATCAGACTAGGTTTGTCCTATCATGAATTTCAGCCAATGTAGGTAAGGATAGATTTTTCATCATATATGTGAAGATGCTAATAGCAGCGAAAAATATTTACCGCGGACAGTACGGTAGAAAATCTTGCTGGGTGCACGGAAATGGAAAGGACCCCGGCTTGGTTTGGTGTTCATTCTCTTACGGAGAAAATCCAAATATTTCACTAAACGAAACAATATTTTGGTTTAATATAAAATAATCTTTATTCTAGAGTCGAACTTACACTTGTTTCGGTAGAAGCTTCCGGAGATATTTATGCCTTCGCATCTTACAACGACAACCCTTTGCCCTTGAAGCAAAGATTTAGCGGTGATACTAGCAAGCCTACCCAAAAGGTGGCCTCGGGCGTCGATAAGCAACGGCTGTAGAAAAAGAGAAATGAAAATTTCATGAAAATGTGACTGGAACACGCGGCATGCTTTCTAGCTGCCATCTTGAAAATTTACAATATCAAATTTTTTCTTGAATTAAAAGAAATTTTACATAACTTCTTGTACATATACGTAGAATGACTTTTTACTACAAACATCAGACCGAAATAAATACAAAAAAATTATTTTATAACGGAAAATTTTAGATATTTATGAGCGAAAATATAAACCTTTGAATATAAGCCCATGGCGGAAGTAAAGGAAGAGTTTCCGGTTTTTCTCCAGAATGTAAACTTTTTTCTAGATGGCGTTAGTGTAGATTATGTGACGTGAGTTTGAGCATTAGAAATTTTTTTCGAGCAAAAAAATTAAATTAGGTGTCAAAGACATTTTCTTTGACATAATAAAAATTATATTTGTAAAATATCATATATTTTTCTATTCCTTTTGATAATAATAATAGAAATGTTATATTTTGCAATAAAATTGAATTTCAAACTTTAAAGTTTATTCGATATATATGGAAAAGAACAGCGTCACATACGGAAAGGATCAAATAACTTGTAGTCAATGACTTTTCACAAATTATCATCATAGGTCTCGAATGGACATGTCGTTGCCTTCAGTCGTTTACAACAGAAATATGCATTGAAAAAAAATGTAAAATCAAACAATTTCGATGGTATACATATATATATATATATAAACGTTTAACTAAATTTTAAACAATTAATAACGTAAACGAGAAAACAACAACAAACTGTTCAAAATTGTCTTTATTACTTTCGAAGTCTAACTGACAAAAATTCATCGATTGAGTCAGTGTTCCATTTATCGATGGCCAAGGTTTCCACTATTTGTTTATTTTCATCCATCATGTGCATTATAGGGTCAGCGCCACGAACATATTCTACTTTAAGTCCAGCATGCTTCTTAACCCTATCACTTTTGACAAATGCTTGAATTTGTGGAAACCTTCCCAATTTTCATCCACACACTTCTAAACGAGCAAACGAATATGTCTACAAAAATAAATAAGTATTGAATTTTATTTACATAAAATGTGATTAATTTTAGTTATTTTGATAATAAACTACCGTTTGCTGTTCATCTTCAGTGTCTTTGTGACAACATTGATGACAGTCTTCCGATAGAAAATCTAATTTGAAATCTCCTAACGTTTTACAGGAACTACATAACAAATTCGTTGAAAAGCCTCTATTGGAACACTCGGATCCAGACAATTGCTCCCCGCTTATTACAGTTATCTAGGAAAACATGATCGAAATTAATGAACGTGTTGAAAAAATATATAAGTAATACAAAAGACATGGAAATGAAGAGAAATGATAACTCAGTATAAACCATGCAAATACATAATTTTAAACAACATGTTTAATGAAGTTAATGTTCTATTTACCCATAAGGAGGGGAAAAATAGCAAAATGCTATTTAACTTCGCCATTCGGCGGTATGCTATTGGTTCATATACTATCACGTGATATTGGGACACGTGACATCATGATTACTTTCAGTCAACTTGCTGTTACCCACGTTTATTCAAAAAATATCCTCTCGAATCTACAAAATCGTTATCCAAGGGGAAGAATCAGAATAATTTTGATAAGGTATATTTTATACACAATCAAATAAAATTATTTATGATATTCTAATGTCTCGAAAGTATGAAAAATGAGCGATTTTTCGAAAGCATGTACAAAACCATAACGTAGTCAACAGCAGCAATTACTATTGCTGATTGTGTTACAGTTGTGGAAAATAATTTCAAATTTATGATGCTTTACTGTAAATGTCTGTTCTAGACATTTCTGTAAACCAGTATCAGACGTTTGGACGTTTTCGAGAGTTGATGTGATTGAAAATTATGTCTTAGTAGAAAACGGAACATTAATTTGATGTTTTTTTCAGAATGTAATTTTGGGAGTAAGAATTATCAGGAATGAAACTTAAAGAAGGTCTATCATAAACTGCAAAAAAGGTGTAGGATTATAAGAAGACAAAATGAAGTTTTGGCAAAGAGAAGAAGATTGATTGTTCTTAGACGATGAACCACGATATTCTTGACTTGATAACATTAATAAAACTGTAATGATTGTACAAGTAGTCTTACTTTTGTATTCGATACTGAACTACTAATTAATTGTAAATATCTTCCTACAAATTAATGGTTCCTTTTCGGCTTTTAACAATAAAAAATATTAAAATAATTTCAAGGTAAACGAACCATTGGAAAAAATGAACAACACAAAATATTTCATAAAACATAATTTATCGATGAATTTGAACTTGGAACCTACCTGTAAAAGAAGTAAAAAGTAAATTAATGAATCAACTGTAAACGCTTACGTACATTCTGGTAGAGAATTTACATCTGCTGTCACTATACTGATTAAACCAAAGTTAGATAGTGCTCCTCTTATAAGGCCGCAGGAAAACGCAATAAACTGAAATGGTTAATGTTATATTTTACTAAAGTTATAAGGGAATATACTTTTGGTGCGATTTCGACGTATTCTTTTTCACTTGATAGATGTGTTAGCAGACGAAATTTTTTATCCAGCAGAACATAAACTCCCTGAACAAGAATCTACATGTAAAACTATTTAGCAAATGCAACTTAAAAGAGTCAGACAAGAAGTTTGAAAACAAAAATAAAATAAAAGTCTATTCATAATATAGACTCGATTTCTACAAAAAATACCTGGTGATTTGTTCTTAAATTATCTACTTGTTTTTTAAATACTGCTGTCCAGAAGTCTTTGCATATAAATTTCATTATATCTAATTCATCTTTAAATCTTGGTGAATCTTTTGTAAATCTATCTATCATTCCTTGACCAACGCGATGACCCATCTTCTCTAGTTTGCTCACAATTAAATCCTGGTGAGCGATAATATACAAATTAGATCTATACTTCTTATTTTTTGCTTCTCGTACCTTGTTATGAATTCCTTCCCGACCTGCGACAACGTTTACAATCTCCATATGAAGATATTCAAAAATAATGTCTTCTCCAATCGACATGGCTTTCTAAGATTATTACTAAACCGTTGAAGGATAAAAAAGAAAAAAAAACATAAAACTAGTATTTCGCCCTCTGGCGGATTGATTTTTGACGAGAATTATAAACTAGTCATGGTTTGCAAAGAAGAATGAGTATTGAACTTTGATGTTTATTTAAAGAGTTTTTGTATAGATATTTAAAAAAATATTCATTATTATTTAGCTTAAATAAACGTAACGTTTCCAGAAGAAAATTCAAGTTTGTTTTTAAATCTGAGTAATAATGCTCATACGAACATATTATTTTCTATCCTGTTGTGTATCCCATTTTATTTGGGGCCTAGATATAAATGATATACACACCCTTTTCATTCCGGCAAATAGTAATGTGACGAGAGATGTTACATATCATGGATTAGTAAAGTTGCAATCGTCATCTTACCAGAGGGTAAGTGTACCGTGTCTTAATAAATTGTCATTTGGACAAAATCCTGAAATTAATTATATTGGTCAATATCTAATTATTCATTGTCAAAATTCTACTATGTGTAATAAAAGTGATAATATACCTTTTGTTTATGGTTATTTAAAGGGAAATATAACTTTTCGCTATTCAGATGAAGGTAATTAATTAATTTTTTAATTAACTATTTTAATCAAGATACTATTTACCTATTCTAAATTCCTATAGATGAAATGTTCTCGGGAAATCAATTCCTCTTCCAAATGATTGACGACTCGGCAATACTTTACTTTGAACCATTCTGGACAAACCTAACATCCTTTCACTGTATTATTTTAACAGTTTTTGAAAAAGAATTAAACGATTTACATGTGCATACTCATTATTCAAAACATGTAGTTAGTAAACCAAATTTAACAATGACTGTATCTACTGTGGAGACAAGCCATGAATATTTATCACATTTATCTTGCAAAGAGCTACCTGGAAGGAATTTATTCGCTAAATATATGTTACAACTATATAATGAAATAGAACATCAAAAGATTATTTCAAACATTTTCCTGAATAAATTGAAGTATAAAATTCGTTGTTACTCAATTGGAGAAGAGAAAATTAGAAAAATGATCTTTTCAACTGCTTTACAAAGAAAGATATATTTGATGAATTCTAAATTTAGGAGCGGTGGAAATGTCTATAATATTACAGGTACTATCAATCCATTTGATTCTTATTAACTATTGAGCTTTAATTAAAAATATGAAATTAATTTTAAATAAATAGTTCGCATTTCTGACGAATTGGAAAAAGGTCGACATTACATAATATCATCCTTAAAAGACTTTGAAAAATGGCCAGAATTAGATTTAAAAGCTATTTTCCTACGAAAAAGTCGTAATATATATAAATCTATTTGTATTCCCGGAAGTTATATGACAAATGATAAGTGCATACTGTGTCCTAGAGGAAGCTATCACTTCATTCCTACAAAAACCTCCAATAAATGTTTTACATGCCCCCCATATACTTACAACTCGAGAGAGGGTGCACTCAACTGTATTAATTGTAGAAATGTTACAAAATCTAATATTGCGGTTTGGGGTAGTGTTAATAAACTTATAGCATGCTCTAATTCCATTCTAAGAGCTAGTAGAAAAATTCCACATAGCTTTGCGTATGTTGGCAGTCGAATTAAATTAAGCTGCGCCAATAAATCTTATCAATACCCACAGTTTGTTATTTAACGTAAAAACAACACATTTTATGTATTTCAATCTGTGCTTTCTCGTTGACTAGACTTCCTTCCAACATTGGCTACGAATGGCAAACAGAAAGTGGAGCAAGAGTAATTCCTACAAGTAGAATACAAGTTACTAACAATGGAAAAGAATTGAGTATATTTGATGCTTCTTTGGCAGATAGTCAGCTGTATAATTGTATCATTTATTCAAATATGATCAATCTAACTTTTAGTCATTTATTAACTGTCTTTGAAATACCTATAAGGAAAGAATTAGTAACGATTTTGGAACCAATTCCCGGCTACAAATTATATTCAAGCTGTAAATATTTCAATAAATCATTTTTATCAAAAAAGATTGAAATAATTAAAGCTGACATCTTAAGTAAAATATGTATAGGTAACTGTTTGGCAAAAGGTGTATATGTAAACTTACAATGTGTAATTGATAAGAGAATAATTGCTGAAATAGTTAAAAAATCAACTGAACGTGAGTTAAATTGGACAGATAGTTCTGGAAACAATCTAAAAGCTTTTGAAATTGCTGATATTTTCTCAATACAAAAACCCGAAATGAAGTGGATGAAAAAAAAAAGTCAGAAATGGAAACAAATTCCATCGGGCAGTTTGGTACTTTCTTTTACTATCTATCCTTTAGAAAGTATGAAAGCTAGAGAAAAATGTACAAAAAATTACTCATCAGTACAAATAGATCCTAATTTTCAAAACATCTACACTGAATATTTAAAAGCAAATTACTATACAAAGAAAGAGTTTAGGAAATTCGAAGAATTTATTGAAGAAACTGGTGATGGGGGAAAGAGTTGGTTTTCGAAACTTTACTGCTTAGTAGTAGAATATTTTAAAATTCCTCTTAATACTTTTAAAAAGAAAATAAAATATTCTTTGACACAAAACGTCTTTCAAGAGCATTCAAATAGAGATAGTTCAGATGATTTCTATTGCGGAGCAGGAAGCGAGTTCGATCCTTTTGTTTTAATTTGCATACCGTGTAAGCCAGGATATTATCGAAGTCCTACAGATTTACATGAAAAGTTTTGTAGAAAATGTCAACCGGGTTCGTACTCGGATGAGTATGGTTCTAGGAAATGCAAGAAATGCGAAAATAAACTTTATGCTATCGAAGGTTCGGACAGCAAGTTCCATTGTAAAATTCGTGTTAATGATTCCGAGGTATTTCCAAAATGGCATAGAAAAAGTAATGAGCCAATTGATCTGGGAAAATATACGAAATATATAAATGACGAATATTTCAACTCTGAAGAATTTTTTCAAGATTTTAAAACGGAACATACTGCTAAGAATAAAAGGAGCTTAAATTTAAATCTTGAGGGTGAAGTAATTGATAATAAAAGTATATATAATTTGAAAGATTCAAAGCAAATTACGAATAAGTCGTTTGTTCCATTATTTGGTATTTATAAAGTTAATATAAAAGAGTATTACGTTTTACCCATTTACATATTATTTGGGATACTTATACTTGAAGTATTCTTGTGCACAATAGCTTAAAATGAACGGCTATTGTAACATGAAGCTATTTCTTCTTCCTTTGGTTTACGTTAGCAGCTGGAGTTTTCATATTCGGCTTTATATACAGTATATATAAAACTGGACTCTGCACTTAATTGGAATCTATCTCGAAAGAGATTGTTTTGTATGTAAATTGCGACACTCGATTCTCTTATGCATTCTGTGCTTGTATATTCTGCATCATTTAGGTTTTCAAGCTGATAAAAATTACGGCACCCGAGACAAAGCAAATTATTTTGTAGCTACCAAATTTTGAAGAGTGCTGTTATTATGGCTGAAGCTCTCCAATCGCAAATTATTAAAGGACTCAACGATTTATGGAGGAATGAATTATTGACGGATTATGTAATAATAGTTTGCTATCCTGGAGAAACTACAAGATCAATAAACTGCCATAAAACCGTATTATACGGTATCAGTGGGTATTTTAGAACTATATTTCAATCACAGTTTAAAGATGGAAGAAATAATGTTGGCAGAATGTCATCAGAGAATGTTTGTGCAAATTGCATTATAGATATTTTAGGTTATTCCTGCGGTTCTTCTGCATTAAGGATTAATGGAGATAATTATTTAAATATGTTAAAGACAGCAGATTATTTAGACATTGCATTGGTAAAGAAGAAATGCAGTACATTTCTGATAGAGAATTTGACCATTGATAATTGTCTTGGTTTGTATTTTACTAACAATTCACTCTAATTGCTAATAATATTACCAAAACTTTCCAATGAAATAGAAATATTGGCAGTTGTCGACTTATACAATTTATCAGATAACACTAAAAATGATTGTAAGGTATTCATAATCGAAAAATTTGTAACCTTAACAAAAAAGAAGACTATTTATTCATTACCATTTGCTATGGTTTGTATTTATAAAATTGTTCTTTAGAATAGACTTATATTAAAAATGTATTTTTAGTTTGCTAGTCTGCTTGAAGTAACTTTATTTGTACCTGAAGAAGGATTATCAGAAATTTTTGTTATTCGAGTAAGCATTTTCATTTGTTTTTATATAAGAAAAAAGTTTTTATTATCTACTTTCTACAATTTATTTCAAGACTATCGAGAAATATATAAACAAGAAAAAAATAAGTGAAAAATTAAGCATTGAAAAAACAAAGGAATACTATCGAAAACTTTTTGATCGTGTCAAATTCAATCTTCTCTCTCAAAGTGATAAGGAGGCTCTATTAAAAAAATATGATCCAGAAGCGAAACCCCTACTATTGGAATGTTTTAACAAGACATACGTTAATTTTGTTCCTAGAGGTTTTGGTTCGTAGTTATTATTTCTTTCATTTTTCATTTCCATATAATATTTTTAAATTTATTGAAGAAATTGGAACCTTTACTCACGAGCCTTTAGCTGGAAGAAATTTCATATCACACGAAGTTGACTGTTTTGATGATGAAGATCGAACAGATAAGGTAAATAGTCAAATTCGATTTCAATTGAATGCAATAAATATATACTTTTATAGCAAAGAATAACTGGTTTGACTATTTATATTCGGTTATGGGATAACCGTCCAGTTGTCGGAGGTATAAATATATAACGAAAATTTTCACAATAGTTATTGTGCTCGTTTTAAACTCAATAATCAGGTCTGCTTGTCAATTACGGTTCAAGTGTAAGTAAATTACACGGAGGTAGGCAAGGAGAAAGGTTAGTTTTCGAGTTGTAGCTCTTCGAAAAACTGTCGATAAATTATAAACATTTTTTTTTCAATAGCCATTCTTTCGATTTAGATGAGGGTGAAGACATTATTGGAGTGAAGGCGAGAGATGGTTGGCTGATCGACTCTTTACAATTCGAAACACCTAAAAGAAAAATTGGACCTTTCGGCGGTCTTGGTGGATCATCCAAGCAGTGTTATCCCAATAAGATATTGAAGCAACCCTATCTATCATTTCTTAGTGGGAAAGTTGTTTTCACGCAAGGAAATCTAGCAATTACACATCTGAGATTTCACTACAGAGGATTCAAGTAAAATTAATTCAAAACACTTATTCCAGCATTCCTTATAGCTATTACATTACTATTAACAGGAAACATGGCCACATGAGATGATTTGGATAAAGAAACATAATTTATGACTACTTTTCTTCTCACACATGAAGAAATGTACGAAACTTCTGATATTTCAAGCTACAAGCATGTATATTATATATCTGAGAGACAAATTCAAGTTAACAATTTGATTGGAAACATTGGGTAAAATGTGTATTTTTGGTGCCACATAGATACATGGTTTAGTAGTATTTTTTTTCATTTGATCTATAGTTTAAGTGAAGATTTCTTTCCCAATCTTATCAGTATATTTTTTTCTAGTCATTTTTATCTCTTTTTTTTTAAGTTTAATTGTTCAGGTTAATTAAATGTTTATGGAACTATTGTGCTTTTAAATTTTAATATCAACTATCGAGCATTGAATAAATCTACTATATTCTTAAAACTGATGTTGAGCTAAGCACATTGCTCACACGGTTAATCACAAATGACAATATTGTACAGCTTGTTACGGAAACATTTAGTTATAGGTCTATTATGATAGCATATCACTATATTTTAGACGATTCCACGAAACGCTTAGGCTGAATATGTAAGAACTTGATAGAGCATAGACAGCATGGTTCCCATCCCAACACCAAATGACAACGCTCTTGTTGGTTGTTTAATTGGAATCTATAAAAGTAAAATGAATTACACAAGCAAAACAATCAATTTATAGCTACTTACTTGATAAGCAAGCATGTGGACGATTCTCGAGAAAGCAAACACTCTAAAATGCCAGGTTGCAACATTCAAGTCAGGCTTTGTTAGAACATAGAAGAATCCAATAAGAACAAATGGGAAAATGTTCTCCATATCATTCAAGTGATTTCTGAATGCATAGTTCTTATAAATAATTGCAACATAAATTATATCTAAAGAAAAGTAACCTTCGGCCTCTTTCTACTGATTCGTTGATTCCAACTTTAGCAGTTGGGTTTCCTTTTTTGTCTCGGGAGAGAACGTCTTCTTTATTTGCAAAAGTCTGAAGAGGTCAAAATATAAGACCATGTTAGAGATACCTAGTTATTCTGTATATTACCCCGGTGGAAAAACGTCTGTAAACTATCATAGGTACTATAGCAAACATCTTCCCGATGCTAATTGCAGAATAATATGCAAATTGAGCAAAGACGGGATTAGAAAAAGTCAATAAGTTCTCTGCCATGATTTTTGATTTTTTCGTGTAACTAAATCGGACGTCAAAATTGGTGTGAGTAAATATGTCATTCGATGTCGGTGTAGCTTTTGTTGATTGGTTGAGGTATGTAAAAATTATCGTGATTGGTTAAACAAACTATAGGCGCCTGTTTTAATAAACAAGTCGTGTTGTTGTTAGAAGTCTAAGTCAAAATCTGTTTTCTTTATTGTTTTTCCATAAATATATATAGATTATTAAACGGCTCATTTCTTGACAAATACTTTCAATTAATGTATATATGTCGCCATACAATTCCCTCAAAATGTAAAAGCTAAAATAAAAATCAATAATATTTATTATTTAAAAATTTTTACAATAATATAGAAAGTAATTCAATTCCTAGGCCCTATTAGTTACTTTTAAATACATATAGAAACAACTTAGTATATCAAAGTGTGCCATCTGGCGGTGGTATACTTGAAAGGATAAATTCAAGTAGTGATAAGTAATTTTGATATTGTATATTATTTTTTTAAAGATTCTTTAAGATTGAAATGAAATAAGTTAATACTTCAAAGAAGAAATTTGAATATATTTTCTTAAATTACTCACCAGATGGCCCCAAAAACAAAACTGGTTTTGCGTAATTCAGCTATTTTAGATCGTATTTTAATTTTTAAAAAATATCAAACGAAAGTTTTAATGATAAAAATTAATATACTCACGTATTAAACAAATTGTAGGACGAGAGGGTATTCTCAAGGTCAAGTGCACTGCGACCTTGGCCTGCAACTTCAATTCGCTAGTTGATATCTTTCGTCAAGAATAAAATAATTTGAAGGTAAATAGTTTGCTTATAATTTTTTTAATGTTTGCTAATTTAGGTTAAACAACCAGAGCAAAATGGCAACACCTCAAAGCGACCAAGACCGTCGTAAACAAATTTCTGTTAGAGGAATCGCCCAAGTTGAGAATGTTACAAATATAAAGAAGACATTCAACCGTCACTTACATTATACACTAGTGAAGGATAGAAATGTTGCAACTCAAAGAGACTATTACTTCGCTTTGGCAGAAACTGTTAGAGATCATTTGGTTGGAAGATGGATCAGGACTCAACAATACTATTATGAAAAAGATCCGAAGGTGAAAATTCTGTTTATAATATATATGCTATATAGTATAGCATTTTTTGTATTAGGATATTTTCGATAATAGGCTGTGTTTATTGTTTACAATATATAACAATTATCCATGTAATTGAATAGCTTTTATTCCAATTCATAGAGAATGAACATTAATCATATAGTCGTATTTTAAATGATGCTTGGCAAACTCTATTTTTAATTTGTTTTATATCTTTCAGAGAATTTATTATCTTTCGCTTGAGTTCTATATGGGAAGATCACTTACAAACACCATGTGCAATCTAGGCATACAAAATGCTACTGATGAGGCTCTATATCAGGTTACTTCTAAAGTTTCATACTAACCAAAAGAAGATTCTATTTGTAAACAATTTTAACTAATAGATGGGTCTTGATATCGAAGAGCTCGAGGATATTGAACAAGATGCTGGATTAGGAAATGGTGGTTTGGGTAGACTAGCTGCTTGCTTCCTTGATTCTATGGCTACCTTGGGTTTAGCAGCCTATGGTTATGGTATAAGATATGATTATGGAATATTTACGCAAAGAATTAAGGACGGTTGGCAAGTTGAAGAACCAGACGATTGGCTAAGGTATAATTTTTCTTATTTTCTATTATTTCGCTTCGAAATCATTTCTTCCATATTCAATACAAAATCTTGTTTTTGTCGTATTGTTAGTATGTCCTATATTCAAACCTTCTTATAGTCCTATATGTCATTTAAACCAGATACGGTAATCCTTGGGAAAAAGCTCGGCCAGAGTATACCATACCGGTGAACTTTTATGGAAGAGTTGACAATTCTACTGGAAAGGCAAGATGGGTTGATACGACGGTATGCCGTTTATTTTAATTACTGGTGTAGAGTCTATTTCATTTCTTTAGCTTTATTATGAAACGAAAGAGCCATTTTTGGTTAAGTTTGTAATTAATCTAATTACATGCAGATTTGTTTCGCCATGCCTTATGATAGTCCTATTCCGGGATATAGTAATAATTGCGTTAACACTTTAAGGCTATGGTCGGCTAAAGCGCCGGCATCATTTAAACTCCAATTCTGTAAGTGAGAACTTCACAGCGAAAGTGTAATAAACAAATACTAATAATAATCTTTGATGAACTTGTACTAATTTATTTAAATCCTTTGAAATTTACCCCCCTCCTCAGTTTGCAGTGTTAATTTTTTTCAGGTTGTTTATGCAATGCCGTACGATAGCCCTGTTCCGGGCTATGGCAACAATGTAGTTAATACCATGCGTTTGTGGTCAGCAAAAGCCCCCTCCTCTTTTCATTTAGAATTTTGTGAGTTTTTCCTTTAACAAAGTTTCAATGCAAATTAATTTTAATTAGTTATTAATTATAAATTATGACTGATTTATTGCTTATCTTTGCTTAGTCAATAGCGGAGATTACATACAAGCAGTGTGCGACAGAAATCTTGCAGAAAACATCTCGAGAGTACTCTATCCAAATGATAATGTAAGTACCTTAAAGATATGATAATTGATGTCTTTGTGAGATATTAATATCTTTTTTATCATAGTTCTTCGAAGGAAAAGAGCTCCGATTAAAGCAGGAATATTTCCTTGTCGCTGCAACTTTACAAGATATTATTCGCCGTTTTAAGTCATCTAAATTTGGTAGTAAAGATCCAGTACGAACCAGCTTTGATCTCTTTTCAGAGAAGGTTGCCATCCAATTGAATGACACTCATCCTTCATTGGCCATACCTGAATTAATGAGATTACTAATCGATATTGAAGGACTGACTTGGGAAAATGCTTGGAAGATAGTGATTGATACATGTGCTTACACAAATCACACAATCTTACCTGAAGCTCTGGAGAGATGGCCGGTACACCTGTTGGAAAGGCTGCTCCCGAGACATTTGCAAATCATCTATGAGATTAATGCTAGATTTTTGGATCAAGTCAGAATTAGATGGCCTGGAGACAATGAAAGACTACGAAGAATGTCTTTGGTTGAGGAGGGAGTCGAAAAGAAGATTAACATGGCTCATCTTTGCATTGTTGGAAGTCATGCAGTAAATGGAGTGGCAGCGATTCATTCAAATATTATAAAAAGTAAAACTTTCAGAGATTTTGCCGAATTTTATCCAGCTAAATTTCAAAACAAGACCAATGGTGTTACACCTAGACGTTGGTTACTTTTGTGTAATCCTGGATTATCAGATTTAATTGCAGAAAAGATTGGAGATAAATGGATTGTTGAATTAAGCGATTTGAGAAGATTGAACGAGTTTGCCAATGATAAAAACTTCCTAAATGCAGTTATGCAAGTTAAACAAGAAAATAAGATGAAATTAGCAAAATTGATTGAAAAAGAGTTTGGAATTCGTATTGATTCGTGCTCTATCTTTGATGTACAAGTGAAGAGATTGCATGAATATAAGAGGCAATTGATGAATATTCTTCATGTGATAACACTTTTCAATAGAATAAAAAAGAATCCATCTATTAAAATGGCTTCAAGAACCATAATGATTGGAGGCAAAGCTGCCCCCGGTTATCATATGGCGAAGTTGATAATAAAATTATTCAACAATGTTGCAAGAGCTGTTAACTCTGATCCTATTGTCAACAAGAAGATGAAATGCGTTTTTCTTGAAAATTATAGAGTTTCCCTTGCTGAAAAGGTCATTCCGGCAGCTGACTTAAGTGAACAAATTTCGACAGCCGGAACTGAAGCTTCAGGCACTGGTAACATGAAATTTCAAATGAACGGAGCTTTAACCATAGGAACTTTAGACGGAGCAAATGTTGAAATGAAAGAAGAGATGGGAGATGATAATATATTTATATTTGGAATGACTGTCGATGAAGTGGATGAGTTGGCAGCATCTGCTTACAAACCATATGACTATTACGAGAAAGATCCAGAGCTAAAGCAAGTAATCGATCAAATTGCTGGAGGATTCTTCTCACCTGAGAACCCTGATATGTTCAAGGACGTCGCTAATTCTCTAATGCATAATGACAAGTATATGTTGCTTGCCGACTATAGACCTTACATAGACTGTCAAGACAGAGTAGCAGCTTGCTATATGAACCCACATGAGTGGGCAAAGAAGGTTGTATACAACATTGCTTCATCTGGAAAGTTTTCCAGCGACAGAACCATTGAGCAATATGCTACAGAAATTTGGAATACCCCGGTAGCAAAAGATAAGCTCCCAGCTCCTTTTGAAACTCCTCAAAGAGAACAAGAGCTAATTGAACAAGGAAAATGAAATACTTAAACAATATGTTTGAACATTACCGTTTTGTTTTTTACCCATATAATTAATTATTTGGTGTTAGGTTGCTTACGAAAAAAATAAGAAGCAGCGGAACTGCAAATTAGTATTAACATTGATGTATCCCGTGTGCTTAATTAGTATTACAGGCCTGTAGACCTAGCAGTTCCTCGATTAATGGCAAATAATACATCCTTTCTCGAATTAGGTGAGGAGGAAAAATCTAATATTTTGTGTCGTATTGAGTTCGTTCATTAATATTTTTGAAATTTTTGATTGAATACATAGTATGATCACTCGAAAAATTTTATTTTCTTTTAAACATCCTACACAATGATACTTGTTACATAGACTTCTAATACACATGAAATATTAAAAGATTGTTCAAAATGTTCATTATTTACTATTAGACTTGATGTATTCATGAAGAAACCAGTACATAAATCATACTGAAAAAAAAATTGAATTAAGTTGTACGTTCTTTTAATTTAATAATTGAAAGTGCTAATGTTATTGATCCAACAACTCAAGGCAAACTTTTAAATTAGAAAAATTCAATTAAATATATACTACGCCTAGTCCAGTTGGAATTATAACAGCAGCTGTATTGCCAATTATACTAACCTGTAAAGATAGTAAAAGAAGGACAACAAGTAAAATGCCAGTTTTATCCATCCTTCTTTCATCGCTCTACTCAATTGATCAGCATTCATGATTGTAGTGGGATCATATAATCCAGGCGCACTCATGACGGGACGATTCTTGTAGCGATGAATATGATAGGCAATAAGTGGTATATTCATTATAAGAGTTCCCCATTGATAGCCGAATAAAAATAATATATTGTAGAATACGTGTATTCCATACTCGGGTAAAACCAACTAAAAGAATGAAACAGTAAATTAACAAGAATAATAAGCTCAATATAGCTACATACCGGATTTAGACTGTTACATTGGTCGATTGGGTTTTTATAATCAGTTTTCAGTTCATCAAAAGCAATAATCTGTAAATAAAGAAAAAAGTAAGAACAGTTACAAAAAACCGGTAAGGTAAAAGAGTAGTTTGATCATACTCCTTTAAAATTCGTCGGTAAACTTTCAAAAATCAAATGTTACACGTCTGCACATAACTTTAAGCTTTACTTACGTGATAAATAACGAAAAAGATTAAAAACGCTGACAGTATTAATGCAACTATGTAGCAAAAAGCAGCGAATGTGAACGCCATTATCAGGGGAACTAGAGGCTAGAAACCGGAAGTTTTGACAAAACACAGCGACACTTCTACCAGTTTTTATCAAACTAAGCTCTCTACCATATCGAAATAATCGAACTACTTTTAGGTCCAAAAGTGGAAGTTAAACTATTTATAATTCTTCAAAATGAGTCTGGTAATTATTATATGAAAATTATCTCAAGCTATACTGATTGATTGTACACACTTAATATACTTTGCTATCGCTCACAGGAGGCATCTATAATTACTTCTGAAACGGCTGATGAAACCGGCTTAAAGTTTGTTGAATTATTTTACGAAGCAATGGATCGGCAGCGTCATGTAATACAAAAATAGTATATGTAATAATAGTATTTTAGTTTTCTAATGATATAATCAATTTAGAATCTGAATAAATTCTTTTTACCGATGTCTGAAATGGTATGGTCAGGAGAGAAGGTGACGGGGGATAATATTAGTAAATATTTTGAAAAATTTCCAACTTCCAAGCACAACGTTGAATGCGTCGATGCACAACCGATAACATGTGCAGGTATGACTCGCTCTATTTTGAAAATAATTTTTCAAAGTTCTCATTGCAGCCGAAAGATCAGGGAAACCCTCTACGATCGTTTCTGTTAGTGGAACTGTCAGTTTTAATGATGATAAATTAAAACTCTTCAGTTCTCAGTTTATATTAATTGCTGAAAACAACACTTGGAAAGTTTTGAACTCTTCTATTAGACTCTTTGATTAATTGTTGTCTTCTTGTCAATCGTTTTGAAAAGTGTCGAACAGAAGCATGTTTGTGTACAGTGTATATAATTTGATCATAAAGATTTTAGTAACACATGACTTAAAAAAGATTACAGTATATATTTTACAATAAAGAAACATTTTTTCGACATAATAGAATATCTATAGCTCTGAAATACTATTGACTCTCTTCAAAGAAAACAACATCTTCAACAGTTGTCGATTCAGCAAAAGACTGATGAGGACTTTCTATTCTTGACCTCTTAGCATCGTTATCAACCATAGATGAATCTGCCTTGCGCTTGTTTGAAATTTCATTTCTATGTTTATCAAAAATATGTCGATCTCTCAAAAATTCATTAATGAACGTGTCTTTGCAATGATCACATTTTTCCATTCTACCATGATACGTTTTGATATGCCTAATGAGCGATTGGGCATTAGATGATGGTCTGGAACTCTGAAATTCCAGCAAGCAGATAGGGCATACATTAGGAATTTGGACATTATTCAAGTGAGAGTTTCGTATGTGCTTCAAAATTCCTGCAGATGTCGTCGAGGAATGTTGGCAAACTTCACACATGATTAATGTTTCATTATTATCCCCTTTCGCATAAAAAGCAAAATTTGAACTTATTATTGGTTTTAATTTATCTAAGTGCTGCTGTACGTGATGCTGAAACTTTTCATCACTCTCACAAAGCACCTGACAAAAGTTGCAAAAGTTGTGAGTGTCATTATCCTTTTTTACTGATGATGCTTTCTTTCCATTAGATAGTTTTTTCAAGTTTTCTTTTGGCTCTTTATGATCATTAACATATATCCATAACCTATGATTTTCATCTTGTAGCTCTTCGATTTGTTTCTCTAGTTTTGCATGAAATTCCTCTAGAAGTTTACACTTTTTCTCTTCATTGCGTAATAGTTCTTTTCTTTCCTTTGCCTGTAAAAAGTACTTTGAGTATTAGTAAGTTTTTTTATATTGCATCCATCGTATGTAACATTTGAATTTAAACAATTTCTAAATATTATTATAATTGGAAAAGATTCGAACTTTTTCGTATAGTTCCTTCATGGCTGCTTCATTGTCTTGATTATCTGAACTCTGTTCTTCCAGACTAGCATACTTCTTCTTCAAAGCTTTTAGCTCAGACTTCAACATGGAGTTTTTCTCCTTAAGAATTTCATTTTCCATTATATAATCATTGTTTTCTAGTTTTTCCTGTAGTGAAATGATTTGGGATTTTAGTGATTTTACTTCTGACTTCAAGCATTTCTTCTTTTGTCGCAAACGTTCGTTGTCATCCCTAAAAATGATGTTGCATGACGATTAAAAACATACACAGAATATTAGTATCTATCAGTGTATATAATTCTAATATACACAATGATATGGAAAACGAGTTTTTCAAAACTCGAAAAACTTTCGGAAATTATCACTCTCGAGTTATTTGGCACCACGTGCTTTCAACAAGTTCTGTAAATTAGAGGCGAAAGAAAACTTACCTAATCTCAATAAAACGATTTCCATATCTTAAAACAGCCTTTTCAAAATCTCTTTGAAATATGTCATCTATATTTTTATCCGGCGAATTGGACATTTTAAAGATATAGCAGTTTGGATGAAGTCTGCTACGGAAACGAGTTTAAATATATCACTTCCGTTTTACGGTTATATATTTTTGCATGAAAAAATACGTTTAGCAACTTTAATATTTAGCAGGAAGCAAAGAAACATAGTTTTTTTATTTTTTTTTTACATTGTTTACGAAAACCCTTCAAGATGGCGATGCGAGACTTTTTTGGAACAAATAATCCCACTTTCTTAGCAGAAAGGGCTGCAAGATCGGTTTTCGGTAGTAAAATTTTATAAAATTTATGTTTCTTTTGTCAAAAATGCAAACAGTGAAAAATAAATTCTCTTTAAGTGTTTTTTCGTTTTGTCGGCAAGTTTTAACCGATAATTTCAAGGAGTTCATATTTTTCGTTTTTTTTCAAATTAGTGGGAAACATACCTTATGAAGCAACAGAAGATAGTCTTAGAGATATATTTGCTCAAGTTGGAACTGTTCTAAACTTCAGGTCAGATACATCTTCCTTTTAGATACAAAAAAGCCTTTGCGTAAAATTATTATATAATTTACATTTAATTTTTAAAATCTGGTCACTTTTCTAAATTAATGTACTCCATTTTTACAGGTTGGTTTATGATCGAGATTCTGGTAAGCCGAAAGGTTATGGATTCTGCGAGTATCAAGATGCCGAAACTGCCCAATCGGCAATGAGAAATCTCAATAACCACGATTATCATGGCAGAGCTCTAAGAGTTGGTGTTGCTCAAGGAGATGTACCTTTCAAGGATGAAATTCGTCAACAACCCGTACCAGGTCCCCAGTTTGAATCACCCTATGGACCGACCGTTGAGCCAAACGAAGCACCAGAAGCTATTTCTAAGATTGTTGCATCTCTACCACCAGAGCAAATGCAAGAATTGATGAAACAAATGAAATTATGTATACAAAATGATCCAAATGAGGCTAGAAATGCCTTACTTCAAAATCCACAATTAGCATATGCTTTGCTACAAGTTCAGATTGTTATGAAAGTTATCGACCCTCAGGTAAAACTCAAACAAAGTGAAAAAAAAATCAAAAGATCAATAAAATTTTAAATTATTAAACTTTGACTAGGTTGCTAAAGGTATGCTACATAGACAACCTGAAAGTGTTCCGTCAAGTGTTATTTCTGCAAGTGATATGCCGTTTATTCCTCAGAGACCGTCAAATACCAATTCACCAATGCCCGATACTACAAGGGTAAAGCTATCTGATAGTCTTATCTATATCTAATTAAATAGTTGTCTTTTTTTGCTCAGGCTGCTGGAGGCGATTTAGTTGTTGGAAGAATATCGGCTCCTGAGGAGCCAAGACGTCCGGCAGATGTCTCGGAGACAAGAGGTAGAGGTTTCTTATTGCCTTTTTACTTTGCCTGTGAATCTATTGAAATATTTAACTCTCAGATCCTAGACGGCAAATGGCATCAGCTGATCCTAGAGCCAGGGCAGCGGTAACAACAAGAAACGAATCTACACCGCCTTCTCAAGCCGAAGACGAAAAAACAGCCTTAATAATGCAAGTTTTACAATTATCGGATGAACAAATTAGCATGCTCCCACCAGAACAAAGACAAAGTATTTTGATTTTGAGGGAACAGATAACGAGGTCATCTAATTCTATGTAATTTTGTTAAAAGTGATTATGTTAATAGTTATTCAATTTTTTTATCTATAAAATAATATTATGTTCAATTAAAGAATCCTTTACATATTCAATTCATGACGTTTTATAAATTAACCATTGATGCGTTATTTTTTTAACCGTATATGCGTAGAACATGTCTGTAGAAATAAGATCCAGAATGATTAATATGCTATGACTACAAAAGCTTGTATTTTCTCATGGATAATAATATAAGCACACATTTTAATAAATAGTATGACGGAAATAATGATACTCCGACACATTTGCTACTTAAATATAATATACGTACTTTCCTTTAAAAGTTCCACAAAACTTTTATAAGCAGCTAAATCTTTTTTAGTAGCCATTTTGATTTTTTGAAAATTTGCTTACATCTTGTCTAAGGTTGTCTACAAAGAGTTTCCTTTGAAAAGCTTCCGGTTGGACAAAATTTTGTAATTTTGAGTTCAAGACTAAACTTTCTTTCGAAAGATTTCGGATTAAAAAGTCTAATAATCATGATTTAAAAGATCAAAAGTTTTAATATTTCGTTAATTAAATTTGAGTTTTTTCGGAATTTTAAATTTTTAAGGAAGGTTATAGCAAAAATGGAGAGATCATTTGGAAGCGGTTTCTCTGACGAAGATAGTGACATTGAAGTAATTAAAATTTATATTGCTCATAATATAGTAAATTAAAATTATTTCAGGAGCTTATAGGGAGTATTGACACTGACGATCAACAAATAAATTCTAAAGAAGATAGAACAATTATTAAAGAGTCACAACCAACCAATAATTCTCAGAAACTAAGTTTTTTAGATAAGAATCGTTCAACTTCTTCCATAAATTCACAAAATATTTTTGAAATTCCGGCTACTTTGACTCAAGATAGTGGCTTTCTTGTACCAAGAAGTGTTAATAATACAAAAAAGACGCCCGAGAGAAGCATTGTACAAAAAAAAGATTATTGTAAAGAGGAAGTTACTGTTTTGAAAACAGAAACAGAAAATTCTAGATGGAAAAGTAACTTCCCCGGCCCTGCAGGTGTCATTACTAAATCGGTATATAAAGTCATTTTATAAGAGACTTATTAAGATCTTCAATTTATTTAGATTCAGCACTCAGTACCAGAACTACAAAAATGGAAAAATTTTCGAATGGTACCTATTTAATATTATTTAACAATTTATTATTATTGTTATTTCCATAGCCTGAAACGAGGGTTTCAACTCAATTGCCAAATACACAAGCTACCGCGGACAATAATTTCTGGTCAAAAATTAAGAATAAATTGGAGCCTGAAATACTTTCATTTATGAGAAAAAATAATATATCCTCCATCTTTGATCAAATTAATATGAAACGGACGAAACTGTCATGGTTAGTTGGATATGTTGTTGCTGAAGAGTATATTTGTGGGAAAGATGGGCGAATTATATTGAAGGACGATAGCTGTAAGAGTTAGATAACGGTAGCGAAATGTTGAAATATCTTAATACTAAATCTTTATTGCAGCCGCCGAAATTACAGCTTTCTGCCACAGAGACGTTATCGAAGCTTATTCACATTATTTTCAACATGGTGGCGTGCTTTTGCTTAAAGATGTATAAAGTATAATACTTTTTAATTATTATTATTCGAGGTTCTTTGATAGGTAACTGTTCTACGAACACATGTGATTTTAAACTCTTGGAATTTTGTAAGGATTTACGCATTAAATAATGAACGGGAAATTGATGTAAAGGAGCTGCAAACTATTGATGTTCAAGATATAATTAGGGCTGAATCAAATGAGAAGACTGCTGATCAGGAAATTTCTTCAAAAGAAATTCCTTCAGCGGTTGCCTCTCAACAAGTTCAAGCTGATTTTTTTGATGGTATTTATGTCTTAGTGTGAGAGAATCTTTTAATGCTTAATTCTCTACTTATAGATGATAATTTCGATGAATTTAAGATGCTAACCGATGAAGATTTTATAGCTGCTTCAATGGCAACAGGTAAAATAACGTTTTTTGGTTAACTATATGCTAAAATTAAATACCTTGTAGATTCTATGTCTTCATCAAAATTACAAAACGAAATAACAAAACCAACAAACAACGATCTTCCGAATGTTACAAATTCAAAAAATATCCCGTCAAAGTTTAATTTTAGGTCAAAATCTTCGCCACCAAAAGTAAAGAGTCAAGCAGATGTCTCCAAAGTATTTGATGGTAATACATTATAAACGTTGATTATCCATCTAAATGCGCAATTTCAGATGATGACTTTGAAACGATCGTGCAAGATCTGGACATGAATTCATTCTCTAAAGGTTGAACTATCTTCCTTTATATATAATCATTCTAAAATGAACTTTTATAATAGAGAAGGAACCTTCTTCAACTCAAAACCGGAAAGTTAAGACGAAAAAATTTTCTGCATCACAGTTCCAGGTCATATCACAAACTCAAATAAAGAAGGAAGCCTCAAATGATTCCATAATAGGTTTATAAATTAACTATTGGAGATTCATCTTTAAAAATGCTCTTATTTTCACAATATAGAAGCAGTACCCGATGGGAAAACTAATAAATTTAATTTTAAAAATTTCAATAAAGCCAAGAGTACAAAAGAAACAACTACATCTCTGCTTCGAGATGTGCGTATCTCTGAAAAAAATGATAATAGTCGCAAGCGTGATAGAAAAAGTGCGACTGATGCAACTATGAGCGAATCATTCTTAAGTAGTAACTCGTACAATATTTCATACAATGCTTACTAAAGATGTTTTTGTTGATCATTCAGAAAAGATTGACGCTCATCTGAGTCCATTTAAGAAAAAGAAAAGAGAAGACACCAGTGCTAATAGTAAATTACTCATTCTTTTTAAAAAAAAAATTACAATGTTTTATTCAATGTTTTGTTTTATCAGATAAGTGCATGGAAAAATCATTCAGTTTTAAAAAGCCTATAGCCCAATCACCAAAGAAAATTCCGGAGATAAAAGCTGAGTTATTTTCAGGTATGTATTTAAAAGTATCACATTTTGAAATCAAGTATTCAGCAGTTCTCCTATTTCTAGATGATAAATTAGACGACCTAATGGCAGAAGGAAATTTAGATGATTGGCTAAATACGTGAGTTCAGAAAATTCTGTTAAGAAATAAAAGTGAAAAGTATTAAAGTGTCAACTGTAATTTTTCTCTCATAATTTTCATAATAAATTGAATAAAAATCCTTTTGAAATATATTCTATATATTGGTGTGAATTAATAAAAAGTTTATTCAACAAAGTGACATCTATATGTCATGTTATAGTTTAACAATTAATAATTTTAATTAAGTCAATTTCTTCGCCAAAATTCTTCAACATTTAAATATGAAATTCAAAAATTTTTTACCAAAGTTATGAATTGATTTAAACTTTTTAATGGTATCGCTAAAAGCATAAAAATAGTTTGGAAAGCAATAATTAAGTGCTAGCAAATCCCGCAGTAAGCGCTACTGTCTTTTGGGTCAGTAAAATTAACTGGTATATAGTATTCAGGAATTATTTTAATGTAGCATTTTTTTCGATATAGTAACTTTATGAGAATGCTGAAAATTGAAAGGGTAGAGTTCTAATTAATCTTAGGATGTCAAAAATTGTAAAATAATTTACCGTATACAGAACCCATTAGACTTTTTAACAGCGAATGAAACCGGACTCGAGTTTGTTCAGCTCTTTTACAAGAGTTTTGACCGTCAGAGACATGTAAAAACTTCTTTTTAGAATCTTTTTCTCCAGAATAATCATTACAACTTTGAATAGATTATAGGTAGATTCTTTCTACCGACCTCTGAACTTCTATGGTGTGGTGCAGCGATCAAAGGAGGACATGTTGCAAGCTTTATTCAAAACTTACCGGAGTCGCAACATATGGTAGACGTTGTTGACGTGCAACCAGTAACTTCTCTTAACTTTGGTTTGTATTTAGCGTACAAAAAGTCCAAATTAAATATCAATTTTTCAGACGCAATTCAGAGCTCAATGACACTAGTGTCAGTTGGTGGTGTGGTGATATTTGACTATGGACATAGGCAGCTTTTTAGTTCGCAATTTATGCTAGCAGTTGACAATAACACATGGAAGATATTGAGTTGTTCACTCCGACTAATTGGTTAAACCTAATGTATGAAAAAGTTAATAACATTAAAACTCCACTACGTTATGCAAGTGAAAAAATTGAAGTTTAATAAAGGGCTCATATTAATTTAAATACACTGAAGTCAATATAAATAAAATTATTCTCAGTCGTACTTGATATTTTGTAACCACATGGTCGTAGGAATACTTCGCATGAAACTGGTTGGTCTATTTCGCGCGTTTTTTCAAATCGGAAGATGGCGCCTTGACATGGTTTGACCATTTTAGACCAATCAGAGTTAATAATTTATTTAGCTCGGAACTGGCTATTGAGGAAATTTTGAAGAGGATATATCAAATTTTACGTTTTAAAACGACTTTTTTAAAATCTAAGCGGAAAAAATATTAACTATGCAACCAAAATTTTAGTAAAGTTCTTCAGGTAAATGTTCACCTCAATTATTTCAGTTTTTATTCAAATCATAAGTTATTCGTTTTGTTTATATTGCCGCTTGAGTGATATGCAAATTTATTTGCAGATAATAGCCTAACAACGAGTTTAATCAAGTAACAATATTATCCGAGTTGAATATTTGTTGATAACACTTGACAAGTAGCGGTCAGATATAACTATGGCTGAAGCTTCAGGGTAGGTAGACAACATTTGAACGAAAAAGAAATCTTCAAAAGTCAGTGTGCATCATTTCAGAGATGATTTTATAGGAAATGCGGACACTTCATCTTTCTCGACGCTTGGTAAGAAATATATCACGTTACATAGTTTCAGTTCATCTGAATGACTTTTTTAAAAGACAATACAGATGCAACCGCCTCAAATGAGCCCTCGCTCATTGAAGGAAAAATCAAGCTCCCTAAAATTGATTGGAAGTTAATTATGGAAGAAAATAGCGAAAATGATATGGATCTCAAGAGCATATTTGAAAAGCAATCAAAAGATGAAACAATTGATGAGGTACTTAATAGTTTGTTTTGCTGTGATGACATACAAAAATAAAAGTATAACAATATAATAATTATAATAAACAGAGTAAGACTGGAATGGCTGCTATGTATTTACAACCAACATATCACAAAGCAGATCAATCATCTATGTTTGAGGGAGGTTTGGATTCAATGATGTTTGAGAAAACAAACGTTTCGTTAAAACCTGTTCAACCGGATCTGATTGATTTGCGATCAGACGGTAGTGAGGAATATGGTAAAGGTTTTTCAATAATTTTAAAAGTCGTGTTAATATTTCTTTTTGCAGACGATCGAGGGTTTTTTGATGAGAATGGTGAAAATATGTCTCAGCAAAGTGACGAAAAATTCTGCTCAGGTAATTTATTAGTTAAATAGTATTTTAGTTCGTTCACTCTTTGATTATTAACAGGCGAAAATTACGAAGCGATATTCGATGCTGACGAAGAACAAGTAAAACAGGATCATCCAGTTCTAGAAGTAATGTGTTGTTTTTACCAAATCATTTTTTTTAGTTATAAATTATACAGAGACAATTTCTTGAATCGGAGGAGCAGGACGATAGCTGTGAAGTTTCGAAATTTTTGGGTGGATCAACGCATACTGCTGCCTCGTGGGAAGAATGGTATACATCATCTGATAAAATTGATGGTCAAAAGGCTTTTCAAGCTGCTGTGTTTAGCAAGTCGGAACCTCTAGGCTCGCTTACTGCTAATGATCTAATAAGACGACCCAGCTGGGGAAAGGAAATAGTTTCTCCACCTGTCCATCGACAAGCCACCCCGCTCATTGACCAACCTACATCTTATAAAGAAAGCAATGAGGGTGATGACAAAGAGAATTGTATTAAAGCATTAGATTATGAGGATGAAGTTGATCCATTCAAGAGACCATTGACACCTACCCCTTTAGATAACCATATGAATAATAGTGATGTATTCAACGATTCTAAATGGAGTGAACATCGCCTCTCTTGCAATTCCGAGAAAGTTTGCCGATTAAGTACTGAAAGTCTTGAATCGAAGCCGTCTGACGATTGCACCAGAAAAGATTCAGGAGATAGTAAAATTACATCAACTACATCTGTGTGGTCAAATCAGACGAATGAGCCTCATTTATCGCTGGAAAATCCTGTTACCTCACAAAATTTAACAGATGAAGTTATTGATCAAGAAGATGATATTCAAAAGCTTATCGAAATATTGATAAAATCCAAAAAAGCATCGGTAGAGAGGAGTGAGAAAAAAAAGATACCTCACTCAACAGTAGAAGCCATAAAGAAAGAGATAGAACTGGCTTTAGAAAAAGAGGAAGATCGCCATTGGGCTTCGCCTCGTCCTAGTGCTATAGGTTTGAGGGGTAGCATGAAAGAACGAGACAAGAGACAAGAGCAGGATTTAATAGAACATAGTTTGCACATGAGGAGGAACAGTGGAGAGAAACAGATGACTAGCACTCCTAATACAATGAAAGTTCCACCGACGCCATCAGGATTTATTAATGCAAATGATTCGTATAGAAGATATCACGATGAAACTGAAAGTAGTAAACTTACTGTGGGAGCATTGGCTCCAGACACGAAGTTAAGTATTGGACTTCTCCCGCCTGAAGATTCGTATTATACTCCAAGTCCAGATACACCATTCGCTCCTCAGTGGCAAAGCACGCCTGCTGTTTTAAGTACCCCTCCGAACACAAGTGGACCAGTTTTTATAGATGTTATTCCTAAAGAACTCATATTTGATAGTAATGTTTGTGTCGGTATGAGTATCAGTAGTTTAATTTCCATTACAAATCCTACTTCTCGATGGTTGTCAGTTTCCTTGTTTGCCAGCAAAATAACCCTGGATAGTAAAACACTTTCAGATTCGGAAGTTCCATTTTTATTTAAGAGCAGTGACACTATAGAGCCTGGGTGTACCCGTGACGTAAGAATTTTATTTGTTCCAAAAATTGCTGGTCTATATGTCGGAGAGATTCGAATTGAAGTTGTTCCAGCTGCAAAAAGAAACACCACTTCAGGGTTTGCTACTTATGTATATATTTCTGCTGAAGCTGAACTACCTGTTATAGAAGTTGCCCCTTCTGCTGAATTAAATTTCGGAAACTTGTGTTGGGATGTGTGTGAAAATAAGTTTTTAACCTTAAGAAATTATTCTAAATGTGATCTACCTGTTAAATTAACTATAGAAAATTCAAAACATTTTTATTTTGCTCCTTCGAACGTGAATCGACCGACGACTGACAGCTACGTCATTCCAAAGGCTGACAATTCAAGACCTGACGCAAATGTTCTCCATATCTTTGTGTTTTGTACATGTTCCTTAGTGGACGCCCTAAATCAGAATCCTTTACAATTGAATGCAATACTCTCTCTGGATTTAGATACACCTGGTAGTTCATTAAATTTGGGAAGAATATCTTTAAAGGCATTAGTCGGAAGTCCTATATTGCATACAAATACAAGAAGTTTGCGTTTTATAGTCTTTGAAGGAAAGAGAGAAAAAGAGAGTATTTCTAGACAGAAATTTAGGGTAAAAAATTCTGGAACTATACCCATTGAGGTTAATACTATGTCTGAGAATAATTGCTTCCGTGTTGAACCTAACGATTTCAGACTAAATCCGAAAGACGAATGTGAAATTACTGTCAAATTTAGCTGTATTGGAAATGAAGAAGAAAATTCAGAAATTAAAAGTGCTATAGTTCTAAGGAGAAAGCCTGGAGATAAAGATTTTGAAATAGATGCAATGGCAATTGTTAAACCAATTCCAACTATTGAAGCCAATAAGAATTCTCTTATGTTTGGTAGAATCACGAAAGGAGAGCTTAAGAGGAGAGAACTAATATTGAAAACAACTAGTCAAAAGAAAGTCGATATACGATTGAGTGTCAAACATCAAAGCGGTTCCGGATTTAAAGTAGAGAGTACTGATGAACTAGTACTTTCCCCTAATAAAGGAGAAGAAATCAGCCTTTCCTGTTCTAATCAGTCAGGCAAATTGGAAAATATATTCATAGAAGGGGGCCTGTCCGTTAAGGAATCTTGGCACACGAATTGTTTTTTACCGTTGTATGCCTACTCTGGTTCCGCTGAACTTGTCGCTCCTGGAACCAGATTTCGACCAGACAATGGTTTCGGGATGATACAAATTGAAACTATACGGCCCGATGGAAAAGGCACATGCTACCTGACTTTAAAAAATGCAGGAAATATGTGCTCTTTCAATAAAATATTGGCATTTAGAGACACTGACTGTCAAGAAAAGTTTGAACACATTGAGTTGGAAAATTATGAATTTTGCCTGTTACCCAATCAAGTAAAGGAAATTCAAATCAAATTGAAGGTAGATGAGATGTTCGTTGTTGATAAACAGTCTGTATGTGGAGTTTTGTGCGTTTTTTATGGGGAGGAATTCGCAAGGAGGATGCTTAAAAAAACTTACGGCTCAGGATCTCATATAAAAGGAGATGATATTCTTGCGGATACGAATTTTACAGGAAACTTTAGAAATGAGGATTCTTGTACAGCCGAAAAGTCGCTTCCTTCTAGAATTCGTATTGACTCTAAGACTTTTATTCAAGACTTGAAAAGGATAAAGTTTTTGATAACCTTTGATCTAAACGACACACAACGATTTCAGCCACTACAGGCTTCTCATGATGTTACAGCTCTTGAAGAAGCAAGGATGCTAAGCGCAACTATTAGACGTGACTCATCCAAAGATACGGAGTTGCCACCTGCTTATTGGGAAACTGATGAACCATCTTGGCAACTAGAACCCAAATCCATATCAATTAGTTCAAACAAAATATCTGATTTAGGCTGTAGTACTGTAAAACTTATAAATTCTTCATCTCATACTTTACGATTCGACGCAAACTGGCCTGCTCATACAATTAATATATATCCTGGAAAAGGTCATATCTCACCAAAATCCTCAGTTGCATTAAGGGCTTCTGTTGTCGAAGATGCTGATATTACAACATTTCCGTGGACAGGCTCCGTATTCGTTGTTTGCAATAAAGAGACAAAGGTTTGCTTTACAAAGATTTTCCTTTTTTCATTTATCATCATTAATCTGTATGTTTTTTAGAAATTTGACGTCGAAATTGTTGAAGGCAGTCAGACCACTCCGACACAACATCGCCATGACTCTCGAAAGGCAGCACCAACCAATGTAGCCTCAAATTCTTCTCTACTCGTTTTTCAACCAATGGTTGACTTTGGTCGTGCTAAATCTGGCAGGCTTGAGGAGTTAGAATTTGAGTTACAGAATACCACAACAGATATTGTAGAATGGAGTTTGAGTCCTTTCGCTCCCCCTTATTCAAAAGCATCTAACAGTCGAGACTATTTTCGAGTGACTTACGTTGTTTTTCAGTTTTCAAAAGTAGCAGGTATCGCTCAGGGTAACTCTACTTGTAAGGTAAAAGTACTAAATATAAGGAACTACTATTTTTAATAGTATTGTTTTTGTAATCAGATAACTGTTCAATTTCGACCTCTGGACTCTGGATTATTTACTCAAACATGGGAAGTAAAATGCAAGAATAGATGGAAAACTAGTGTTTCAAGAGTGACGTTGAAAGGAGAATCGTTTGAATTATTATCAGCTACGGCCCCTGCTAGATCTGTACCACCATCTTCTCAATCGACGGATTCAACAACTGTTATACAAGGTGTTTCAATCGGTCCTAATTCGGTTGATTTTTGTACAAGTATTGGTAAATCCGAAACTAAAAAGCTGGCCATTAAGAATCGTTGTAAAAAATCCGTAAAAATGACTTTTGATAAACCTTCCGAACCTTTCTCTTTAAAATGTTCGAATGTTACAATCAGAAACGGGCATTTTTTAAGTTTGCCTGTCACTTTCTCCCCACCAGTAGCGGGGGAATATACAGCTCGAATGGTTTGCTACTGCGAAAAAGGAAGTGCCACGTTATACTTGAACGGAATTTGCAAGTGAACTTTTTTTATACAAAGTTTTTTTTATTTTACCTAATTTTAAAAATGGTGTATTGGAATAGATTATCAAATCGAATACATCAATTGATTTTCATATTCGATTGTCATTCGACTCAATACTGTTATTCAGTCTAAATTCGACTAACAATATGCAAGGATTTAATTGACGATTCTAATTCTTCCATGCTAGGTCTGTCTTGTGGCGTTTTGCTTTTATAAATAAATCGATAAACTCCTGTATTATCAATTATCACGTTGCCGCCCATTTGATTAGGGTCATCTTTTATGTTAGAATAGGGGCTAATTAATTTTCCACCATTAGTTAAGACTTCGGCGTAGTAACCTAATGAAGTTGAGCTCCAAACTTTTGCAACAGTCACTTTTAGACCAATTGTCTTGTAAAGAATCCTCTCTTCGTCAACAAAAACTGGAAATTCACAACCGGTGTCTCTCTTCCAAAGTTTAACACCTTCCATTCCACTAAACGAAATAACAATGATGTTTGTTTCCAAGTTTGAAAATTTATGCATATTGTTAGTAAGTTCGACGACATGTCGACGTCACGGAACTCAAGCAAGATGTCTTAATAGGACCAAGACAGTACTTGAACTTTTTTCAACAAGATTTTTTAATAAAACAGTTTGTCCATCTAGAGATTTTAACCGTGTTTCTATTGGTGCAATGGAGTTTACAGTAGATATTCTATAATAAGATGGATTTAGTTTATCATCAATATTTTCAAGAAATCTGTTCCATTTTCTTTCAACGAAGTCGTAGTCTATCAAGTGATAGAATGGAAAAGATAAATAAATACAGTATATTTAAAACACACCTGCAACTGCTTCCTGAACTGATAATTTTGTATAAAACTGTTTAAAGATCCTTTCTAAGTCCATTAGACTACCTATTTCGCAATGAATGAAAAACTGGTGGTAAAGTCCGATAAGACTTCCCATTTTACTTAATTTTCCTGGATTTTTTATAAATTCATAAACGTCTTTTGTTTCATTCCAAATTGACATTGTGGTTTCTAATACCTTTTCCATGTTGTTAGTAAGATCTACCAGCGCCGTTTCCAGCTCATCAGGGCTGGAAATAGGCATTTTGCGCTGTTAGAAAGATCACAGACTGTCAACTATTAGCGAAACAGTCAGATATGTATAACAACGCCATCTTTCTGATTTAAAAAAATCCCTTTTAAAAGTCTATACACTGAAGAAAATTATCGACAGACATCGTAGAAATCAAGTTAATTTATTAATTTTCTTTAAAACCAATAAGCTAAGAATATTTAATTAAGAGAAAAAAAGCAATAGAAATAGTAATGTTAAATATTTGGTTTTTTTCTCTTTAAGTATAGTATACGGTATTTTATAGGTCACTATAATAAAGTCTTTAACAATGACAATAAACTACATATTACAAAGATCAAAATTTGAAATAAATCTCAATAGCTAATTTATGTGCAGTTAAATATTCATACTGTGTGATAACATCATTATCTATCAGCTAGAAAGAGAATTTTCAGGTAATTTAGGACATTTTTTTATCATTTTTTTTTTGCTTAAAGACAGAAATAAACTAATAAAATACAAACTGAATTATGAAAAAAGAGTTTTTTTTCTTGTGAATATTTATTCTACAACTTTGGAAGTAAGTTACTTCGCCGTTACGTCTTTTCTTTTATGGATTACTTTTTTGCCGATTAGTTGTGGGAAAAAACCCAAGTGAAGATGAATTTCTTCCATTCAAAACAGAACTTCCAAATAGTGGAAAGTTCGCAGACGGCACAGGCAGGGGTGAAGAGATTGAAGATGGCCAACTCAAATAACCGCTTTGAGTTAGTAGGTGACGCTGAAGTAGGTTAAGTGCTGGTTGCGTCATTTGCTGTTCCAGTAGATTCATTTGAGGACTACTGAAGAATTGTGGATTGACGGAAGGTCTTGCGTTGGCTAATAAAAAATTTCTATAATAAGAAAATGAGAAAATTATTCATCCGAATTTACCTGAGCTATTTGAGAAAAATAATTCACTCTGATTTGAATCTGATTTAGTTGGTGATGTTTCAGAAGTATCACTCTTGGCCTCCTCGTCATTGTCATCCGATTTAGAACTAAATTTTTCTGGGAAAAACATTCAATATTTAAATTAGGATAAAAAATATTTTTCTACACATTCCTTTATTGCGCTTAAGACTTTTTCAAAGTTTTTAAAATAAATTTAGTACTTAATACTATTTAATGATAAGCTTATACGTTAGGCATAATGCATAATGCATACGTTAATAAGAATATTTAGACTCTGCTGTGCTAAGTGCTAGCTTTTTGAGGGCTCTTTAGTTATTAGGAAAAAGTCTGAAATTCATCTGAATCCTTTTTCGAAAGGGAAAGAATCAATCTGGCGGCTATGTAAAGCCCCTACAGCGCAGCTTAGAATTACCCTTACTTTATCCCCTTACCTTCGGAATCTTCCTTCTTTTCCTCATCTCTTTCCTTTGGAACATTTTGAATTTGTTTACTTCCCCTCTGCTTCTTTCTAAATTTTGCTCGCCGATTTTTAAACCACACTTGAATTCTTGATTCTGGCAGATGAGTCATCATGGCTAAACGCTCCCTCATAACCACATCGGGATAGTGAGTTTTTGCGAACGTTTTTTCAAGAGCTGTTAGTTGAGCATTAGTAAATGCTGTCCTTGACCGACGTTGTTTCCTTTGAGCACCATACCGGGCTTCAACGATGATATCTGCTTGAAAATTATAATTTATTAACATGCTTACATGTTTTAGTTTTATTTAAAAAATATTCACCAGCAAGACGCTCCGCCAAAGTTAATGTATGCAACGAAGCAGGTTGGTGGCCGTAGAAAGGCGAAATAGCACATTGAACTGATGATTGGAGAAAGTTTGGTTGCAAATTTAAACTTGGCCTGTTGGAAAATGACAAATAAAGCTTTAATTATTAAATCTTGGAAGAAATGATTTAGACGCTTAAAATAGTCATGACTCTCGTAAATCGCGCAAAATACACCCATTCCATCTTCGTTCAGTTTACAGATCATCCCCAATCGATTAGCAAACAAACAAAGATGGCGCATCGTTAAGAGGATTTAGTCTATTAATTTCAAATCGTTATCTCGTGGGAGTAATTATTTAGAATATTAGGTAATTAGCATAGTTATAAATCTAATTTTCTCTAAATGTCGCCTTCATAACTTTGAAGGATGCCTCGGAGAAATCAACCAATTATCTGTTTACAACACACTGAATGAAAGGGAAATACTTATTTGAAAAAAATAACTTATATCCGGGGCCTGTGTGAAATATAACCGAAAGCTTGATTGTCAAGTCACATGACCTATTCATTTTCGCACCTTTTCTAATAGAAAAAAGGGACGCCCGATCCAGATCAAATAGAACTCTCGACTTTAGTGTATTGACCGAGACCGTCTCGCGTTTCGGCAAATAAGGCGTCGGAGAAGTGACGCTCAGGGCGTTTATTCAGCTTACCACATATTTAAGCGACTAAGTGAAAAATGCCATTTCTTGCTGTGAGAAGCTCGTGACTATGAAAATTTCAACGACCCCTTTCTTTGATAGTTATTAGGGTAATGTAAAAAAATTAGCGCTAAGCGCATTACGCGGACTAAGAACACGTCTTTGTCGGCGAAATGCTCTGTGATACGCTGTAAGACTGGAATTACATAAAAAGTCGTAAAAATCCCATAATATGAGTTCAGTTGAGTGTCTATTATGTTAATGCTAAATCGTTATGTAATAGCCAATGGTACATTACTCACTGACAAGCACTCCTTTAAAGGAGACGAAGACATGATATATTTGAATAGGTTCGGATCAGTTATTGAAAGTGCCTTAGCAAAACGTGCACCTAGAACGTGTTGGAATAATTACGACGTGTTCGGCTCGAATTACGCGCACAAAGGTGCCAAAAAACACACGGATTTGCTAGCCGAAAATGCGCCATAAGGCTTTGTTGATTTTACATGTTCCTTCTCACCGATAATCCGCGTTTCAGATTTTTTTTCTCTTATTGTTGGCGCGAGTTTGCGAAACGTGTTTAGGCCTTATTTGACGCATTTAAATATATATATATATATATGTTGATATATATGTGTAAATATGTTTGACGCCGATATGCAAATTAAGAGAGTTTTATTTCCGGTATTTTCTCACACATTCTCACAGATAATCCCTTTCGGATTATTTGGTGTTTTATTGTTCAAAATTTTTTGAACGAGTTTGCTTAACGTGGGTAGATCTCATTCGATGAGTGCTCGAGGCGGATATTCAAATCATTAGTGACTTAACATTGCGAAGCTTTGTAATACGATATAGCCTAATGTTTTCCATACTTTTATTTCATTTTCGTTTTTTTTTTGTATTTACATTATCAGTTTATTTCTTTGACAATTAAAAATTTATTATGTTTGATTAAGTTTCTTTCGATCCTTTGAACCTCATGGAAAAGAGATAGAAAGAAAAAACAAAAACAACTAATGATTCTATTGGTTAAAGCTCTTTAATTCCTGGCACGCATTATCGTTTTTTTAACGTTTATTTACATGCTTATTTGAGACGATGCTCTCTAGTATAAAACATCTAATTATCGTTCTTTTTTATTTTAAAGAAAAGATAACGAAAAAAAAAGAGAATAAGCCTATTGAACAGTTGCAATAAATATTTTAATGTTATTTTTTCATTTACTTAGATATTTTTTTAAAAGATTTTACAATTATGTTCATGAATGTTAACCTATGTCTCGGTACTTCCGCATTTATTTTTTGAATTAAAGAAGCACAACCACAAACCACTTGTTATCTACTTAAAATAATTTTCTCATCAAATTTTCTTATTCTATATTGATTTCTTTTTTAAAAGTTTACTTAACGTGTTTCAGCTTTGAAAGATTCGGATATTGAACACGGATATGCAAATTATAGGCGTTTTAATCGGCTTTTTGCACAAATGATATAGCTCTGATTTATTTATCCGTCTCAAACCGGATTTTTCTTTGCCGTAAGCTTTTAGAAGCGCTATAATCTTTCATCATCCGATACGCACCATTTAATTTTTTAAACCATACGGCATCAAGTTCACAAATTCGCCCGCTTTAACAATTATTATAGTCTTTTTCAAGACTTCTTTCCTTATTTACAAGATGAAAATATGTTTTTTTTATTTAAATAATTAACGTTAAGGATCTGAGCTTAAGCCATAATAATTGAAATAAACAATTCGCAAATTAAACCATAATCCTCTTGTTTATACTGGCGTTAATTGCTTTCTGAGCATTTTTGCTTAATTAATCCGTCGATTTAAACATTTTAAGACGGTTTTAGTCTAGTTCGAGTGGAATTAAGCGCTTTTTAGAAATGGGCAAATAAGTGAATTGCTCTTGATCGGTATTGATTTTTTTTCGAGTTTTTTGTTGTTGGATTTATTTTTAATATAATATAAACATTGTTAGTGAAATGGAAATTTTTCACATTTTAAAATATTCAATTGATCATTTTTTCCCCAAAGATAATCTTATTTTTTGCCAGTTTCTCCTATTCATTCAAGACATTTTTTTTACGATAGAGATCCATCTTTAAAAAAAGTTTTCCATTTACAAAATATTTTAATGTTTAAAGTTTGTCTCTTATGTATATTCATATGAGGATGTGAATAATTAATTTTCACTTGAGGTCGTTTATAATTGCTTATAAGTCTTTAATAAACTTTTGTTAAATTGTTTTTTTGAAAAAAAAATGATGCTCTTTTTCTCTAAAAAAAAATTTAATTTATTTCTTCTTAGACTTTATATTTTAAGAAATATTTCTTGATATTATAATATTGATAATCATTCTATATTGAAATTATTTGAACCATTACGCGTATCTTAAGTTAATAGTGATTTAAGATATAATAAATTAAAATGTACTCACTGAAGTCCGTTGCTTCCAAAACCAAAGCTGCCGTGCCCTGAAACAGGAACATTTCCAGTTCCGTCCATACCGATAGATTTACACAAGTGAATCAAGAAACGGAGAGGATTTTTAACCAATAGGAGGCGCCAAGGAATAAATTAAGCCACACCTCCTTCGATTCCTCCATTCATCTCTAGAATTTAATTACTGCTATTAAGCAACGTGTCACGTAGATTAAAGGGCATTAAGAGATTAATCCTTTTCGTTGGTGTTTCCAAATTAACGTATAAATACGATGAAAATATGAAATAAAATATTTAAGGTTACTACATTTTCAAGAAAGTATAAAAGGAATAAATCTTGAAAAAGTAGTTTATAAGGAAAATGCAAGAATATATCAATTTAAATGAATATTTCAATTTTAAAACAGAAAAAAAAGATCGTAAATGACTTAATTTTTCAACTCGGCAAGTACATAATGCTTTTAAGTTGATAAAGAAAAGCAACAGCTCCTGAAACGGCCTACTTCGCGTGATGAGTACCTCATCTAAGGCGATTAGACTGCAGAAATGTTGAAGAGAAGAAAAATGTAGGCATTAGACGCCCAGAGCGTGGGACCGTCGCTTATGACTGAAGATTTTGCTTCCGAGAGGTCAAGCGACGCCGGCGACGCTACCATTATAGGCTTAGCCGAAATCGTTTTAGGCGTCAGATGAGTGTGGGATTAAGGAGGCAAAGGGCGTTTGGAAGAAAGGCAAATCGGGTTCGATCGAATTTAGTATATTATATATTAAAACTAGGTTTAACCTTCTTATAGTAAATAGTTCTTTGAGATGAAGCTTTTTTCGTATGAATCCTGAGAACTGAGAATCTGTTATTAAATTGAACATTCCGATTGGAATTATTTCCCATCTTGCTGGTTGTGTTCATTAGAGAAAATGAGCGTGTTTGCGTGTAAGTTGGGTAAATATTTAAGCGATATTCGCTGCGCTTAGTCGTTTAGCACGAGCTGACAACATGCCAGAATCCACTCGCTATTTCCTGTTCGTGTGCTTTTTTTGTATTGTGGATATTAGTGTAAAATTAATTACAGCATGCTCATTTTATTGCTTTGATTTTTCTTCTTCTTTTACTCATTTAATTTTTATCTTTAAACCTTTAATACTGCCATCTATCGGCTACCAGAATCATAATTTTAAACTGTTTATCGAGAGCAATCAGTCAAATGATTCGATCTTCTATAAATTGGTCAGCTGAGTTGTTTGATAATCATCAAAATACCATATGGTTGATATTTACCCTGGTTCAATACATAAATGATTATAATGAATAAAATATGATGCGGCAAAATACTCCTTTTAGCTCTTTTACTTCTCCAGAAAATTTTACAATACTTAATTAAGTTAGTTTGTATATCTAATACTAGCTCCGGTTGACAGTATAACATATAACATATTCAGTATTTAACCTTACAAGAAGGAATGGTTTATTAAAGATTGGAATTTAAGAGAAACCTGTATAGATGCAAAGTTGTTAACGATGTCGTCATACGGTGAAAAGAATGTAAAGATAAGTTAACAGGATATGATACTAAGGAAATGTTGGTTTTTGTAATACGCTTAGGAATTAAATTGAGCAGATGAAAAATTCACTTTAGACTTGTTAGAAGAAACATTTCATTCTATAATATCTTTTTACCAAATATAATTGACACAAGGTCTGCATGAATCATGAAATGAAAACAGATCTTTACACAGATTCCGATCTCCTTTGTATGTTTTGGGACATGAATGATAAGGGCTTTTGAATATTTACATAAGCAATATCAAAAGTTGAACAAACTTCTCTTCCCGAAAAAGTTTATGAAGCTATTATCAAATAATATATTTTAATACGAAAAATTGTTCTATTAGCTTTCTATATAAAAAGGATATCTATAAGGAGAATGGAAGTGGATTACTGAATATCTAAAGAAAAGTTTTTCTAAGGAAAAGATAAGACCTTTCATTTGGATTTAACAATACGAAGTCTAGGAATACTCTGAATACGATTAAATAGCAGCTATTAGTGAATTGTTGTCAAATAAAGGAAAATTAAATATGATAGCCCTATTTGATAAAAAAAGCAACAAATGTTTCCCTGCGCAGCTTTAATGAACTGCTGCAGAGCATTGTAAGGGTATAAGATCGGATAGGCGATTAAAGCCAAAGAGAAGCGGTAACACGTTTTTATTTAGAGAATATCAAACGTAATAAAGGAATTATTTTAATAGATTTAGAACGTCTTACTTCCTAGCTCTGTACTATATATGATATGAAAATAACTAGAGCACATCAGTTTACTTTCTTCAACTCTTTTCAGAGTTGATTGCAATAAGCTTAGAAATTCTTACACCATTAGATTTAAAAGATAGCGAAGTATAACTGTTCTCTGCAAATCTTTGAAACCATACTCTTTTAAAGTTTTATTAACATATAGTTTTAATTGAAATATTCAAAAGTATTTAGTCCCTTATCATTTACTTGCAGCTAAGTATATTTATATTCTCATTAACTGAGCTTACCGCGGAATCTACGATTCATTCCTACACAAAGAGTTTTGTACGTTTGGCCATAAATAATTAAGAAGCCAACAACATAATTTAACAAGTGGACGAGTGTTAAATAATAGAAAAATAAAGAAAAAAAATGCAACTCGGCATATTTTCAAAAGAAGTCGTCTCTTTTTTTTTGCTTAAACTAATTTATCAGCAAATTTCTTACATTTCTTATTTATAGACATAAATATTGTACACAGTTATTTATTCTATAAACGGACTGCTAAAAACTAATGAACCTCCTTTATGACATATTCTAAAAAAATAAAGCAATTATTCTTCGTTTATATAGACTTTTTTATATTCTTGTTTTAGAAAAGATGGTGTTATTTATTCTCAAGATAGTTATATTTATTACAATTTTGACGTATTACCTACACGCCACCTGTCGCACCTTTACCCGCATTCGTAGTGTATCCATGGTAACTCTTCTACAAAAGTCACACACCTGTTTCTGGGCGTTGTCAGAGAAAGACTCAATTCATCGAAATCCTCACTTAGCTCATTTTTTTTTCTAACATGCAAAGAAATTTTTAGGTTACTTTAAAATAAATAATATCATTTAAAATATTCTACAAAACAGGTAATATACTTTATTTCAGAATGATGGAAACTCCCGATGAGTCTAGTGATTCGTCTTCTCACTCATCTTTCGATTTCTCAATTTTACCACCAAGCTACGAGGAAGTAATAAACAGTACAAGATATCCTCCGCCCGTTCAGAACGTTGAACATTCATGGAAATTAAGCTTTGTTGATTTTACACCACATGTAAAAAATCCGGATCAAGTTAAAACCATCGGAAATTTTAAAGGATTAATTAAAAAGGCCAATCAATGGCTTCTACAGAATCCATCAATGGGCGTTTACAAATGCGAAACAGTTACTTGGTGTTCAGCAACAGTTGAACAGGTTTTTAAGCGGATTTATAACCGAATTAAAGAAATTATTATCTAGTACAAACTTAACAGACAAACAGTTAAACTTTAACAATGACTTATTTAATTAGTTTAATTAGATATTATACTAAATTATTATTCTAAATGAGATAGGAGATCAAACGAGTCTTTTAAAATATTAACTCTTTATGTCCTTTTAACGGGTTATCTCGAATTGGAGATTAAGGGAACAAAGGAAATAGAATTTTTTAAATAAATATGTTTTAAAATCCGCGTAAATTCAAGGTCAATAATACGGACGCAGTTATGAGAATAAAAAGCTTCTCAGCTAATACGAAAAATAAATATTTAAGAGGATTGAGATTATGGATCCATCCACGGAACCCTTTAAGCAGTCCTTTACAAATCGGAATGTTTGATTTCTCACCACTAGACCGTTCAGAAACCATAAACTTTTTAATAAGAAAAGTTAACAAGTCTCTAAAGACTTCGCCAATAGCTGGAAAAATATTGAATTTAGAAACTCTAATTGCTCGAACTAAAAATGGCAAAATAAACTCTGGTTCAACTTATTGGCAGGAATACTCTAGCAAAACAAGGGAGTTTGGTTTCTTTTTAAGACTCTTTTTTGTTGAAATGTTTCCTGCTCACGAAGAAATTGCATTTAAGGATTTCTTACCTAAAATTCAGAATCCAGGAACATTCACATCTTTAATGGAGAAAGTTAATTCTTGGCTGGCTACCCCAGAGGCAAATTCTCATAGAATGATAAATATTCAAACTCTATTCATTAAACAAAAAGGTAATTTACTATATTGTTTGTAAAAATAAGCTCATTTATGATATTTGTGTTTACACAGGACACGATAAAAATCTGAATTCCCAGAGGTGTTTTTATACAGAACATAGTAGTAGGCCTGATGCAGCGAATCCAACATTCTATTTCCAGATAATTCGAATCTTTTACGCCAAAGGATCATCGGAAATAACATTAAATCCCAACGAACCTATCCAAATCACGAAAATGACTTTTGCCCCGGTTTCCCTTCCTTTTACAAATGAAGAGGAAGTTGTTAAGTACGAATCTTTTTCCAAGACTGTAGAACGAGTGTCGTCTTGGTTAGACAATTCAGGTATACTACATCAAATACTTCGTGCGCCGAACGAATTTATTAATTTGTTTTATCTTTATAAGATACTTTATTGTGGGGAGTGGAAACAGTTCCTACAAGAATGTCGAGCGGAGGCCAGAAGAGATTGGGACCAGAAGCAATAAAAACATGGAATATGGCGGAAACAAGCACAAAATGGGAAGATTGGTTAATATATGTTAGAATCTTCGTTAAAGGAAGAGATAATAATTTTTCGAATATTGCCACCTCCTCATTAAGTAGAGCAACATCTAACTCTGTTGAGCCACGCTTCAAATCTAAAGGCAATAGGCTGTGCATTACATTTTTAATTTGCTTTATTATAATATTAGTTGTAGTTTTGGCATTTATGTATTTCTATATAAGCTGATGCTTTTCTTATATGTTTACTGATAAAATGAAGTAACGCTCATTTACAATTAAATCTCTTTATATCTCTTAAACTCAAGCACTTGACAGTTTATAACTACCGAACGCGACACTCACAACATACAGTTGATAAAGTATGTCATCAAAAGCGTTTTCTTTGTGATACTATTCTATGTTCTATTCAGAGTGTTTAAGGATTTTGTTCTATTTCGAATGAATACAAACTAATGAGACACATGCTAAAATTAGGCTTTTAAAATTCGTACTAAAGGTGTGACTAACTTTTTATTCACATAACTTTAGATTTTATAAGAAAACAATACAATCTTCTCTTCTCATTACTGAGAGAAATTAGACGGAGTTTTTTTTATATAAATAAGTTTAAAGATTTATGGCTCAATCTATTCCGTTACTAGCAATGGCTGTCGTCAGAAGCGTCAGTGTTTTCCTCTGCTCTTCGAGTCCTGACAGTTTCTGGATTGTTTAAGTTTGTAAAATGTGTCTTTAGAGCAATGATCAGAGGTTTTTTGAAGCTGAGAGAAAATGGAATTTTCCCTAGAGGTTTTCCCATAGCATTCTCTCCTATGAAATAAAATTTTTGCTCCCATCCTTTAAACTGAAAGTAAAGAAAAATTCACTTTTAGAATTTGCAATTGATTAAGAAATAATGAAAAACTAACTGATTCAAATCTCTGTAAATTCTTGAAAATAAAATATTTATTCCTATAATTATGGGCAATAGATATATTCTCATCTTTACCACATTCAATTCCGTTATCTTCCTCGGTATTCACTATAATATTTGAATTATAGTATCCTTCTTTTTCTTTCCATAGAATATGTACCACTAAAACATTAGAAAATTCTTTGATAAGTTTATATCTGATTCCAAAGTGGTTCGAGTCCAGCCATCGGCCTTCTTGGGATCTGCATTGTGGTATAGCTCTTGCAACAGCATTTTCTGAAGTCAATAAGAAATTTATCTCAAATAAATTTAAGTTTAATCATGCATTCTCTCACTTATATACATATCTTTCCTTTTTATTACACTTGAATTAGGGTCCAATGAAATTTTATCAGCTAAACTTCTTTTCAAATTGATTGTGACATCAGAATGAATTTTCTGCGAGAGTTGTGGATTAGAAGTTTGAAGAAGTGCTAAATGGATAGTCGCTAAAATAAAAACATACCACAATATATATTAAAAAATAACTTACATTGCTGTACTCGCAATATCAGCTGAGACAAACTGAGCTCAATATTTTCAACTATATGTTGAATTTTAAAAAAATTTAATAATTAATTTAGTTCTCTTTTAAATATAAACAGAAATTCTATATTAACGACTTACTGAAGTAATCTACAAAACTTTTAGCATTTTCATCCGTTTGTATATAGTTCATTAAGCCGTAAGCTCTATTTGTACAATTGTTGCTAAATCAATTCTATTTTATTTGTTACTTTATTCTTCACTTACGTTGCATATAGTTTCAAGTATCCGTTATCTGTCCTTGATTCCTTAACACTCGGAATTTCGCCATTTCTGCCATTTTCGCAGCTTAACATATAACCAGTTAGTGAAAAATAAATACAAATATTAGAAATATAAGAAATATACCTAGCGCTGTTCATTCTGCATGTATCGAAGACGAAGACGGAATTTAGCATCTTCTGACAATCTGTTAAAGGTGCTAGTAGTGTAAATGTATCGTAACTCAACGAAAAATTCATTACTGTTAAGACTATTGAATATGTAATCATCGGTCAGACAAGTGTTTTCATTGCGAAGATCTGAATCTGGATCTGTTAAGTAGGTCGTTGGCGAACTTTCACGAGTAAAGCCATGTCCAACGTAATAGAACAAAACTAATGAAAGAAAACAAATGATACAGTTATTGGACTAATTTTGTTTAAAGTATACAAACAATAAGCATTTGGTTGAATGAATTTTTTGATTAATTCAATAGCTTGCTCCATTTCAGATTTATTAATATTTAAGAATGAATAAGTTTCATATTCTAAAGATTCCAGCGCTTGTTCCAATTTTTGCATCTTCTTTTCAATAGGCTTCAATTGTGTAGAGAAATGATATTCAGAAACACCAAAAAGTAGAGCTATTTTTTGTGCTGGACGAAAGTTAGAGCTCCTATGATCACAAATGAAATGCATCGTATTGGAAATTTTTGACATTTTACTAGAGGTGCTTCTAACAAGGCATTGTATTTTATATTCGACATAAGAGTCAACATTATGTGTATTGATAGATATTGTTGATTTTTTCAACATGTTCACTGGTGCTACATTTGAAAACAAGCATCTTTGATCATGATTTTCACGACAAGAACAAGCAGGTCCGTCTTTAACAGTGAAGATGAAATCATCTGAATTTAAAAACAGTAAAAAAAAGTAAGGGTAATTGCTTATTTCTATATGAATGTTCATAACAACCTATTGCAACGTTATTAGCGAACCACATGAATTTTAAATTCTCTTTCCCACTCACAATTAATGAAAATTCTTCAACGCCTCCTCCTGTTATCGAGATACGTTCAGGAAGATTCTTCAAAAAATTAAAATCTTGCTGTGATTGAACGCAATCTTGGTTATTGTTCTCTGAAATCCCTCTCATGGATGGTCTTATTCCTGGAAGTGCTATGACTCGCAAATTTTTTGTCTTAGAAAATATTTTTTGACCAATGCTGTCCTGCGTAAATTTGCAATAATATTTACCAGAATCCGATAATCTAAACAGTTAAATTTGTGAATTATAGATATTTAATATTATTAATATTTTCTACCTCAACTTATCGATATGTAACACAGGACACGTCTGTCCTTCTATTAATTTTTCATCTTGAAACCATTGATAATTTGGAATTGGAATACCAGTAGCTTTCACTTTTAGGCATAGCACTTCATCTTCTAAAATTTCAAGATCTTCATCTGACAAGTCGTCAATAATTGTAACACATTTTGGATTAAATAACACCATCAATGCTTCGTTACATTCTATATTGAATATACTTTTAGCAAAAATGTCAACTGGCATATTCCTACATTTAAATCTCTTTATTATTTCCCTAATAGCACTTCCCTCTGCTTTATGTTCGGACATTGCAGCTTTTTCTCTATCACTGTCTCTATCAAACAAGCATGATATAAGAACGGTAGAGAAAATTAAATTTGTATTAAATTTTAACATGTTATGATAGATATTTTACTTTATTTTATATATTGTTGAATCAAATGATGCCACAAAAGCTCTCCATTCGGTTGTTAGGGCGCGCTCTATTTGTAGCATCAAAATAAATGGAATTCCATCCGCAATTCCCTGATGAGTCAAAAGAAAGTTGAAATTATTTCTTTATTACAAGTCTAAAGACTTACCTGACTGCTATTAATGGAATCATTAAAAACAAGGTCGCTAAAATTCATTTGAGATCGCCTTTGATAGATATTAAGCGTTTACGAATGAAAAGCCTTATAGTTTTGGGAATATAACTGGTCAAGTGATCAACTTTATTCCAGATTAATAAATGAAATAAAATTGAGTATATTACTTCTAGGAAGTAAATATCAATGTTATTTTCCTCTATATTCGAGAATTTTTCTACAGAATCTTATTTTTAGTATTGACTATTAGGCCAAAGCACAGATTCGTTATGGGTTAAAAAATTATCTCGAACGAAAAAAACTATTAAAAATTTCCCATTTTCAGTTGGAAAACAAGGTAATTAATCCATTCATAAATTCCAAAACAGGGTTACTGTTTTAGGTTTTTCCACAATATTCAAGTATTTTATTGCTTGTAACTGAGCTGAACTGCTATCATAAGAAATAATATAATCTTTGAGTGAGTACATGTAAACTGTTGACGCCTTTTTAGATAACAATCCTCTACCACTCTTTTCCTGAAATTCATTTGATCAAATACTTCCAAGATGAAAAACTTTTGCTTAGTACTGCGAGAAAAAGATGAAATGAAACTGGAAGAGAGACCTCTCCCTGAACCAAAAGCTGGAGAAGTCCAATTGTCAATCAGAAGCGTTGGAATTTGCGGCTCTGATGTTTCATATTTAAGGAAAATGGCTATTGGCGACTTTATTGTTAAGAAACCCATGATTTTAGGGCACGAAGCTTCTGGTATTGTAACGAAATTAGGACCTGGAGTTCAAAATTTGAAGGTTGGTGATCGAGTAGCCGTAGAACCTGGAGTTCCATGTAAGGCATGCCAATTTTGTAAAATTGGACGGTACAATTTGTGTAAAGATGTTGTATTCTTGGCGACTCCTCCTGTTGATGGATGCATTGCAAATTTCCATTGCCACGCATCTGACTTTTGCTACAAGTAACGTGTAAATTTATTAGTAGCATAGACTCTTAGTTTATTTAAATTTGCTAACCTCAGTTTACCTGACAACGTTTCTCTGGAAGAGGGGGCATTGATAGAACCTTTATCAGTGGGTGTTCATGCTTGTAAACGAGCAGGTGTCACCTTCGGGGATAGCGTTCAAATCTGTGGTGCTGGAGCAATTGGTTTAGTGAGTATGCTAGTAGCAAAATCTATGGGAGCTGCAAAAATTTGTGTGACGGATATTGCTGTAGATCGCTTGAAGAGAGCGAAACAAATGGGGGCAACACATACTCTATTGATAAAAGAAAAAGATCCAAAAAAGGTTGCAGAGCTTATTAAGGAAAAGATTGGCGAGCCACGAGTGACTATAGAATGTAGTGGTGCTGGTGAGAAATATTTTATAATTTTTATCAAAACTCGCCATTGGTAAAGCTGGTTTTTTTGTTCATATAGAGTCTTCAATTCAAACGGCAATTTATGCAACAAAGAGTGGTGGTACTGTAGTTCTTGTTGGAATGGGTCCAGCTCAAGTAAATATTCCTATTCTGGATGCAGCCATTAGAGAAGTAGACATCAGAGGAATATTTCGCTATGCAAATACTTATAGGGAAGCAATAGAAATGGTTGCAAGAGGAGATTTGGATGTTAAACAACTAGTAACTCATCGCTTTCAAATGGAAGAGAGCCAAAACGCTTTCGATTCATTTGGCAAAGAGGGAGTTTTAAAGGTTGTAATTAACTGTGAGAGCAGATCATAAGTCTTTTGATTTATATACACTACTTTGACATGATTATCAAATTGAAAAATTACTCCATTGACTATTATTTTAATTAAATAGAATCTGCAAATGAAAGTTCAAAAATATCCCAACTGACAGCTAGCAGTTTTATTTTGCATTCGGTAAACAAAGGATAAGTAGTTTCACTATTCGGGAAGAATTACTCTAAATGTCAAGTTTATACGAGCATCTCTGTCGTGATATTCCTTGGGAATCCTGTGCTGCCAATCTTCCTGCACACAACCTTCCATTATCAATAGAGACCCAGCCGTAAGTGGAATTTTCACATACTCTCGATAATCCTCCTAGGCAATATGGAAAAATTAGATATTATTTTTTACGCTTTGTGCTGTATGATTAAAATAGGACAACAAATACAGTATAAATATAGTTACATTCGGTGGAATAGGTTTCTTTCTCATCTCAAACATTCTCGTATCGCCAAAAGATAATGAAGCTATATTTGGCTGAGGACCAAGTGAAGGTTCATCATCCGAATGCCAGCTAACGGAATCATGCCCATCTCTGTACAAGTTACCAAGGACTGAATTGAACACTAAGCCTGTCGAATCTTCCAAATGAGCTTTTAGCTTTAATAAATGAGGATTCCACTGATGGTAGACCATTTTGTCATAAAAATCAACATACACAAAATATACACATTCAAACTAAAAATACATACCTCTGTGTTAGCTTTCAAGGTATATCCACTGTATGAATAAGGCAGATCACCATACCAGGCTGTCAATCGCGGTTGAATATACGATTCTCCATTTTTTATGTCGCTTCCCTGTCTCCATTGCAGCTCAAATTTTAAACTCTCCATTAATTGCTCACTTTGATCCTTAGGAATAAAGTTAGGAAAAAATCGTATTCTGAAAAAAAGAAACCTATGCAAAAACAAAATTTTTAAGGAGAAGTGTATACCTTGACAATCCAGTTGGTCCTTCACTGATATCATAAACTCCAGGTTTACTGTTTGAAAAAGTTGGACTTAATTTATTTCATCAATCTATAGACTGCTTACTCTATTGTTTTAACAATATCATCGGGCTTAATAGGTTCGTTCACTTCTTGGAATACAAATTTTTCTTTGCTCTTTTGAGTTCCATCGACATTCTTAGCTAACCAGAGAGGATTTAAATCTTTTGTTTTTTGGTTGGAGTTTTCTGTATGTTTTGAATTCCAACCACCTTGAATTCGAGCTTTTCTTCTTTTCTCCGAGCTCATTTCTTACAGGATATCTTCAGAAATCTGAAATTCTAAATATAAACAAAATTCAGTCTAAAAATGTTGTACCAGTTTTCTCCCGCAGCTGTTAAAGATTTGTCCTTCATTTTTGTCTTAAAAACTTTGGAACTTAATCCAAAGAATTTAGATTTATAAATTTCTACTACCTATTCTCTTTTTGCCACAATTTTTATATTAAGAGCTGCGTTTAAGAATTATATCAGCAGAATATTATCAAGCAAACAGTGCCAGATATCGTCTGCTAGTTCATAAATGTTTTTCCTTTGGTGTAAACAAGACTAACACTATTTGCTTTCAAAACATAACTTTTGTTTCTATAACCTCATCATAAAAGATATTATTAATTTGTACTGAACTGACTCTGATATCACACGCTCTAGTTCGCTTCATCAACAAGACAGCTAAAGAGGAGTTCTGAGAAATATGAGTGGGACTATTAACAATGGGTCCTCCACACCAACTTCTGTTGGTTTTATCGGGGCTGGTGTAGCCGTAATTTTTTTTGGGAGTAATTTTGTTCCATTGAAGAAATTTGAAACCGGAGATGGACTCTTTTTTCAATGGATTCTCTGCATCGCAATATGGCATGTTGGTCTGGTAGTAAATGCAATAAGAAAATTTCCAATTTTTTATCCTCTAGCAATGGTGGGAGGAACGCTATGGTGTAGTGGAAATGTTCTCACAGTTTTCATTATCAAAACAATTGGCTTGGGTCAGGGATTTCTAATATGGGGAATGTCTAACTTAATATTTGGCTGGGTTAGTGCAAGATTTGGTTGGTTCGGCATCAAAGAAGAAATTCCGCAAAACCAAGTGATGAATTTTTGCGGAGTTGGATTAGCATTAGTATCGTCAGTAGAAGAGATGCTACTTTCATTTCTGAATCATTAAATATTTATAACTTTCTTACAGAACTGTGATATATATTTTTATCAAGAGTGAAACAAATGGCCGCATAGTTAGGGAGAATGATGGCAGAGAACCTTTGCTACCTCATGACGTTGGTAGAAAAGCACTCTATTAAAAATTTGCATTTCGAGTGAAATTTAATTTTTTAAACTAGCAATCAAATGTGCAAACTATCGAACACCAAGAGGTGGATGAAACTATTACAAGAAGAGAAAGCCTTACATTTGTGGATAGAATTTCGTCCAGAAATAAGCGTTTACTGTATGTATTTTACTCTCTAATATGCTGTTTATTTGTTGGTTTTATAAACAGGGGGATATTAGCGGCATTATATGCAGGATCGATGTATGGTTTAAGTTTTACTCCTGTTATTTATATTCAGGATAGATATGACGGAGCATCTGATAACGGTATTCCAAATATGGTCTTTCATCAAATAATTTCCATTATATCATTATCTTCAAATTAGGCTTGGATTACGTTTTCGCCTACTTCACTGGAATTTTGGCCACAAGTACACTTTTTATGTTCATTTATTGCATTTTCATGAAGAACAAACCAAGAGTCTATCCAAAAGCTATTCTCCCTGGGATAATATCTGGAATAATGTGGGGAATAGCCGATGCTGGTTGGTTTATTGCGAATAAGGTTCTTTCTGCTCCGATATCATTTCCTATAATAACGACAGTAAGTGCCTAAATTTTTTTCTTTAAAGGACAACGTTTTGCAATATAATATTTTTCAGGCTCCACCTCTCATTGGAGTATTATGGGGGACCCTTGTATTTAAAGAGATTAGAGTGAGGCTTAATATTAATTAGATATTTCCAGTATAATTAATTTTTTTCCTCACCTCAGGGAAAGAAAAACTATGCTTTATTGATACTTGCTGGATTAATAACGATAGCAGGAGCTGTGCTTACAGGTTTATCAAAAGGTGATTGACCAATAAGTTACAATTAAAATAAAGCTTATTCATACCATTGTTTATCAAATAAAAATTTTTTTAGTAAAGCTCTATGTGATAACTGTTTGTTTAAAGAACACTAAATAATAGATTAGACAATTCATGCTAATATATGAATACTATTTTTGACAGATGTAATGCTTGCAAGCGTTTTCAATAAAAATAAAAAGGCTCAACTATTAATTATTTTACGTACTCTATTCATAATCACTTTTTCCAATTAATAAAAACTATAATCAATGTGAGTTGATGACGCAGATAACAAATCTGGCTTGTTTCTTATAGAATTTCAAAAAAAAGAGACAGTGGCTGCTTTAAATTTTGAAGAGAAAATATGGATTTAATAGAATTCAAATATTATTTGTCTATTGGGTCATTACACCTTTTGCCGTGTTAATTATTAACAATAATTATAATACACAATATTTTTGCCGAGTTAATTACACTATTGTTCATTTTTTAAACATGTTTCTCATATAAGAAAATGTGAGGTGATTATTTGAAGTACTAATTTAACGTTAGCTAATTTTACTTGATTTCAATAATTAGGCACACTGAAAGAGAATTTAGTTTTAAAGGCTAAATGTTCAGTTTCGAAGAAGATTATCCATCAATCAGTTTACATGTTAGCTACGGCCGTTTTACAATGTAACTTACGTCAGTGAATATCATACATATATATTTCTTATTTTGAAACTAAAGTAGTTAAAGAGAAACTAGTACTGCTTTGAAAGGTCACAGTCTGAAATCTAAATGATATGTCACGAAATGGATGAGTCAATCTTTTTAATAATTATAAGGTAATATGTTAGTTTTTAAAGCCCGTAAAAGTCTGGCTGCTATGGAAATCATTCACCTAAAATAAACAAAGAACAATTAGAAATTATTTCCTTTTAAAGTATGGCACTGATTATGGTACTAATTCAACCGCATTTGATTTCAAATTCACAGTGTAGCAATTACGTTTTGATATTTTTCAGGTGTTTAGCTAAAAATTAGGTGGTACATTTCTTACAGAATTTCATTGATAGATACTTCATTAATATATTATCCATAAATTGTAAAAAAAATCATTAAGTAATAAAATCATCAATACAAAATATTAAAACTTATAATACACAATATATATGGAATGAAAATTTAAAATAAAAATTCCCGTGGCAAGCCACCTCAAAAAAAGAAGAGAGGGGTCCAAAATAACGATCCCAAAGCCATTCCAGTTGCTGCGCCAGCCATCATTCCCAGAGCCATGTCACCTCCACGATAACGATTGTAATAGGGATCCGAAACATATACAATTTGATTATTTGGGTAATGCACAATCTGACTTCCCGGCGTTCCTCGTACCAAATAAGCTCGAGGTTGTCCATGAGGTACAGGACCATCGGCATGGACAACAATTTGTCCAGAATCCGGAATAATTAAGTCCTGCCCTGCGCCATAGGATTGGTATACTATATTTGAATTTGGAGGAACACTCCTAGACCTGGGTGGACCGAGATCCTTGGCTTGTTCAAGAGCAATACACCAAGCTTCCATGTCATCAGGAGAATCGGCACACAAAACCAGCGTTTCCTTTTTCAATACAACCTCAAACAAACAAGTTGTTGAACGATGGCTAGGAGGTGTATAACTCGATACAAATTGGGCTCTCCGGATGGCCAAACAATCTTTTGATATGTAATATACCTCCTCAGCAACATGCTTATCAGGAGAATCGAAGAATCTCATCATTCCATTCTTATAGAGCACAAACCAACTACTCTTCCATCTTTTCAATATTGAACCTATTATGAAAAGGGGTTGCGTAATTAAGAAACATCTATTTTTAGCACAATTAAATCATACTCTGTCGATATAACCAGGACGATCTTGCTATTTCAAAGGCCATATCTCAAATTCAAGATTTCAAGAAAAAAGTGTCGGCAAAAATACTGGCGTGACTATAGCGTAGCGGACTTTCTTCATAAACCTTTCCAGATATTTATCACATGATGTTGATTCTTTGGTTGAAAAATAATAAAACAAAAAAACTTACTTAGGAAAAAATGAAGGCGCAAAAAAAAGACTTGTCCTCCATTTTGAATATTTGTGTACAGTTCTGTATCTGTTTGTAGATGAGCGATGTTGGTAGGATGACTAATGATTTAAAAAATGGCCTATGATAGAGAGAACGGGAGCAGTCATTTTTAAATTTTGGAAAAACATTCTCTTATTATATTAAATAACAACGCATAAAAAACAGCTGAGCGGAAAAGATAACCTACACTTTACTTGTAAACTGCTGCGAAATTTTAAGAATTGTCATTTCTGCTATCGGCTATTACACCTGATTCGAAACGATGTCAAACGACGACTCACAATTGGATGAATGTAAAGGTATATAGACAAACTAAATGTACATATGGTATTTTTCTATCCATCACTGAATTGCTAAATCGTAACGTATCAAACATTAGATCCAAAACCAATAAATTCTAGTATGCAACACTCATTAGCAATCGAGCGATATTCGTTAATCGATCGAAGGCTTGAAAGCTAAAAAAAAATTATACTAGGGAGGTGATTGGCCTCCTCGTTACTTTCATTGAAACGTTACCATGGAGACCGTTTCGATCTGTACCTGCGAAAAAGACCTATGTATATAAGGCGTCCTTTCAGTGAGATGTATAGTACTCTAGAGGGAATACGAAGCGCCTGATTTAACTCTTCGTATGTTTTATTTTTACTAGGCCGATGTTTTATTACATCTGTCAGTGCGTATATAAAAACATTTATTAGCGGTGGCTTTCTGCCAGCAATGAATGAAGAAGAGATTTTTCAACTAAACAATATTTCTACAGATGCAGCATCGCCTTTAAGTACATCAGCGAAGTTCGTTCCTACGCATAAGGTAAAATTTCCCAAATATCTACAATCCCCGGAAGACGAAAAATTATCACAACTGGCGGACTCAATTTTTCGAAAGATCAATAAAGCTCTTCAAGTTAGTTTATCTATATCTTATTTTTTTTTAAACTAAAAATGATTATCGATTGTAATTAGTTTATTTAAAAAAAAGAATTTGTATAAAACCTATTTGATAAATTCTACTAATGAAGGATGAAGCTGCTATAGAGGAGGTGGAATGTGAGAAATCGGATGTTGGTCTTATTTTTACTCTTAATTATACGTTGTATGCATGCAGTTGTCCGTAAATACGATCAATAGGGGAATTTTGCTTAATTTTGAGACGATTTTGATCAGTTGCATGACTCTTTCATCGAAACATAAAGCTAAGCTGCATTTTATGAATCGATACACACTGTAGATAAATTTATAAATAGAAAATAAGTGAATATATATTATATACTAATATACAATTCTTATTATGTATGCCATGTCTAAAACATGTATAACAGCACATACAAATATATATTACTTATATACACATCTTTATGCATACATTTGTGCATAAATCTGAATGTCGTATGTAGTAGACAAATCATTTTCTAGGTGAATCTCTGAACATTGCTTTTGATAGGATGAAGACAATGCGCCCTACGAAGTTCCCTTATATCCTATTGAAGCTCATCAAAACAAACAGCATATGGAGAGCAAATTGCAAGCACGGTTGGTTTTTTCTTTGTTTCCAATTAAATTATATCTCAAATTATAAGTGATTTGCATTAATATATCATAAACTATATGACAACATTTCTAATGTCTAACGCGCAATCAAATATCCTTTTAATGCAAACCCCTATTTCACTTATCTTGCAGAGTGCCTCTTTTGAGTTTTATGTAAGTTTTTCACAAAGATTTTCAAAATTTTCTTATACTCCAATTTCCACTGAATTGCATGTTTATGATATTCTTGAACTTTTGAGGGTATCAAATCTTCCAGACTTCCAAATGTTGATATATACTCTATATCCGACTAGTACATGACGTTGTTTTGTTAGGGATAATTTTACTTATTACACGGGGAAAAAAGATATAAATTTTAATATAATATATTATATTTTTTACAGTATATATATATATATATATTAGTATATATGTTTTATAGGCAAAAGCAACCATCAACTGATGATTCTTTCGAAACTCAAGTCGCAGAAGCTCAAGCTCCTCAAGCTACTCCGAAAGAAAAACCCAAACTATGTCGTCTAGTTAGTGAAAATTTGGTAGATGAACTTCGTTTAGCAGCACATGAGGAGGAAGCTCTTCCCCAATATCAAAAGCTAACAATTTCCGGCGAAGAAACGAGTGGTGTACCTTTAGAAGATTTACAGGTAATTATTGTTTAGTAGGCACGATTTGTATGTAATATGAATAAAATTCTGTTTCTCGTTCAAAGGAGGCTTCTCGCTCTATAATAAAAGCCTTGTCGATACGTGAGAAGTATATGGCTGTTGCCATGCAGAGTTTTCCCAAGACAACTGCCAAATTCCTTAAAACCTTTAATGACAAGACTTATGATTTTAGCGATATTGCCAGCGTTGTTGAACGGGAGGAAGATCATACTAACGAAGAAGGTAATTTAATATCTATACTTGTAAAATAGATTATTCATCTCTTTTACTTTTTCTATTATTGGTTTGTTTCTACTGGTAAATCAAAGATAATCTAATAAGAATTCAGCAACGCAGTTTTCTAATAAATGAGCATCTAGGCCTAAAACAAAATGTATACTTATATGAAAACATTAAATAGAGTATAGAGCTATTTATATGATATATAAATACACTTTTAATAATTTTTTTGCATGCATTTCGCTTTTTTTTAATCAATTTTTTGTGGCATGATTTGAGAGAAGGATCGAAAAAAGAAACTTTTTCTTTCATAATCCTAAGATAGTCATGTTCACCAGTTAGGGACAGTACGGCTAATAATATGTTCTCTGAGTGCGATGAGCAGGTTTGGAATGGATGTATAGGTATGATGTTGCAGTGTGGCTTTCTATTTCATTTTCCTGGTTTCTGTTTGTTTTGAGGACAAATACCAGAATTCTTCTGCACCAAACTCACATACCTTTATACAACATTTGTGCTGTACTCAACATTTTAAGAGCTCAACCTCTAAAAAGGATATTTAATTTACACAATTATGATCCTAAGTGTGACAAACAAATCTCATACATATGCCCATATATCTAGTATTCAAGATACTATTTCTATATGAAGCATATTGTGTAAGTCAATATTTACATTATATTTAATTTCTATTAAATATGATGTATTTATTGTCCAAGTTACTAGCAAGCTACTTAGTTTAGCCACCGAAACAGTCACAGCCAAATTTAGGATGTGAACCTGAAAGCTGATTCTGCAGTTTTACCAACCCTTTAACCTTGTGACTTATTTCACACAAACAACTGTTTTTAAACTCTTTTAACAGATCTAGTAGGAGACGAGGAAGATACAAACCGTGAAAATCCCTATAACATCGGAGGAGAAGTACCTGAAAATTTGCCGTGTGCATTTCAGATGAAAAATGGTATAATGCATATTTATGAGTGTAAAGAAAAATTAGAGAAAAATGAACCATTGGAATGGCCCTATCCAGATGTTAAATCTTTTGTAGCTGATCAAAACATCTTATATGCGTTGATGGTTGATGGACCCCTAAAATCATTTTGCTTTAGGCGTCTTTCATACCTGCAATCCAAATTCCAGCTTCATTGTCTTCTTAATGAAATTAGAGAATCGGCTAGTCAAAAGCAGGTTCCACACAGAGATTTCTACAATGTGAGAAAGGTCGATACACACGTGCACGCTGCCTCTTGTATGAATCAAAAGCATCTGCTGCGCTTTATAAAAAAAACGATGAGAACGGAGGCCAAAGAAAAGGTATGCAAAGAGTCAAGGTCCAATCCAAAGTTACTTACACTGGAGGAAGTATTCGAGAAATTAGGTGTTACAGCTTATGATTTAAGCGTTGATTTGTTAGATGTACATGCAGATCGGAATACTTTTCATCGATTTGATAAGTTTAATGCTAAATATAATCCAATTGGAGAAAGTAGATTGAGAGAGATATTTATCAAAACTGATAATGAAATTGAAGGCAGATATTTTGCCCACATCATAAGAGAAGTCATGTCAGATTTGGAGGAATCCAAATATCAGAAAGCAGAATTACGATTATCAATTTATGGAAGACGGCGGAGCGAATGGGAAGAGTTGGCTAAATGGGCGGTCTCTCATTCCGTTTATTCGCCTAACGTTAGATGGATTATTCAACTTCCTCGTTTATATGACGTTTTCAAATCTAACAAATTGGTTTCAAGCTTCCAAGAACTGCTGGACAATATATTTGTGCCAATGTTCGAGGCTACCTGTTGCCCTCAAAAATATCCTGAGTTACATGCTTTCCTATTTCATATAACCGGATTTGATTCCGTAGATGATGAAAGTAAAGCTGAGAAAGTTCACTTTGATAATAGTACTGTTCCACCTGCCGAGTGGACTTTTAATGATAACCCTCCATACACCTATTATCTCTTCTATACGTATGCAAATATGTCAGTATTGAACATGTTAAGAAGAGAGAGGGGTATGAATGTATTTGTTTTACGTCCGCATTGTGGGGAAGCTGGTCCTGTTCATCACTTGATTACAGCTTATATGCTTGCTGAGAATATTAGTCATGGTTTATTACTAAGAAAGGCCCCTGTCCTGCAGTACTTATATTACTTATGTCAAATCGGAATAGCCATGTCACCATTATCTAATAATTCCCTCTTTCTGAATTACCCAAGAAATCCTTTGCCTGATTATCATTCTAAAGGTCTGCAAGTATCGCTCTCTACTGACGATCCACTCCAATTCCATTTCACCAAAGAACCGCTTATGGAAGAATATTCGATAGCTGCACAAGTTTGGAAATTGACTAGCACAGATATGTGCGAATTAGCTAGAAATTCGGTAGTAATGAGTGGCTTTCCTCATAGACTGAAACAGCATTGGATTGGTCCAAATTACGCTAAGCCAGGAGTTGCTGGAAATGACATAGCTAGAACAAACGTCCCAGACATTCGTGTTTCATACAGATATGAAACCTTTCTTGATGAGCTTATGACGATATTCAAAAGCATTGAAAAGCAAGATTAATGAACACACTGTAGTTTTTATGTTGTGCTATTATAAAAATGGTATTTATTAACCTATTCGTTTTTAATGATATATATTAACTTACATGCATGTATGTATCTTTATTATGCAATACACATATGCAGTATACTGGATAACTAAAGTTGTAAAATACTTGATGCGTGCACAATTTAAACAAATAAATAGATTGCATATTGAATAAATTGCATATATTGAAAAAAATGGATTTTGCGTAGAAAATATAAAATATGCAAAACAATAAGATGGGCAGTGTGGCCGGAAAAGAAGCAGCACCACATTTAAAAACTTCTTCTCTTTTGATTTTAAGTGTCAACTTCTTCCAGGTTGGTTGGGCTTTTCAGAGCCTTTCCACCCGCTGTCTCAAAATCATCCTCGTACAGCCTGAAAAACAAAAAAATGTAAAGAAACTATTACAAGGAATATTAAAAATTTACTGAGCATCGTTGTCCACTCCTTCCTCACTAATAAGAATTTCGTACTCTTCTGCAGCAAATCTTTCCCAATCAGTTTGTGGCCCGTCTCCATTTTCTGAATCTTGAACATTGGCAAAAGGATCGCGCTGCTCGTGCTCTAGATATTTCTCCAAATTGAAAAACGTGTCGAAGAAAATATTAGTTTGTTTACAAGCTTTCAAGTCAGATAAACTAATGAGATTTTTCTTGGAGGGTTTGACCATATCAAACATTTGACAGAGACAATCTTCAAACGGTAAAGTTTCGAAGCCCATTTGTTCCATTTTTGCAACTTGTTCCTCATAAAAATATTGCATTTCATACATGGAAATGAACCCATCTCCGTCAAGATCCATACATCGAAACCAGTACTCGATGCTTGTTGGTTGTTTTTTGTCCTCTTCTGATAATAAAAACCAAACAAAATCATAATATGACATTCGTTCTTTATGCTTCCGTTCTCTCATGACTGTACCACTGAAGATTCTATCAACCATTCTAGAAGAAATAGCATCATTGTTATGCCTTGCTAATTCTTGTTTACTAATAAATAGATCGTGATCAGTATCTAACTCCCAAAATTTGCAATATATTACATAAAAATGTTCGTAAGAAAAATAATCAGTTATCCTATTAATATCTTCCTCATCTTCCAATAACCGAAGAGTTTGTAAAAAATTACTTTTTCTTAGCTCGGGAACTGTAATCTTGCCACTCCATGAACGATTGACCGAATAGAATATACGGGCAATCACAGTTAAAACGTATTTTGGATGAAAGTCTACCTCTTTCTGGAGAAAAGACAGACCTGGATGACTCTCGATGACGTCTTGCACCAAACATTTAAGATCCTCTTGCATTATAAAACTGTTATTCTTTGCCGCCAAATACAGAAAACGAGATGCCTCATCATGATTCGTTTCATACAATTTTTTGCATAGATAGACGGCATTTTGTAATGTGATACGTCCTTTTACATCAGCAGCCGATTGGTAAACTAATGCTTTCCAATAGAGCGGCAGACAAAGTGCTTTCATTATCATGGGCATATGCTGCTTTTTTGCATTTCCGGAGGGGAATTGAGCGAAAATTTCTGTTAATTTTTTAATAATATCGTTCAAATCCTTTTCACTCAGCTGTTGTTGACCAAATGGAAAAAAGAACTTTGGAATGTGCTGCTTTTTAGCCCGACTCTTCTTAGCTTTAAGTTCCTGCTCCTTTTCTCGCAAAAATTTATCAGATGTTTCTTGGGAGGTCTGTCAAAAAGTTACAAAAAGTTCATTAACATGAAATTTATATCTTAATGGTACCTTTATAAGCGGTTTAAGACAAGGTTTACACAACCCATAGTGTATAGCCGAACAATCAGTGTATGTACACTTAACACAGCAATGCACGGCTCTACACCACCTTGTATCAACAGAACATGTTCGATAGATGCTGATTCTGTCGTAAACAATCATTCTTTCGGTCCTTATTAGTGTACGTGTGTATAGACAGACTGCACTACTGCAACAGCGCTGCACAGCCTGCATAGCCTGCGCACCGCCTGCACTAACCTACGCACACACGTTACTGACGGCCTAAGACAATGTGTAAATAAGACGAGCAATCTACTATTGTACAATACTTATTGATTTTAATAAAATATTTCTCTTGCAAACTTTTTCAATTAAACTTTTAAAAAACGCCACCTACCCTTAAAGGCCGATGCTCTGAGATCAAAGCTTTTCTTGGAGAACGTGGAGATGGACTTGCAGCATTTCGAGGGGCTGGAGGAGAGCTGATACGATTTCTTGGCGATTGGCAACGATTTTTGAAAGATGGGGTAAATGGGACAACTCTTTCGCCATTGCGAATTCGTTCCAAATTAATAAGTAACTGTTCTCGAACGCTTAGGTTACTTAGCCATTCATCAAACAACTCGTTAACCTTCAAACTAATTTGCGGCTTCAGTTCGACACGCTTCTGCGACCGAGTCATCACAAATATACCTACAATGTTTCGATAATAGCAGACTGACTAAGAACTTTGGATTACCCTTGGAAATGAAAACAAAAATCAAATAAGATAGACGCTTTTTAGGCTAGAAGTCTTTTCTTAAATTAAAGCCTTTACAAAAATTTTAAGGTCAAGGTCAACGTTTTTCTCTTTCCAAAGACGATTTCCGGTTGACGTCGTTGTTACGGTGACAAATACGTAGTGCGTCGCGCTGGCGCGCATTTTGAATTATATTAAGACTTCGATAAAACACATATATATATATATACATACATTATAAATCTAAACTAAAAACAGCAATGTTTTCTATTTTGGAATTCAGATTCACGATTCTCTCTGTACTCTTCTTTTTCTGAGCTCTTTGGTCTCTTTAACAGTTTTTTGAGTCTTCTTAGGTAATTTTATCTCCTCCACTGTATCACTTTCATTGTCTGATTCAGAAATATCACTAGGGTAATCCTTATTAGCAGATTCCTTATCTTCACTGTCTGATTCTTCATCTATCTCCTCCTCTTGTAGATCTTCATCTTCTTCATCTTCACTCTTTTCCTCTTCTATCATATCTTCCTCTTCGGAAAGATCGTCTATGATCCGAGATTTTTTTTTACCCCTGACTTGTTGTTTTACATCATTTACTGTCTCAGCACATTTAGCTAAGACATCTTCGACATTATCCACTCCTACTTTTTGTTGAACTTGTTGCATAGCTTGTAGAATCTTAGTCATTTGTTTTTCCGTTTCCAACAGCCTTTGACGAAGTTCTTTCATTTCCACATCGGTTACTTCATTGTCATCGACTTTTATTAATAATTTCTCCAATTGCTTTTTCTTAACATTTTTTGGAGGTGGTGCTTTTGGTTCCTTGCCTTTTCGAATGTGACGAGAACCTGAATCTTCAATTCCCTCAGTATCCCTGACATCCTTCTTTCCGAAAACTTTTGATAATGTGTAAATTAGGTATATAACAATACCAACAGCATAGAGAGGAAGAACAATGCTCATTAAGCCTTTACCCCCTCCCCCACCTCCTTGCGAAGCTGTTTGCTTGTGCATTTCAGCTGCTGCTCTCATACCTGGATGAACTCCGGCTTTCATATGCCTGACTGTTTGATCATCCATTCCACCTCTGGAATTAGTTGTCGGACGGCGCAGATGAGGAGGAACTCTATTTAAGAAAGGATCAGATGCTGATTTCTTAGATTCCATTCCAAGAGCATGCATTAACATTGGATGGAATATTTTGGGATATAAAACGGCAAAGCAACCAACAATTACAGCAAAAACGGCTATTGTTTTTGCGGTTGTCATTTCCATTTTGGGCCGTATTCTTCAAGATAGATTTTATAAACTGTTTATTATTATTCCTAGAAGAAATCAAAATTACGCATGCGCACTCAAGAATATCATAAGCTTTTTCGTATGTAATCAATGGAAAATTGTCTTGATTTATTAATTCTTGTGGGGCTATTCAAAATTTCTTAAACCTTAAAGAGAAATAAATCATATAATCAAGCAAAGAATAAAAACATCAAATTTTTTCGACCTATTCACATTCAAAATGGCGGAAGTCAATGTTGAATAACAACATTGTAGAAGTGTAGTGAAATTATATACTATGTCTTAGATTTTAACGTTTCACATTTGATGATTGCTCAAAACATCAACTGTAATCTTTTCTTTCCTAATTTCTATTGACCTAGTTACTCATGTGATTCTCACATACATTTTCCAATACTAAAATCGCAGTTGTGTTTGCTTCGCAACAGTGGGTAAGTATTAAATAAGGATCGCTCTTGTTATACGACTGATTGATTTTACAGCAAATAGTTATGGAATCTAAGTGGCGATGTGAACGTTGCACATATGAAAATTACATAGCTTCACGAAAATGTACATTGTGTACAGCACCTAGGCCTTCATACGTCACCGACGATGCAACAAATGAACGCGACATATACAAGATGGCTGTTTTATCTTTAGCAGATAATAGTGATCATGCAGGTCCTAGCAACAGTGGAACAATAAGTCCTAGATCAAGTGAGAAATGGCCATGTTGCGCATGTACTTATTTAAATTGGCCTAAAGCGCTTAAATGCGTGCAGTGTCTAACTCCAAAGCCAAGATCAGTTAGGGCAATTAGTGAAGAAAACCTTGCTAGTGGAGGAATTGATAATAAATGGTCTTGTAGGAATTGCACTTTGGACAATCTTATGAAATCCTGGAAATGTGCTATATGTGGGACACCTAGAAAAAGCCCTTCTCCGCCGTTTTGCGAAGGAGCTTCAGCTTCGAAAGATAATCGTAGACGACAAACCTTATACAGAAAAGAGTTATTATGGCTAAATGCGTGTAGAGGGGTCCTCGAAAACAATATATTACCTGTAGAGGCTTATCTTACCTCGGGAGGTGATCCTACTAGAAGTTTAACAGAAGAAGAGTGTAGTTTATTGGATAGACCTAGTGCTTTCCAGCCTAATCAGAATCTTGTACACCTAGCTATCAGATTTCGTCAAGATGATATGCTTAGGGTTATTTTAGCTTCAACTGAGTGCATGAAAAAAGCAAAAAAGCGTCTCCCTTCACACGCATCACCAGATATCTGTAAAGAAATACTTCACCACCTCTCAACAGTCATTCGAGTTCGGAAAGGCGAATTTGCTTGCTCCTTTGTGACAGAAATTGCCACCTATTCGTTACCCTGTGAAATTGAACATTTACCTGCAAATATTAACAACGAACTTTTGGATCAAATTCTTGATAGACATGTTCAGAAGGAATTGGAGGAAGAAGAAGCAGTTACAAATTGGAATACAGAATTAACAACTCAGCTGCAGAGTCGATTATACCCTTTATGGAATAGGACATCTGGTGATTGTCTTCTTGATTCTGTTCTGCAGGCAACTTATGGAGTATTCGATAAAGAAAATACTTTGCGCCGAGCTCTAGCTGATAGTCTTATAGAAGGAGGTCATGCTTTTGAGAGACGATGGAGAGAATGTGAAGCAATGGCGGCGAAAGCGTTACATTTTACATTGGATGAACGTCAATTGTCGCGCGACTGGCAAATACTCGTGCAGGCGTCTAAAATGGTAGGAGAACCTCTTGAACAATTGCATGTGTTTGCACTAGCCCATATTATGCGGAGGCCGATAATTGTTTATAGTATAAAGTGGTTGAAATCATGGAAGGGTGAAAGGTTGGCCCCAACTTGCTTCGAAGGCGTGTATTTGCCACTCCTCTGGGAAATTTCATTTTGCTCAAAATCTCCTATTGCTCTAGGATATACTAGAGGTCATTTTAGCGCTCTTGTAGGGTTAACCGGAGAGGACAATAATGATGAAATAACATATTTACCATTAACTGACAAGTCGGGTAATCTCTTAGCTTTACATTTTCTCTCTCCTCAACAACGAGGACGAGACGAAGCCCTTTTACGAGCTTGGTTAGATTGCTCTGTAACCACCAGCGGTTTTTTGGTGGCCAAACAATATTATCAGAATCACAGATTATCTGGATTAGTAAAGAATATGAATGCCAAGTGGTTGGGAGAGTTTGTTGAATGTAAGGGCGCAGCGGCTGCAGCTTCTGGATACACTAGAGATGAGAGTGATGCTGAATCGGAAGATGATGTGTAAAGAACGGTGCTATTTATATAGCCGTAGCGTTTTTTGTCGTATGTAACATTGATTTTATTTATTACATGCAAGTTTTTTCGTCTGATTCATTGACTCCTATCCCATATAGTCTTGAATTTTCCAATTGCAGATAGATATTAACAATCTAAAGACGATGAAATTTTTATTGTTGTTCAAAACTTAGCAGAAGTGAGAAAATGAGGAAATGAAGGAGAAAATTAAACAAATTTTCTCACAATCTCGAATATACCACTGATTGTGTTTAGCAACTTAAATTAAAAATGCAGGCTACGAATAATTTTAATTAATAATTTAAAAGTTTTTTTTCAAGTCTTCTAAGTTTATCTTTTTTAAAAAATTTAGAAATGCATTAAATTTGAAATATATATTTATCAAGTAAATGACTCATTGTGGTTTGGCGCAATTTTTATATATAAAATCGCTAGATGGCGTCCAAAGAATAAACGATCTCCTAACAGACTTAAGTCGTACCCGACTAAATCAAATTTTGTTCGTCGAAATATGTCAGAAGTTTCGGCTGAGACTCTCGAAAAGTTCTGTTCTGTCACCGGTACGTAATATAGAAATTTTTACTTCAATGAAACTTAAAGCTGAGCATATTACACAGATTTTTTTATTTTTCTCGATTATCGCTCTTTCCAGGTTCATCTCAGGTAGATATAGCAAGACAGTTACTACAAGTTTGCAATGGAAATTTAGACATGGCAATAGGTATGTACATGGAAAACATGGATTCAACGAAACCAGGATATTCGGGTGGGCCCTCACCGGAAGAAACTCCCAAGGAAGATGATGAGTAAGTTAATAGCACTTTAAATTCAAGGGAACAATTAATTTGGTATTTTTATGTGATTTCAGAGAGGAACTGAGACCACCTATTCCGTCTAAAACTGAAGTACTTCTACCCGGCAGTCCACCATATGGTAAACTCTAACACTAAACAGGCTAATAGCTTTTATAAAGTCAAAATATTCACTTTTTATAGCTTCTACAAAAAGATTTCGAAGAAATGATAGAAGTTCCGTATTCGATGGTTTTAGAGATTTTCAAGCTGAAAGTCTGGCTTCCAGTACAAATTCTAATGGACAAAAAAGACAGACTCTCGAAGAACTTTTCCGTCCTCCTCTTGATCTTATTCATAAAGGACCATTCTTTACAGCTCGAGAAGAAGGTAAAAAGCAAAACAAATGGTTGTTGGTTAATATCCAAGACGTAACAGAATTCTCTTGCCAAATACTCAATAGAGACGTTTGGTCTTGCCCAAAAGTTAAGCGCATTATTCAAAAAAATTTTATCTTCTGGCAAGTATATCATGATAGTCAAGAAGGATTGAAGTATAGGCAATTTTATCATTTCAACGAATGGCCTTACATTGCAGTTATTGATCCTATAACTGGAGAGAGAATTGTAGCTTGGAATAAATTGGATGCAAAATCGTTCTGTGAGTTAGTTGAGGAGCTATTTGTTATGCGAGGTTCTAAACCATCAGAAGAAAAAAAGGGAGACAATAACCTATCTGAATCTATTAGCATAATTGATATGAGTGAAGAAGAACAAATAAAAGAAGCATTACAAGCATCTCTACAAGAGACTAATAAAGTTAATAAAATAGAATATTTGTCAACGAGCGAAGACGATGATGATAATAATAATGATGATGATGACGACGAAGACATTACGAATAATGAAAATGACGATGACTGTATCGATGTAACGCCTTGTAAACAGAAAGCCACTAAGAGGTATCACTCTAGTGACGAGGAAACTAAAAATAATGAACCTTCCAAAAAATTGCAAAAACAAGCAGAACTTTACACAGATTATTTTGGTGACGAATCTGGTTTGTTAAAATTAATTTTTTGTATGACAAATAGTCAACTACAATGCTTTTTTCAGATGAAAAATCAAATATTGTATTACGACTTCCATCTGGTGAGAGAAAATCTTTGCAACTACCTTGTACATCAAAATTAAAAGCTCTAGTTTTATTTGTGAAAGAGTCAGGATTCTCTCCAGAGAGTCATCAGCTTGTCGCAAACTTTCCTAAACGAACTTTTACAGATGTAGAGAAAACATTATTAGAATTGGGTATGCATCCACATTACACCATTTTTGTACAGAGTAATTCGGGTGGGGGATGATATTAATAAATAATTACATTAAATACAGTAGTTTTATTATGTATTCATTAAAAAAGTACATTTATGGAATGGCTTGCAGAGACTTCGTTTCGTCTATCCTCGTAGTCCCTGCACTATGATTTTTATTATTGTACAAAGGCAGACGGAGAACTTTGCGGAATTCCTTTTTAAAGTTTTCATTCAACCAACCATACAAAACAGGATTAACACAGGCAGAACAAGTAGTAGAGATATGACATAGAGCAATTAAAATATTTTGAGAATCTAGGGCAGTCATCTGCTTATAATTAAAATCAGCGATGATATTTACAATATTTAAAGGTAGCCAGGCCAAACCAAAAGTTAGCGCAATAGAAAGTAGCAAACTAGTTGTTCGTCTATTGATATTTCCTTCTCGTTTATTCCGGGAAATTTGATTTGTTCGAAATCTACGTTTTAGCTGAGCAAATATTCTAGCGTGAGTTGACGTCACTATAACTATTGGAACGATGTATTGTATGACCAATGAAGAAATAGAATAAGCTGCTTTCTCGTATAGGAAACTATGGCCTTCTATACACATAGGTGGAAGGCGACCGAACTGGGAATCTTCTCTTGCGTCGTTATATTGTACAAAGAGCAGCTGCGGTGATGCCATGAGTATCGATAAGAACCAGATGACTACGATTGCCGCCAGGGCGCCGAGTTGCTTGATAGAGTCTCTGGTAGGATAGACGATCATCTGAAATCTATCTAAGGCTATCGCTGCTATCGACATTGTTGAGACAAACACATTTGTTCCCGCAAACATAGGCACAAGTTTGCACATGGTTGCTCCAAGTGGCCATGATGACTTATGAATCATTAGCAGGTTGAACGGCTGGGTGATCACACATAACGACAAATCTGATATTGCCAAATTTGCCTGTTGAATATGGAATACATCTTACTTAGTAATTATGTAATATAATTTGTTCTTTAAAATACAGTACGATAAATATGTTTCGAGGCGTCCTCATGTGAGCTTGTGTAGATACAACCCAACAGACTAAGCCATTTCCCAGCGCTCCAAAGGTTATAAGAATCGTAGCAGCAACAATCAAGCATACTTTCGTTACGGAATTTCCTCCGTTATCGAATTTTGGAAAAAAATTTTCAATAATCTCAAACGACTGATTAAGATATTCCACTCTGTCCATCGCCTACGCGGCGTCGTCTGATTAAAGAGACTTCGTAGATGGCGCAACCGACAATGTCGGGGGAGCTTGTTTACACGATACGGGCGTCTTTTTTATAGGCCCAACGAGTGCAGGTAGATGAACTGTAATATTTTATGAAAGTAAATGCTTCGAGAAAGTATCTAAATATAAATCTGAAAGTGATGTGTTATGGTTCATTTTTATTAAAGTCTTTTACGTTGATTTATTATAGTAGCTTGATGCAGAGAACAGTGGGGGTGTATCCACGCACGAGATGAAACATAAATTATTTTGATATATTTATTGTTAAAAATAGTAATCATTGAAGAGATAAAATAGATATATTGCATCTTTATTCTAAAAATATGTATGCAGGCTTTTTATATTTGAAGAATACATATTAATTTAAGTCTATCCCGAGCAAGAAATAATTAATAACAATTATCGATCGACAAGGAGATGCTGTTTCTTTAGAATCTTTCTATCGTACTTTCTTTCAGCCTCTCATTCCTTTTTTGTAAAACTAATCTCATACATAAAAAATACCATAAAAAAGAAATATATCAAAGCTCGAAGGCCATCGTGTCACGCTTATAAGATTCGAAATTCAGTTATAAAATGAGATAGTAGTTTTCTCTTCTCTGCTCCAGACAAAGTAGTGGTATATCGAATTTATTTATGTGTGCTACTGTTCGCACGAGCATATGGTGCTAAACGTGCACAGCCGTTGTTTTTACGGATAACATTAAAGAACAAGCTATGTTTCTCATTTTTATAATTTTGTCTATAACCCTTCGTATTTCAGGTATAAATACATATCATTAAATAAACCTTTCTCATAGGATTTAATTAATATAATACGACCACTAATGAAATATTAATTCTTATGCTTTACTTTTATCTTCCGCTTATTTATTTTATAGAAGGGGCAGACAACTGTCAGCTTACTACTTTTCCATTTTTTGTGATGGAGTTACTGGTTGATGAGGAACTACCGGTTGGAAGTAAAGTAAGCTCTGTCAATATTCTAGGTAAAGAGAATCTAGAGGTTCTTACGAGTATAGAAGACACTCGCTACTTTCATTATGATGGGGAAACAAGAATTATATCTATCAAGAGTAGAATCGATTCTGAATCAGTAGGGAAAAAAATCACGACGAGGATTTGGTGCCAAAAAATAGGAGAAAATCTTGATGTTTGTAGCTTTCTTCTGGCGAAATGGTAATTACGATCTTTTAATGATATCTTATTTTTTCATTAGAACTCCTCAATAACTGTCTATGTAAATGTTCGTGACATTAATGACAATGCCCCCGAAATACTGCAATCATCTCGTAATGTAACAATAAACGAGTTTACACCACCCAAGTCAGAAGTATTTCAGTTACTCTCCCGAGACGCGGATAGTTTAACCACGAAAATAATCTATAGTATTATAGATGGAAAACATTCTGTAAGTAAATAAAAAAGTAATCTCTTCTCTTTTTAGGAAGATGCTAAAATATCATGTTTGTGTCACGTTTGTTTGCAATGAGACCGATTTTTGCAGGAAAAATTCTATCTTGCTAGCAACTCGGCAATTCTGACTACCGACCCAATGAAAGTCTTCTTGTCAAAGGAATTGGATTATGAAAGTGTCTCTTTAATTAAATTAGTGGTAAATGTAAAAGACGTTGAAAATCCTCAATTAAACTCAACGGCGATTATTGACATTAATATTGAAGACGCAGATGATGAGAATCCTCTTTTTACATCTAACTTTTATACTGGAAAAATAAAAAAAAATGCTGATGTGGGAACAGTTGTTAAGGTTTTTCCTAATAGAATTTTTTCCTGGGATCCTGACGTATCTTTTGGTAATAATATTATTTATGGCATTCTTCAACATAAGGCGGATGGAGGTATTTTTATAACCAAAGATGATTTTCGTTTTGACTTTTTGCCACGTTTTATTAGATAAGGATCTTTTTGAAATTAATCCGACTAGTGGCTTAGTCACGATCAAGAGGAAGTCACCTGTCATCTATGAGAACAATTTATTTGTGCTCTTAATAACTGTAATGTTACTTATTTATTACAATCTTTGAGGATATTATAAGAAAAATAATTCTGTTAAAAGGCTACACAGGAGAATAACGCAAATAGGACTACAAATGCCATGTTAAGAATAGAACTTGAATCTGATCCTATATATCTGCATGCAAATTACTCTAGCAGAATATTCGAAAATAGTCCTCCTAACACCTTTGTTCTTAACGTTGCCGCCTTCACTCAAAATGGAACGTCCAAGAGGGTGTTATATACTCTGGAGGGAAATCAGAATAGTGAAAATTTCAAGGTTATTAGAACAAAGTAAGTTTGCTTTATTAGAAGCTCTTGGTACCCTACATAAAAACTCCATCTAAAAATGTAGAATAAAAGCACTTAGTATTCTGTTTAACATTATTTATTTATTAAATAAATATTAAGTTTAGCTATTGATTTTAGATGAATTAAGCACATGTATGTAAAGAATACAACATTACTAATAGAAATTTATTTTCTGTTATTTTATCTAGTTTTGCGTCTAATTAGACGTTCCTCTTATTTTCATATTGTCGTAAAATCATTAAACGATTAAATTTTGTGATGTTAGATTTTAAAAGTATCCCTTTTTTTAACAGTGGTGATATTTTTACTAAGAAAATACTGGACTACGAAGAAGCGCAAATGTACAATTTTACAGTAATAGCTCAAGCTGACAATTTCGTAAGTGGGAAAATATACAATATACTACAAATGCTTACTTCTTTAACATTAAGTATATTTATTTAAAAGACTTCTACAGCTAAAGTCATTATTGAAGTGATGGATATAAATGACAATAACCCAACTTTTACCAAGAGTTTGTATATATTTTAACTGAAGCAGGTTTTCAAAAGATATTACGTTTCTATTCTAAAGATAATTATCAGTTTCAAGCCGCTAGGGAGAATGGATCCGTAATTGGCCACGTGACAGTTAGTAAAATAAATTTGTAGAACAAATGTAAAACATTTGTTACGCTTAGTAGAAAATTATTTTTAATTTATAAAAAAAAGGCCACAGATGCTGATGTTCACTATAATTTGGATTTTAAATTAATGAATGACTTAAAGTGAGATACAACTTGGTCTTTAGATTTTTATCTTTACCTAATTTTTTCTACAGTATATTCAAAATTGAAAAAGTAAATGAAACAGCAGCAGCATTATATCTTTTAGCTGAAGAAACTGTAATAACACCAAATAAATATATGCTCCATCTTATTGTGGACGATGGCGGTAATCCACCGCGACAGGGAAGTTCAGTAGCCAGTTCGTATCTTCTCAATCATTGTCATACTTAAAAATATCTTCAATATAATTTTTTATTTTATAGTTGTAGAATTTCCGAGATTAGTTATTGAAGAGAATGACTGTGTTTCAAGCACACCAATTGCAATTATTATTGCATTGTCTATTTTATGTGGAGTGCTTCTTATCATAGTCATTATCCTTCTAGTTTGCTGTATTCGCTTAAGGTAAGTCGGTATATACCGTAATTATGCTGTTCTCAATGCAAACCACTTAGACTTCGTAAGAAGGAAAGCGACGAGTATTATGCATATTGTTAAACTGGAATAAGGTTTTGTCGAAATGGTAAGGTGTGCGCTTTAAGGTTGCCGCTTTTGTCGTGAATTTTCTAAACTGCTGAAATTTTGATTTAATCTTGATTCAAAAAGGAAAGTCAAAGATAAAAAGATTGAGTATATTTTTTTTCAATTTTAGGAAAGAAAATTTGAGGACAAACTATCATCTCTCAAATGAAGTTTATGAAGTTAACACAAATTCTGGGATTGTAGATGATGTAGAGGATAACGGAATAACTCGCCGGAATTCGTCAGACAGTTCTAAAACGGCTTTGAAATGCTTAAATTTAGTTCCTGAAGTCGACTATACTGCCGGTGAAATTTCATATGATGATAAATTAGGTCCTTCAGACTGTAGTCGTTCTCTTGACTGCACTACAATATCTTTTATAAATATGACTCAAACTATACAAAGTCCCGCTACCAATTCGACAAGATCCAACAATCTCAAAAAAATCACTGTTTTATACTAAAAGATAAAATTTTTTACTGGATTTTTTACGTTAAATATAACTGACAAATTTAACATATACTGTGTGTAAACAGTACATAATTATTCAGATGTTATAGTCAATCTCTTGTTTAAGTATGATGTAGCAGCTACAATTGCTGCACCTAAACCAGAGCCATCTTCTGATCGTTGCAATTCAAACTTTAAAGCAAATTGATCTGCTTTAATCATATAGAAGTTTATTTTTACCCACCTTATTCCCATACATTCTTCTGATTTGCTGACGCATGTAATAATCAAAAGCAGGATGTTTGTAATGTAAAGTACCATCGATTCCAATGGTAATTATCTCATCCCCTCCATTACTAACTCTTTTCAAAAGCACAGACAAAGCTAAAAAAGTCATGGCTCTAAAGTTTGCCAATATTCTGTAGTCGTAATAGTATACCTGTACCAGCCAAATAAGCTGCTCGTTTCGATGCAAGATGGCATAAATATCGAAGTGTTAACCTATCATCATTTGTAATTTCTCCTAAAAAATATATCAATTTCGTACTTGATAATCATTATACTTGAAATTTTAACCTTGTAAACCGATTATTCGTTTAAGAGTGTCATCTACTTGATTAGCATATTTCGGATCATGACCGCTGAAAAAAGCAGCATTAAATTTAAGAGTAATACGTAGGAATGTATATAATATATATGTACGCTTCGACTTTGGATATGTGTTTTGTCAAGAAAGAATACGGCTTTGAAAGTTTAGTTCTGGTAAGTGTTGTATCATGAGAAGGAAAAAAAATTTTTTTATCAATTCCTTCAATCAAATAATATCTAACTAATTCCCCTAGATATAGGCCAGAGATCATTTTTTCGAATCTGTCATTTAAAATGCTTATTATTTTTCATAATAAACCTGCGGAGTACGCAAATACAACATTTGGCGATTTGGATTAAAGGATTTAGTGTCAACAATTTTGTCAATATCTGTTCGAATACCACGAATGCAAACTTCGTTTCTATTTGAGCCATAAGCTCCCCACTCCGTATTTACAATCATCACAGATGGCTCTAAATTCCTTTCGCTCTCAGGTAATGTTTCTATATTGTTTATTTTCTCCAAATAACAAGCATTTGTCCCTGTGCCTAGTTTAATTTACAAAAGTGAAAAGAATTAATTACAATGAAAAGATCCAAAATGATCAACTTGCCAAAAATAACTCCAATTTTTGTGTTTCTATTAAAATATGCACAAGACATCATACATCCTACAGTATCATTCAGTACTGCACAACATTCGATATTCTCCGACTTCTGTTATTCGTTTAGAAAATATTTAAATTTTTTAAGGTTAATTTTCCACTCACTCTCGTGATATATTTATTTAAGAGTTGTCCCACATCGCGTCCTTCAACGTTTTCGCATTTGAAACCTTTTGTCCATTGTGTAAGACTGTTAATCAAGGCAATTAGAGAAAAAATAATTATGTATTTATTATTTCAGACCAGGCTTCTCCAAGGCTTAACTGCTTACATGGAAAGGAAAACGTAAATCCTAAAGGTCTTAGACGGTTTTTGCTTGGTTCATCAATTATATTAACAAAGTCTTTAGAGCGAACAAAGTCATACAGACAAGCGGACAAGTATTCAAAAAGCTATAAAATTAGAACCAAATTAGATTTCTTCAAAAAAAAGATTTCGTAAGGAATTGTTTTTACAGCCTCCCCTTCTCCCGTTTTCATTTCAGCTGAGAGTTCATACTGCTTTTCAGCAGATACTGGCTTTTTAACCTCAGAAGTATTATCAGCTGACTTTAGTGTTAACCCTAAAACTCTAAAATTTGTTCCCCCTAAATCCAAAGCAAGAAATGTCCCATTTTCTGTTTCAAAAAGAAAGCCTAGAAAAATAATCTTTTTACAAGAAGAGTACCTTTTCTTGTTGGTAGTTGCCTGACGAATGTCGGATACATTTTTACACTTGAATTTGAATGCGTTTCTTTACGTAAACCTCTGCTCATAGCGTCGTCCAATTCGATAGATATCGCGTCGTACTGTCTTTCTGCCACATTTAATCGCGTTAAGTACTCTTTGACCTGATTAAAATATTTAAAACATGCATTTTGCAACATAGTCCAAATCTAAAAAAAGTACTTCAGGGCGAACTTGTTCTGCAAGAGTGTTTAAAACTCCAGCGTCGGGAACAACTCGCCGAATATCTGCTGAATTAGATACCATAACACAGATTTATTGAATTAAATTTAAAATTGGAAATGACGTCTCAGTCAATGTATTAACCAATAAAAGCTAATTGTACACACACATATACTGTATATATATATAAACAAATAGGGATAATTTTTAGCTTTTAATACAGTTTGCAAGAAAAGGTCAAATAAGGTCCTCATCTTCGAAGAGATCCCCGAAATCTGAAATTCAAATTTTTTTGAGTAAATAGACAGACCGAATATTCTCGTTTCTTACTGTTGTGAAAATCGGAATGAACTGACTTTTCATTAGCAGCTAAATCCATTAAAAGTGCACTCGAATTTGCTGGCTGTAACGACACATATGAAAAAGTAAATTACTATTTCAATATATTCATACCTCTTCAATATCTATGTATGGTCCGGCACCCTCAGGAAACATTTCATCAGCAACAACATTCGCTGAATTCGGTTTCATATTTAGGTTGAAATTCTAGTTTTAACTCGATGGGTGGTATATATATATATATATAGTCGAGTTTAGATAGATATGTGGGTCAATATAGAACCAAATTTGAACGAATTTACCTGCTCCCTGACTTAGCAGACTGAAATCTATTCCATCCTTTAACCATGCTATGACATCCCGTGACATAAACAAATTCCTATATTATTTTCGTAAAAAACGAATCAAGCAGTAAAAAGACAATTCGATTCTATTGGAATTTTGTTCTTTATTAATATTTAAAAAAGCATACCTACAAACATTAAACCATACTAACTCCTATTACTTCCGGTCAACCACCTAACTGATCGAGTTTGATTAGAAAGGGTTTAAAGGTCGTAAAAAGAAGCTTAAATCATTTGTTTCCCCGCTTTTTAAATATCCTGCACGTAAAAGATAACAAACAACATGTATGCAAAGTTTCTAGTTGTTCTTCTATTAGGTAAGTCTTTTTTAACAACATACTCTTTGACAGGTACAAGTCATGTGATTATTAGTTGAAGCAGAGCTATTGACAAATTTTATATATTGCTTTCAGGACTTGCTACAGCTGAAGGTAATAATGACTCTACAGTATCTTCAACCAGAAGCACTGTCAGCACCATTCAACCGACGAGTCCAACCCAAAAAACCACTGTTACACCTGATGATTTTCCTGTTGAAATCCTTAGAAAAGAATGCTTTATTGCCAGAATGGGATTGAGGGTGAAGGAAAGTGGAAAGTTTTGGACAATGAAAAAACATCCATCATTCACTGTTGCCTGTGAGTCAAACAAGACAATGGTCAACATTACTCTTGAAGAAACTTCATTTGTTAATCTAAAATTCTCCTCTGACAAATCAAATTATTATTTGAACTCAATAGCTTTTAGTAAGAGATAATATTAATAAAATACTCCTTCTAATTATTATTTTACAGAAAAGGATCAATCTTCAACTGAATATATCAAAAATGAGCTTAAACTATTTTCAACCAGCTTCAATAAAACTTTCAAATGCTATAATCAACCTAAAATTGAACTGAAGAACAAAAATTTAACAGTTGATTTAGAATTCAAAGAATTTAAATTTGAAATTTTTAAAGGTGGACAAGCGAAAAATTTTAGTTCAACTGGTAAGACTTTAAATTTAATTAAAAGAATTAAAATAAATTATTCTTAATTTGTTCACAGTAAATGAATGCGCTGCTGATAAAAAAACCTCAAATATTGTTCCCATAGTGGTTGGAGCTGTTCTTACAGGAATGATTGTTATTGTTTTGATTGCTTATCTGATAGGAAGGAGAAATAACAAGAGTGGTTACGAGAGTGTATAAATATATATATATATATATATAACAAAATAACCGCATATGAACAGGTAATACTGATTTTACTACAGCTAAAGTATACCTTATTGCGTAGATTAACTAATCAGAAGCTAATGTAAAATTGAAACTTAATTCATTTATTATTCCAATAAAATTATTTTTACTCTTTATTTTCAATTTTTACACAACATCAATATTTTATACTACGTCCGGATACGGAAGCCTCATCTGACGGCATTTTCACATAGCCAAATTGAGCTGCACCCTTGTAATCGTGTGTTTGAGAGATCCCAGAAATACCAGTTACGCTTGTGATCACAGTTACGTTATCATTACCACCACTAGCAACTGACTGAGCATATGCGACTGCTCGCTCATTCGGTTTTAGCGGTTTCTTTTTCAAACAGTAAATGGTAATAGCTATAGTAATCAACAAAACAATTACTGCAGCCGAAACAACGCCTCCAATGAGACCTGCATTATTTTTTGATGACTTAGTTTCGTTTTCGTCATTCTCCGAGTCAACTTCAGGTGTAACTGCAAAAAAACATAATTAACTAAGCATTGAATTATTGAATTTAGTGCGTACGTCCACAAACGATTCCCCGAACATCTTTAAACTGCCCAAGCTTTAGTGAATCTAATCCTTCATTCAAATTTTCAGGTATTTTCAAAACTTGAATGGCACTGTAAACTAACAAAACTTAATTTGATTTTTATGATCTAGCAGTTTACCTTATGGTGTTATCTGGTTTATCTGTTACTGAAAAGTAAAGTTCTTCTGCTATAGGGTTTTTAGTAATACCATAAATGTTCCAATGTGCTTTCTCGAAAATGACACTTCTGCTGCTATCATTTAAATTGTATTTCTCAATTTTTCCGATGACTGGAGAAGAATTTAGTGTGTTGGTGAAATAGAATATATTTCTCTCACTGCCAAATACTAATCCTGAGACTGTTGCCAAGCCGTCAGAAAGTATTTTAGTATCGCTGTGTGACAACAGATTATTTGTAATAGATGATCTATGAATGCTCGATACAGGAGAATCCACAAGGTATAAATAGCTGTGATAAAAATATAAGTCGTAATGTTTCTCATAACTGCTCTCTTACTTGTTTTGTTCGTCAATTGCTATAGCTTTTACATTAGTTAAATCATCAAATTTCTTTGACGGTTTGTCTGGTTTTTTATTAATATGATGGTAACTAATGTATTGTCCAGCCGCATAATATAGTATTCCTTCTTTATTCAGAGCGATACCTCCACTGTTTTTGTCTGAAGTAGAACTCGAATGTAGAATAAATTATTTTTAACTATAACTATAGATACCCGGGTGAGCTGCAATGTGAAAAGCAGTTAAGGTTTTCCTATTTATTCTGTATATAAGATGGAGATTCTTATCTGCAATGGAATCCATCCAGATAATTTGATCCGTTTTTGAATCATATTCAGTGGCAATTGCATAATGATTCCAATAGACAGGAATTTTCTCATAAATTTTGCTTTTTACGTAATATAAATGAATTCCCTTCTGATTAAGATCACCAAACACAATAAGGGGCTCGTGATCTTTTTGTAATAGAAAGAAAGTGTCTAAACAATCAGTTTTTTAAAGCTTACTATTTATGTGACTTTTGCATGACTCTCCATTTTTTGTATAACCATACGAACACAAGCAATTCGAACTGCTTAAACAGAAATGGCCACATGGACAGTTTGGAGTACTGGTAACTGTTCATGAAAAAGGTAAACCATTTTATAGTGTTATATTTCTTGATATTAATTTCTACTCACTGAGAGTAGGAGCTACAATACTCTCGGCAGTGAAATTAGTGGAGATTTGTTCCACTTTGTTATTTTGCATTTTATGTAGAATGCTGAAATAGTAGTTTATCAAAGACTTGTCAAAATGGAGCATACTTTACCTATCACTTGGCTTCGTAAAGTAAATACGATCCATAATCACAGCAAAACTATCAACCTGTGGAAGAATCATATCCAACTTTTTGTTACTTACTGTATACAGTTCCTTCTTCTCAGTGACGAAATATATTTTGTCTATTTAAAATCTCTAGTTAAAGTTAATAAAACAAATAAACAAGTTTATATATACAGTATATATATATAAACTTAGTGTCTGCGAACCTAAAGATACAATCAATTTCTTTGGCTTTGAATCAATTTGTGTGATTTTTGTAGGATTTTTTCCATCCAACCCTGATTGTTTTAAATGCCACTTTTTTGACTCAAAATTGAACCAAAATATGTGCCTGTTGAAGTTTGAACTTGATGTATTAGTTTAGGAGTATATGTATACTTTATATAACGTTTTGGATACTGCAAGACAGGTCATTTTGGTGTCTGTGATTATCGTTTGAATATATTCCAAATTATTTGACATGACACTGATAGTGTCTTGGGTATTATCCAGCATAAAAATGTATCCAGTAGAGCCCAAAATAGCAAGAGAAGTAAAACTAAGGCCTACAGATTATTATTAGCATGCACTAGCGTTTGTTTTTTTACATACTTGGAAGAACCTTTTGTAATTTACTGCCATTTTCTCCTCTCACTCGAAATTTTCCGTCAGAATCGATCAAATAGAGACTTTTATTATAATAAGCCAGGTCTTTATACTCTGAAATCTTAAATAAATCTTTGACGTCATTTTTGCCTATTTCTATTAAATTTGCTCCTCCATTTTTTGTAAAAATCAAAAAATCACTACTACAAAAATAGCCTGCGTAATAAACCTTATCATTTTACGTCGTTCAAATTAAAACACTTTACAAACCAAAGGGAATACATAGGAAAATGAATGCAGAGCACAACGTAATCATAATTGAGCGGTAAAAGGTATAACATACACGCCCTGTCGCACCTATTATACATCGCTTTCTAAAACCTTGGCCAGTCTATAAAGACGGGCCAATATTTAAATATTATAGGCCAAGTCTTGGTTAAAACTTAGGAGAATTCATGAAAGCCCATTCAGGACTGTATTTACAACGTAGACCAAAGATAAGCGCAATACAGTTTATGAAATTTCCACTGTAAAAAACGAGATCACACACAAACTAATTATCCGTTCCATTTACAACAGCGCGTCGTCCTCCATTATGCGCAGTTGTATCCCCATTGCCAGATTCTTTCTTTCTGCCTGAAGGTGGTATCTTGTCGTTGGACCGACCTCTATTAATTCCTCTTCCTAGAACTTTTCTACCTTGTCCTCGTCCACGATTATTTCCTCGGCCATGACTCGTCGTAACAACACCATCTTGTGATGAAGTACTCTCTGAGAGATAAAATATTACTTTACAGTTTTAATTTGATTATTTACTCTCACCTTTATCCTGACTAGTCACGCTGGATACTTCCTCTTTATTGTCCAATAAGGTGTCATCTTCATCAGTTCGTCTTCGCCTGCCACCGTGCTTGTCAGTATTGTTAACTGTTAAATTAGAACTAGAATCAGTTTCATAAAAAACCAACAATATTAAAAGATGTACTAAACATGCAAGAGGCAGTTTTAAAATATCTTTGAATGTAAAATATGACTTAAAAGAAAATGAAAATAGAATCAAAACATGTACTACATACTCGTAATATTTACTGTTTCCTCATTTACAGCGACATTTCTCTGCCTCCTATCATCTGCTTTTGTATTTTTGTTTAGTACATTGTATTATATAATTTTTTAAATATTTACTGATAGGTTGGGAACCTGTATGAAACGCAGAACTACCGCGACCGCGACCTCTTCCACGACCCCTCCTTGGTCTATCATTCGGTACGTCAGTTTGATAACCTAATCTGTCAGAGTTATCCTCCGACCATCCCCGACGATGAGGTCGACCACGACCTTTCCATCCCCTTTCATAGTCAGACCCAGCGCTGTAATAACCAGATCCAGGTCGAGGATCAATTGATAGTTGTTTGAGTTGTTGGAAGAGTCCTTGATTTTCATTACGTATTTTCTCCACTTCTTGCAGGTGTTTAATATGACAATCCAGGAGTAATTTTGCATTTGTAATGCTCTCTCTTGTTCCAATAAAAATAAATGGTACCATTTCTGTTTGAGCATCATCTTGCCTCTCATTATCACCCTCAATTTTAACCCTTACTACTCCAGATTTGTCAACTATTTCTTGGATGTTGCGTCCATTCTTGCCGATAACTTTGGGTATAATTGCTCTTGCTACAGGGAGGGTTTCTTGGCAAAACTCTAAAATGTTTCGGGCTTGTTGGACTGCTTCAGCTGTAGAACCACTAATCCTAAATTGTTGTTCGTCTAATTCAATACCGGTAATGCCATCTATTTGCCTGGCTTTTTGAATATTTGCACCGTGTGTTCCTATAGCTAAACCCATCAGATCAGATTGTACGGTGAATTCTTTTGTAAACGGTGCTCGATAGCTTTGGCGCTGGTTCTGCAATTAATCAGCGAAAGTTAGTTTGGGAAGAGTTTAACATATAAACCATAAGCAAACGTTTTTAGGATACGAAAACTGTTACATAACAATTCTTAATATACTTTAGACAACGTGAAATAACTTACAGCTACTGAAGTGCGATGCTGGAGTAAAATTTATGAATCATAAGCGAAAAGTTTTATGCTTGGCAACTAACCTCCAATTTCTTTTGAGCTTCCTCTGCCTTCTGCCGCAAAATCAACTTTTGTCGGACATTTCTCATACACAAATCAGACATCATTTGAAGACGATCATGAATTTGTTTGTCGACAGTTATAACTTTCAGCTTTTGACCATGCCCATCATATGATAGGACACAAGGACCAGCCATTTTAAAATCATTTAAGGCTGAGTTGTCTCGAAAAGCAAGAACTAGGTTATCAGGCACATCAAAAAAACTGATGTTAAAAGAGTTCTTCGTAACATGTTGATTTTTCAGTTCCGCTGATCGAATACGCTCGAAGGGTACAACATCATTGTCATTGGAACCACTCAATTCAAATGCGACAAAGTCGCCTTTAATAAATCGCACTCGACCTTTTCTCCAAACTTTCAAAGTTACTCCATCTTGTTCTATTTCTCCTTTTATTTCTATTTCATCGTTCTCCTTTACTTCTCCTGAACTATTTCCAGACTGAGGCAGTGAAACGTCTTTAAATGGATATCGTTTTTCTTCGCATCTTTTAGATTTTAGGAAGAATTAACATTAATAATGCTTTTAAATTTATAAATAATCAATACGTATGTCTATGATTTATTGAAACGTGTAGTCGCTACTTACCCGGATTTCAAACGGACACCAACTTCAGTTTGGTACACATTGCACAAAAGAGCCTGTAAAAGTATGTAAATGATGCAAAAATTGACGATCGAAGGTACAAAAAGTAGAAAAATTGTCTGATTTATCGATTAAGCATGGAATCAATGTTCTAAACACGTTTTACTCAGATTTTACAAAAATATGCGGCGCAACGTTTTGAGCAATCCGACGAACCCTCACTTTTGAAAACTGTTACACGGAAATTATTCATACTAAAATTATATGAAACTGTTTCATCAGATTCCGCTGAATGTGAATTATAGAAAAAATTTTTCCAAATGACAAACCTCGAAATAATACTGGCCATTTTCAGCCCAAATCTCTACAGGGACATTGCTGTCTTCCATTTTGCCAAAATAGGCATGACGGGAGCGGAAACGGAAATCGGCGAATTCAACGGATGTAGACATAAATGTCAAGGACACCAATACACAACAAAAATTTATATACGGCTAGGTTTTCGGTTTAATGACATAGTTCACACGTTTGTGTAAAGAAAATGCGTCCATAAATATTTTAGAAAAATTTCATTGACTCCTATTAAGATTTGAAAATGGCTTCTGACAGTGAAATAGAGGAATTTTTTGATTGTGAAGAGGACGAGATAACACTTCAAGCACTGAAGAGGTATCACTTTTCTAATTTAGAATTTAGGGGAAAGCTGTAGAAAATAAGTTAGCTAAGACATTGTTATTGAATATGGACTCTTAGTAGTTTATTTGCATAATGGACGATCAATAAATATCTCCTTGTATTTATACAGAAAAAAATCTGCTGAATCGGTCGACGTTTTGAGTATCACTAGTGCAGGATCAGTAAGCTTCTTTTTTCAGATACGTTGAAAAGAATTTTAAAAAAATGTTTTAGATGAATGAAGCCCAGCAAGAATTGGCCAAAAAGGAACAGGAACTGATAAAAAGAACCCAGCAGTTGTTTGAAAAGAGAAAACTTGAGGATGAGCTATTAATTGCACAGTTAGATGAAATTCAAAGGCAGAAAAAATTAGAAAAGGCTCGCAAGGTTGCAGAATTTTAGATGTAAAATGTTTTTTTTCATGAAAAATTTTCCACAGCGACAGCAAAAGCTAAGACAAAGACAAAGACAAAAAGAAATGAAAGATGAGGAGGAGTTTCGTCGAAGGCGTCTGGATGAATTGAGGCGTAGTATAGACGACACGAAGGACTCTTTGGAGTTTTCATTGAGCGAGCAGCAAGCAATGCCCGTATCTTCAAATCAACTTTCACAATATGGTCCGGTTCCTGATCTCATTCAGAGCACAAAAAGCAAATCTTTGGATCGAGAAGTTTCCTCTGTAAGCATATTTCATTTATTAATGTTTATACGGCTACAAGAAATTTTCATAGGGTAAAGATGAGAGGCCAAATATTTCAAAGAGTCTTTCGTTGCCTCGGAAATTCGAGATCACGCGAGAAAGTATGAAACAAGTTATAGAAGACGTTGAACGAGCTGTCAGATACTTTACTTCTGCACCCACGTCGTCTCGTCATGTGACTGCAATAGAGGAGGAATCTTGCAAAGCGCCTGAAACAGAACAACAAAAGCAAGAGGAAATTTTGCAAGCTGCTGATCAAGTAAAATATTTCATTTCTTAGATATAATGATCAACATAACTATTCTTGAAGGAACCTACTGAAAAGAAAGTGGAGTTAGCTGATTCATCAACTACCTCCCAACAACTTCAGGCTAAACATACAAATCCACTCTCTTTACATATAATGAAAAAGACCAATGATTATCCTCAGTAAGATAGCATATAGCTCTTGGAATAATAAACCAACAGCCTTTTTGTAGGTATAAAGACAGTGATGAAGATAGTATCGGATCGGAAACTAGTAGCGTAAAATCTAATACTTCAAAGAAAAGAGGGTTGGTATTTATTGTGAATTACCTAATCAAGAGAATTTTAAAAATACTTCTTCGTGGTCAAAACATTTTAGTCCATTTTAATGTGTAGTGAGGAAACTAGATCAATTAAAAATTATTTGAGAGTAAATTTTATTAAGTAGACTTTAGGAAATTATTTTACGATGAACACGAAATTCTCAAAAAATTTTAACTCTTTGAAGCAGGCTGAAAAGCAAATTATTAGGGAAGTTAAAAAGAAACAGAAATACAGCAGAAACAAATGAAGTATCTGACGAAGAGGAAGAGCCCTGTGATGGAAAATTTTCTATTAAAGTAAGCAGGACTCGTTTTTAACTTAATCAAAATGTTCAACTCCTGAATTTTTGTTAGATAAAGGCTGCCAGCTCGCATAAAGGCCCCTACGACTTTGACTTGAGCGTCCCAGTTCAAGACTTAAACAATGAGCACAAGGTAAAACGTGTGAATTTTTGGCTAACTTTTCACAAATTGTTCTTTTTAGGGCCCTGTTTGGACTATGAAGTTTTCTCCTTGTGGCTATTTTCTGGTAAGATATAAATAGTGAACTACATTATTTTAAATATCACTAACATCACTATAATACATGAATTTTAGGCTACTGGAGGTCAAGATACGTTGTTAAGGGTATGGGTTCTTAAGGGAGTTAAGGACGTTAATGATTATCTGAAATGTAATGATCCTGGAAAACGCATGGGCAGTCCAAGTGGTAAAAAATCGCCATCAACAAGTAGCTTGAACTCTGATGAATCTGCGAACACTAATAGTAGCGTATGTGTATCTAATCAAGACAAAGAAGAATTCTTTTGACTTATATTTCTTATAGGAAGAAGAGAGCGAGGATGAGCATGCACCTTTTTGTAGGAAGCCACTGGCAACTTACATGGGTCATTCGTCGGATTTATTAGATATAAGCTGGTCTAAGGTAGATCTGTTTTAAAATATTCAATTTTAATTATTTTTCAAAACAGAGTTATTTCCTTCTTTCTTCCTCGATGGATAAGACGGCAAGGCTGTGGCATATATCAAGAAGAGAATGTCTATGTTGCTTTCAACATATTGAATTTGTCTCATCTATTTCTTTCCATCCGAAAGATGATAGATATTTTATAAGCGGATCGCTTGATGGTAAGCTTCGACTTTGGAACATTCCTGAAAAAAAAGTTGCTTTGTGGAATGAAATTCAGGGAGTAAGCAAATTTGCAATAATAACAGCTGTAAATTTTGCAATATTTCCACAAATGGAGGAGATTGTAGTAGGAACATATGATGGAAAGTGTCTTTTTTATACAGTGGATCAGTTAAAATACCGTAGAATGTTGACTATTAAAACTTCTAAAAGAAATAATAAGAAAGTTACTGGCATTGATATTCATCCAAGTCTGCCAAGAATTTTGGTTACGACCAATGATTCTCGTGTAAGGTTATATGATTTAAGCGATAATTCATTAGTATGCAAGTATAAGGGATCATTGAATTACTCTAGTCAAATAAGAGCTGTCTTTAATCACGACGGTCGTTATGTTATAAGTGGATCTGAAGATCAATTTGTATACTTGTGGAGAACAAATAACGAGTTTTGCGGAAAGTTAGCAAGAAGGGATAGAAATATTTATTGGGAAGGAATTAAAGCCCATTCTACTGTAGTCAGTGCAGCAACATTTGCCCCAAAACCAACAAACTTAATTAAAATCCAATTTACAAACGAGAATAGTCGCTGCAATGATTTTGTGCCTCCAAGATGTGAAGCATTTGTGACAGCTGACTTAAACGGGTGTTTAAAGGTTTTTATTAACAAGTTTAAACCTGAAACAGACTCGTGATTTGGTTAGGTTTTTATAAATTTTACGGTTAAAGAGTCTTCGAATACATTTGTGCTATGATCCAATTTTTTTATTTAATCCTCGTCGATTTCTAGCAACTTCAATAGTTAAGAATTGTATCCTGGGCACTAAAATATTAAAAACAAGAGTTTGAATAGGTTCTAATAAAGTATGAGCTGCTTACCAATAAATGTATTATCCGGGCTTACGCCCTTAGAGCAATCACTTCGCAATAGGGTTCCCATGTTCCATTCTGGTATACAATTTTCATACTGATTGCAAAAATTTCTCCATTTTTCTTTTTGTTCTTTAGTTTTTATTTTCTGTTCTTCTACGATGCTTAATTCGAAGTCAGGAAATTCTTTTTCGAAATTTGCATATAGGTGTTCATCAATTTTTGTTAGCTTTAAGCTTTTAGTATCTCCCACAGCCTCCAATAACTTTTAAAATATTTTAAAATTATTCTTGCTAAGATTTAATATTTATTTACTAACGTTCTGATATGTTTCCGCATGCTGGTAGGCTTTTAATGCCCAATGCATTTCAAGTGATGACTGAAATATATTCAATTATTTAAGTACAATTAGATTTTTATAATGGACTCACATCATTAACGTAATCTTCTGCTTTAGTCTTTCCAATATCCTGTATGAATTAGAAATAAATAAATGTAACTCCAATTACAATTATTAAAACATTCAACCTACCATTTGGGTAATCTTTAAGTGAACGATATTAAAGAACAGTTTAAAGCATGAGAGATAGCTTCAATTTGTAATTAAAAAGTCTACTAGCGACACCTAACAGTTGGTAACATTTAAATATATATTTTTTGATCATTTCTTCTGGAAGATAGAGGGCGTCACACAAACACTGTAAGTTAAAGAGTGACTTGTTCTATTATTATTTTCTGACAAACACGTGCTTCGTCCTCTGTTTTCTCAAGTAAAACTTCAAAAATAAAACGTGCCATGGAGGGAAATTTACGCTATGAAAAACAATATAGTGAATCAGGAAAAGTATTTAGATAAATATTAGCGTCAGCAATCCATTTATTGTTTTGCTTTGTTCAGGGTAAATTATTAGTTGCTCGATGCTTTATACCGAAGGGCGCAGAGATATTCTCTGAAGAACCATTAATCAGCTGTCAATTCGCCTGGAATAAACTATATAAATACAAAGCGTGTGATCATTGCATGAAACCTCTAGAGACTGCGGAAGAAAATGCAAAAAGATTAACTAATGATCCTGAGTTGGCCCTACCGTTTAAAGAACAATGCTCTGTAACTAAAGAAAGGCATACACAGTGCCAAAAATGCCAGGTAGATTTTTTCACTATTAAAATAAAAACGATTGAACATATACCTTCAGGCGGAATACTGTAGTCAAGAATGCCAAACACAAGCCTACCAATTATATCATAGAATGCTATGCGACATGCTGTCCTCTCCCTCTTCTTCGTTAAACAAACTACAAGAAATTTGGAAGTGAGTTTAATAATTGAAAAACGGATATTTTTGAAAACAACTGTAGTACCTACAATTTTTTTCTGACATAGAAATTCTCATTATCCTCCGGAAACATGCAATATTTTACTTATTGCTAGAATGATAGCTCGGATTCGACAAGTTGGTATTCTATTGTAAACTTTAAAGGAAAACTTTATTAATTTGAAATAGGCTGAAAACCCTAAGCTTATGTTTCAAGAATTCCTGTCTTTCGTTCATGATACTTCAGATCAAGAACAGCAGTATGTTCATAAATTACTTGGAAATCAATTTTCGGTAGTTTAAATATTCTTTTTTTCAAATTGAAGTAATAAAATATGTTCTCTTTAGGAAATACAAACTATGGTTAATAGCGAATTAAGAGAGGCCCTTTTTGATGAAGATTTATCAGAGATATTTTCAATTGAAGGTACCCAAAAATTTTTATGTCTTATCGGGAGAAATGGACAAGGAGTTGGGACAAGTTCTTTTGGAACATGGGTAAAAAATGTCGAAGACTTGGAATTGCCAGAATCCGATAAAACAGCCTTAGATTTACTTATTGATCAAATTTATGAAAAGATGAATGAAGTAAACGGACATTTTTTAAACTGTGAAGGCTCTGGTTTGTACTCATTACATAGCTGTTGCAATCACAGCTGTACTCCAAATGCGGAGGTTCAGTTTCCATATGGGAATCATACTCTACAACTTGTTGCAACTAAGGATATTGAGGTACAATAATTGCACGATACTTAGTAATAGTTTTATTGAATATTTAAGTTTACAGTCTGGAGAAGAAATTGAAATTAGCTATTTAGACGATTGTCAGCTGCGAAGGAGTAAAGCCACTCGCCAACAGATCCTGTTAGAAAATTATATGTTCCTTTGTCAATGCAACAAATGCACAACCGATCAAGATGACGAGACCGATGAGAGTTCAGATGATGATGAGTCGGATGAAAATATGGAAAATTAGGTAGGTCTACCAAAAGCAATTGACGACAAAACTCCAAATTTGAGAAATTAAAGACTTTCTGTTGTAAATAAATCTTAATTTTTCGCAAACTCTAAAATTCTAAGGTTATTTACTCTGATATAATATTATTTTCGTCAATAATCGTTCGCGATAGAACCTTGATTATTTTTAAAGATTCTTGTACAGTTGGTGTAATATATCTACTAGGTAACAAGAATCCATAGAAACCAGTATCTCTTAATTCGATAGTGAATGTATAAGGAATTTTTAAGTGATGAGCTGCCCAGTCCGTTGAACTACCAGAAAATAAATCTGAAAAACTAGTTGTTTATACCTGTTTATAATGAAAAAAACGTACAAAGAGTTTCTGAAGCTTTGCCGTTAGCATAACGTCCATCTGTTTCCTTCGATAAATTTTTAGATACTTTTTTCTAAAATAAATATTTAAGTAAATGCTTGAACTACTAGGAAGCGATATTTGCAAACAATACGAACGAGCTGTTCAATATTTCTGGGTTCCTTTTTTATATCATATGAATATGGGTAAATAATAAGCTGACCATAACTATGAAAAGATAAATAAGCTTTCAAGTGAGCTTTTCTTTTCTCTAGGTATGAAATTATGGCTTTCACTTCCGGCTCTGAATTAGGCTCAGGTCCATGATAAATATTGGAACAAGCATAATTTTCAGATCCATATCCAGACCAAGATATATTCCAATTTCTATTGAGATCTACTCCGTAGCAATTAGATCTGTGGGGTGGCAATCTTCTGTTTTTCCTCCAGAGTCTTTCCTACAGGTCACTTGGACATGAAAAACTTATAATTCAGTCAATTTGCACTTACAGTCGTATGAGAGTAGACGTAACCATCAACGTTAACCACCGGAATAACATACCAAACTATGTTATGACTTAATTCATAATAATCATCATCTTTAGCTTCATAGGCTCTAATTAACTATTTCAACTATTATGAATATATAGATCAATTAACTCCTTGATCACTTACTCTGTCAGCAATATTTAAGACTGTCACGACGCTGATCCATTCTCTTGCATGAAGTGCTCCATCAATAAAAATTTCAGGCTTGTCGCCATTATTTTCACCAATTTGAAGAAGCAGAATATTTCTGCCTTCATGAGTCTTTCCTATCTGATGAAGCGTTACAAATTTTTTAATACCCATTTCACGCAACCACTCCTCGATCTTAAAAAATATAACATCATTTGGATAAGAAACTTTCCATATCTACATTTATTGTACCTGAGACCACTCAGGGTACGAATTAAGCAATCTTGACTCTTGGTAAATTTTAACAGAGGGAGAATTAATAAGATCAATCGATTCTAAATCTATCAAACTAGTTTATCAAATTATCAAATAGTGAAAATTTGAAAAAAGTATAAGAAATACTTCTGTAAATTCTTCCTGTCTGCCACCGAGCAATTACTTAACCGAGCGACTTTCTGCAGGCATGTTTGATTTTTTTTCATCTGAAAATCACATTTTATACTGTCGTTCTCAACGCCAAAATACCAAATATCAATATCAGCACACGTTTGTAAGCTTGTAGGCAGATTGAAACTCTGGTTGTTAATATCACAGATAAATCGTATCTTCTCGTAACTTGATTAGGCATAAAAAACGTTTAATAGCAATTATGAATTTAAAAAAATTTGAAGATCTTCACTTTTCATAATTTTTTTTTATCTGATGAGAATTTGCAATGAGAACAAATAAAAGGTAAACGACAGTAGTCATTCCTCTTCCTGAGATTTTTTCTATTCAAATGATTCATTCATATATAGAGGCCGAGATTTCGACAAAAACTACAGAAATAGCACGTCTAGCTAAAATAAGAAACAGTGAGTAGTATACTTCAATACAAATTTCTATAGACATACAATATTTGCATTCATAAGGCCGTTCTCCTATGTGGTTATATTTCTAATGTGCATAATCGAAATAACCTATTAAGAGCAAGTTTTTTTCTTTAATTAATAAATTAAACTTAACTTGGGCCTACAAGATACGAGATTAACTAAATATCAAATTCGAAATAGTATAAATACGGTTATTTTTTGAAGAGAGATTACAAAAACTAAGAATAACATATAACTCTAAATGTGTTTATGCGAAAAGAAAAGTAGCGGCAAAATTAAGTTCCACAAGTTTCAATTTTATTCCCAGCAAACACTATTGCAATGTCCATATTTCATGGATTTCACAATTACCTTTGATAACTTGAAAATACAGAAACAAACTTAATTTAAAATGAATTTAGACACAAGATCTACTTTGAACTCTATTTTTGGACATAAAGAATTTAAAACGAATCTCCAGGAAAGAGCAGTAGAAGCCGTAATAAAGAGTAAGTTATTTATATATACATTTCTGTTTTATCGCTCAAAGCTATTGATTGACTAGATGCTTCTGATGTATTTATATCTATGCCCACTGGGGCTGGAAAATCGCTTTGCTATCAACTACCTGCTGTTGTTAAGACCGGAACGGCTATTGTTATATCTCCTCTCATTGCGCTGATACAAGATCAAGTTTCTCATCTCAAAAAGTTACAAATAGAAGCCAGCACATATAATTCTAAACTAACAAACAGTGAAAAAGAAAAAGTTCTTGAAGACCTGAAAAGTAATACACCAAAAATTAAATTACTCTATATTACTCCTGAACAAGCAGCAACAAAACTGTTTCAAGTATCTAATCAAAATTACAACTTAAATATCATTTTTTATATTACTATAATTTTTTGTAACAGTCCATTGCGGTGGATTTAAACAACAGAGGAAAAGTTTCTTACTTAGTGGTTGATGAAGCCCATTGTGTTTCCCAATGGGGGCATGACTTCAGACCTGACTACTTGAAAGTTGGGGAATTTAGGGAGAAATGCTTGAAAAATGTAAGCTGTCTAGCTTTAACTGCTACGGCAACTCCTAAAGTAACAGATGACATTTTGATGTCTTTAAAGTAAGCATAAAGCTACTTTTTAACACTCTTATTCATTGCCCATGGAAACAGATTGCGCAGACCTGTCTCAGTTTTCAAAGCCAGCTGCTTCCGATCGAACTTATTTTATGAAGTGGTTTTCAAAGATCTAATTGACAACATATATGATAATCTAATAAGTTTTATTCATTCCTCGTTAAGTTTGCACAAAAAGTATGATGCAGCTAAGATTGATTGGGTATATTGTAACTTGTCGTTAATTTTCTTAGATGCATTATGTTATATTTTAGGGTAAATATGGTGCAGGTATAATTTATTGCCGAACTCGAGCAGAGTGTGATGAAGTATCTGCTAATCTGGAAAAGCAGGGATTCCCTTGTAGGGCTTATCATGCTGGGTTGTCTGGAAAAGAAAGACAAGCAGTCCAAGAAGATTGGGTAGATGGTAAAGTTCCTGTTATTGCAGCAACTATTAGTTTTGGAATGGGTGTAGATAAAGCTAACGTTCGATTCGTCGTTCATTGGTCGGTCCCAAAATCTATGGCTTCCTACTACCAAGAATCTGGGAGGGCAGGAAGAGATGGTAAACAATCTTTTTGCCGATTGTATTATGGAAAACGAGATCGAGATACAGTCAGCTATTTAATACAGAAGGAAATCCATGAAAGACCCAAGGTATTTAAAATCTTTATAGTATTTTTTCTAATATTTTCAATATTTAATTTAGGGAAAAGTCAATGATCACAGAGGAAAGATTACTAAAGAGAGTTTTTCTCACCTGATCAAATCTATTGAGTATCCAATGTGTCGACATCAAGGAATAGCCAAATATTTTTCCGATGACATTCCTAATTGTAATCAGAACTGTGACTTCTGCCGAAACAAAGATGAGGTAAGAAAATCTGCCGAGCAGTTTTTGCGATTTGGAAGTAGGGAATATAATAGCAGATCAGTAGAGAACTGTAATTTTGATGAAAATGAATTTTACGGAGGAGGTAGAAAAGGAGGCGATTGGGATTATGATAATTCAGATGATCAGAATCAACGTCTAAAAGCCGAGAGAGAAGAAGCAAAAGAAAAACTAGAGAGAACAAAATTTATACAAGAAGAGTTGGCTAAACGTAAGCCTCAGGTAAAGAACGAGTGGATTCCACCATCCGTCAACTGTTTGCTATTAGATGCAAACTCACAGAAAATTCCCAAAATGACTGTGGCCATAAGAGAGGGATCCCTAAAACTAATAACTGAAGCTCTAACGGAAAACTTGCAAAACTTTGGCCAACTTGATAAGCTTCAAGAATTATCTGTGAAGGAAGAACATTCTATATTTATGAGTACGAGTAATATAACAATGTACAGGTCGAACGTAATGAAAAAAATAAAAAGTATTAGAAATTTAACAATCCAGGGAGAACTAATAAAATCAGCTAGGACTTACTCGGAAATAGATGATATTGATCAACAGCTGGGAGATCCAAGTCTGTTGATTGAAGAAACTGAAACAAAGACTTGTGATTTATTAACACAACCCATCAAAATAAATCCTGTCTCATATTTTTTTGAAAATGGAAACAACAGCCCCGAAATTGACTCAACAGTAGACAAAAAGCGATTACATCAACCCGTAAGAAATGTTTCAAATTTTTCATCATATTTCCAACTAGTATTCATAAATTTTTAGACTACCCCGGATGCACCATCCAAAAAGTCAAAGGTAGAATTTCCGAAATCAGAAACAGAAACTGGCGTAGAATCAAATGAAAAGCCAAGGACAAAGATTTCTCATTTACAGACTACAGCTTCTAAGGCGCAGATAGAGCAGCCAAAACTTGGTACCGAGGATTCAAAGATGAGCACAGAAGTTCCACAGTTGAAGAAAGATGAGCTTGGAAAATACATCGTAAAATTATTGGAGCCGTACTATGAAAAGAAGAGGCTACTGAATAAGATAGTTTTTAAGGATGTTGCAAGAACTTTAACGCATCGGCTACTTGACTCACCGGAGCTTTCTACCAAGAGTAAGTTAATTTTCATGATATTATATGATAGTATTTTCATATCCTCAATTGTTTGTTTTAGTGGCGGCTAAGAATATTGTGAAAAAGCTTTTCAGAAATTGTAAAGTGATATCATCATCCATTCAGGCGAAAGAATTAAATATAAAATAAAATGTACAAGAATAATGTTTCGCGTAGTATTATTATGTTTTTTATTGAACTGTTGACAGTTAATAAGATGAGTTACTTGTTGAAAAATATGCAGCTTTGAAACAGGGTAGGCCTAAATTAGGTAACCCTAAATGTGATTGAAGTGTTAGGACTTCAGTTTTAACCAAATAAAATTCTAAATATCGTAAAAATCAATATGCGATCCCGTATCCCAAGTATTTTCTTGCAAAAGTTCAACCAACTTTTTTACTGAAACTTCACACGGTAAAAGGTTACCCGTATTATGCATATCTATTGAATAAATTACAATTATGTATATTACAGATTTTTTCTGTTGACACAAACCTTCAAACATAACTTTTAAATCCGTATCACCAGTTTGAGACCGGGCTAGTACCTGCATATCTGTATCCAATGGTCCCGGAGCCCAATTTAAAACCCTTATATCTGGTTCCTCTATAGCCATTGTTCTAAATAGCATATCTCGACACGCTTTACCTGTAATCATGATATGCAATCAAGGAAGAATAAGATTTTTTGGAAAGCTACCTGAACAGTATAAAGACCAAGTTTTAAAAGGCTGAATAGCACATATTGAGGTAACATTGATGACAACGACTTGTTTCACTGTCTTCCTGTTGAATAATTTGAAAAATTCATGGTTCAAACTGATAACGGAAGTGACATTTAAGTCAAAATATTTTCTAATATTTCCAGAGCTTCCAATTTCAGTCATTTTTTTAGTTATATCTCCCATACTTGCAGCATTATGTACGATTACAGCCTGATCGAAGTCTTCTACAGCCTTTCCAATATTTTTTAGAGAATTTAATAAAATACCCTTAAAAGTATCTTCATCGCCTTTAGATAAGTCCGTTGCTTTTATGTCAACCAGAATTTCAGATCGTACAGCCTCCAATTGATTCTTTACATCCAGTAATAAACTCTCAGACCTTGCTATTAAAACCATAGCTGAACCAGCAGCCAATAATTTGCAAAAATGATCTACAATGCATTTTCCATATCCCTTGCTAGCCCCAGTTACCACACAGAAGGTTCTCATGTCAAAAACATTCCGGCCGAATAGGGGTGACTCAATCAGTTCCATTGCTCTCATCGATTTGGTCAAAGATCGTTCGAATAGATGGCGCTATTTGTAACCATAGGCCCGCATAATTTTTGTCTGTCGCAAGTGCTTTATAGTGCTTAAGAGTCGCTCTTTGTTGAAATAACTTGAAATTTTACTCTAGTATATTAAAATACACAATGTATTAAATCATTTACAATACACAATTATCCATATGATCATTCATGGATTGTGTTGTCCATTTTACAGAATCGTCAAATGAGACATTACAGACTGGACATTTTGACAGTTTTTTTTGTTTTTTATCTACACTTGGTTGAGTGTCTGTGCTTCTTCTCTTCTTTGAATTACTTTTGAAATAGTCTTTAATGGATGGGGGTTTCATAAATGCTTTTTTCAATAGTGCATCTTTGACTGTCATTACAGTCTCCTCTTGTAAACCAGCCCCATTATACTATAGATAATAATTTTATTAAAATACTGATAATGTTTATTATGCAATATTACTGTCAACTTTTCAGAAGCTGTTCTAAGGAGATGAGCTGGAAATCTAACGCCAATAATTCTCTCGCCACTTTCTAATTGGACTTTAACTGCCCTAACGGTTCTTTCGGCTCTTGAGAGAATGCTGCTGGCCTGAGCGACTAGGTTTTCCAATTGATTAAGTATTGGAAGAATTTCCCCACACAACAAGTCAATTTGGTATTTCCTTTTTCCAACTGTTTATGATCAGTAATATTAAATTTAATATCAAAGACTTTCAGACTTACTTGTGCACGAAATCAGTCTACATGAAGCTCCATGAATGCACTCAGAAGCGCTTCGATTGTGTTCCTCTTCCCAGTATTCCTTAGCTTCTGAAAGTTTATTCAATCGTTTATAGCGTTTTTGAAAGTCGTTGAGACGTTCTTCTGATTTAGAAGCTCCAGTAGATGGTCTGTAAGAAAGATCAGCATATTTTCATAGAAAGAAAGTATTTCTTAAACCTGGAAATTATCACAATGTTATCTCCGGAATTCTTCAGAGTAGCAAGGACTATTCGTTTTCTGCCGTAAATGTCTCTTTTAGAAATAAAAAAGCCTTCATCTCCTGTATTTGAAGTCAATTTTAAACGATTTAAAGCTGAATCCCAACTCATTCCTCTGTCTATTTCCAATGAAATGTGTCTATCAAAGATAAAGCCCAATAATCAAAAACCGCTATATTCTTAATACTAAATGCAATTATAAGCTAACTCAATTTTAATATTCAATAGATGATCAAATATTCTCCTTGGACCATCCGAAATGGCTATAGATGAGGCTGTTATATCGAGAAAACCAGCTGCATATCTATTGGAATTTTAAGAGATTAAATCTTCAAAAGTATAAGCAAACAAACCTCCCTTCTTCCTTGGCTTTCTTTATACCATATTCCATGCACGATGTAAAATATTCGAATATCTGTTAATTTTTAAAAGATAATCAAAGACAACAGTTTAATACAACAGATTAGGATAAAGAACTTTTAAACACCTCTTTTTGTTTTTTAACTGGCAATCCTAATATGCGATTAAAAAATTTTGAAACATCTCGATTCTGATTTTCTTTAACATTTATAGCAGTCTCTTCACTTATAAGATCGACAAAAAATAAGCACTCCTTCAATGATTTGTTCATAGCAGTCATATCTGAATAACTTTTGCATAGGTCTTGAACAGCTAGACCCTGTGGTAAGCTGTTGCGACATATAGCTGTATACATTGTTTGTAAAGCTTGTTTGCCAAATTCATTATCAAAATTGAACTCAGCAAAAGCTCCTTCAGAGGCTGCTCGTCTATCCCCTCTAGTTAAAGCTCCTAGATGCTGCAGGCGTTTACAAACTGTAGAAGCAAATCTCATCTCTCCTGATAGATTGGTAACGGGCAGCAGATAAATAGGGGCACTAGTTTGATTACTTCTTAATGATCTTCCTAGTTGTTGAACAGCTTTTTCAGCCGACCAAGGCAGCTCCCATGTAACATGTATTCTTCGCCGTTTGTTTAAAACTCTATTGTCTGCATGCAAAGATATGCCTGTGCTGGCCGCATCCGAAATTACAGCAATCAGTTTTTCGCCCCTCATAAATTTGTCTCGCTAAAAATTTTGATATGACTTATTGTATCGACAAACTAAATAAATACCTCTGAAACGTTTGTTGTTTCTAATGAGTCGTTGTCAGAGTAGCGAGAGATGCAATGAACTTTTTCTTTAATTTTATATAGTCCGTAACGCCTTCCTGTCATCTCAGCAACGATATCCTTACCACCTAAGGTATTTATCAGTTCATCAAGACATCTGCAAATACTAATTTAATATTTTCAAAATATAAAGTACCACTTTTGTTACCCATTGGGCAGTTCTATTTTTGAAGCATAGTCACATAACTTTTCTTTCGCCTGAGTGCACCACTCATCTTCTACTTTTACGCTACTCATATTCTGTTTGTAAGATACGGACCAAAAAATTAAACGGATAAACTTTATGCAAGTAAGCATGCCTACCGCATTCTCAATTGTAGTTGGAAAATGATTTGTAATAAACTGTAAAACAATGTGTCGACAAACTGAAATGAAATCATTTATCTTTTCATTTTTCTTTAAAGAAGCTTGTAATCCAGCTTCGCCCGTGCTCTGTAATCCTATAACAACGCAGCTGTCACTCACAAGCGCTTTTTTAGTTTCTTCCAACACAATTGGTAATTTAATTGCCATGCTTAACAAAGAGAATTCAATATCAGTTTTTTATTTAATCAAATCATCTGTCCTCACCACATTTGTTTGAAAAATCGTTGATGTGCAGACCAGAATGAAGCATTTATAGTTTTCGATGAGCATTTTGTTCTTCGGACGGCCGTTGATAAGCTTACGAAGATTTCTCTCCTATGAATGTAATAAAAATTATTTGCCGAAGAAGAAATGGGATTCTACCATAACTTAACAGCAGCGTTATAGGTTTTCTCTTGCTTTGGTGTTAATTCTATTTTCTTAGTTTCGAACTGAAAGAAAAGCCTTTTACATCTAAAAGACAACTTGAAAGAAATAATATACTTGTGCGTTCTTAAAACTCAAGCTACGACACACATAAGTTCCGACAGCTTTCATATACATCGCTAACATTTCTGCCATTGCCAAACCTCCTTTATTGAAATTACTCAGGATGTTATTGAAACTTTTGAATGGAGTGCCATCTCCCCAAAGTCCTAAACGTTCCATAAATGCCTATATGGTAACACACAATATAATAGTTGTCTATATTTTTGCATAACCAACAATATTTTTAATATCAGATGCACCAGTAGCACTGCAATATAGTATTCTAGCTTTTGACAAAGTTCTTTGTAAATGAAGAACAGCTGAGGCCACTTTTGTACTAGCATCTTCATTACCCTATCAAAAAATATTAAAATGAAGTAATATTAGGAAATTAGAAAATCGTTACCAAAACAAGATGTTTAGCTTTGTGACATTCATCAAATACCAGGCAACCTTCGAATTCTGAGCCCCCGCACCAATCTATTATTTGTCTGATTCTACTTGGACAAGATAAAATAGCATAAGTGGAGAATAACACTCCTTCTTTATAATCTGAAGACAGTCCAAGAGCTTTTGTTTTACTATCAAGTTCTTGACAGCCATTGATAACTTTTATTGTGCAACCTAAGTCGGAAATGTCCCTAAAAATACATGATACAGTATATATGTTATAAAGATCGTAAAATAATTCTCTCTCTTGCTAAAGGGATATTACCTCCTAGCATCGACAACTAGATCTGAGGAGACACTAAACCAGACATGCTTCTTTCGTCCTCGTACGTAATTATCAATAATAACACCAGCTATCTTTTAAAATATATAATATATACAGTGTATATGTACTGTAATAATAATGAAGATTTACTTGTCTCCCTTTACCAACTCCTGCACCATCCCCCAAGAAAAATCCAGCCCTTGTATTATTGGGTAGAAATAGTTGATGCCTCTGACACTGAGTGAACAGTTTTAAAATGGATATAATTTAGTATATAAAATATAAAATTATGAAACTTACAGCATATAAAATACCATCAATTTGAAGATCACTGAGTTGTTCAAAACAAGGACAGTTTGATTTCAACCATTCAGAAATTGGATAAGAAGGTTCGGGAAGACTAACCGCCTGTTGATAATTATTTTTTTTTAAAATCTACTTCAAAGCTACTATGACCATCGAAAAGAATAGATGAATATTCTTTTTCAGTGAAGACTTACACTAAGAGACGAAGCTTCCACAATATCTCCCGGGTGTTTTTTGGACTCGATTAAATTTTTTGACTGGTAAGCACAATATATATCATCGTTGGAAGTGGATTCTTCATACTCATTTAGGAGTTTGCTTGACTCGATAGTAATCTCGTCTTTTTTGAAAATATCCAAGTCATTAAAATTAAAAAAGAATGTTTGTTATATACCATTTATTTCCATAAGTTGATTAAAAATATTTCACAGAGCAACTAAATTTGAGTGATAATTCAATAACTGAGTAAAAAATTGCGATGTCCACAAATCGGCGCCAAAGGAGTATTTCCTAATCCTGAATAACAATTTGGTTACTTAAAAAACCTCCATAATTGCGAAAAATCGTAAGATCTCTGCCTAAAAGTTCAGCGGTTTTGAGTAAATAAGTTGTGATTCGAGTGACAAGTGGATTGACCAAATAAACTTAACACCCTTACAATGGAGATTACTAACGTAATTTTGTTACTATTAGTACTTTGTTATAAAGGTAAAGGAGACCAAATGTTGGTATTAAATATTATAACATATGGAAAATGTGTTTGAGCTAAATCTGTGTGTTTCCTTTCTTTAAGGAATTTAAATAAAAGGATCTATTGCTACCACATGGCAACCTTTTATTGTTGCTTATTTAATAGTTTTGCATATTCTTCGATATTTTGTGAGAAAAATAAGTCCGATTCTCGGTATTTTCAATTTTCGCGGTTTTTTTTTCATTAAGTAAAAAGAGCTATACTGTTAGCAATATTACAAATAGGCGGAGTAAATCTTCTGTTTATGTATATAACAAATATGCTCTAGGTATGATATTAAGAATAGTAAAAGGTTCATAAAAACCTAAAAGGCTTCCCACGATGAATAAATTATAGTATGCGAAAAAAATGACATAAAACTTACAGGAAACTCTTTGTTCATTATAAAACAATGAAAAGAAAAGTTCTCTCTAATTCTTTATGAATATGGAATAAATGACCTCATTTTAAAGCTTCGGAGATTCATTGTTCAGAGAATGTTATAAAAGACATACTTAAAGAGAAAATGTCTCATTCTCATCAATTTTGTTTGATAAAGAAAGGATACAATAACAGAGTGCTAATTAACACAACAAATTGATTCTCTATTGAGCCTACAAATTGGCCGGTAAACCTTGAAATCTTTATGTTCAAATTCAATCATGAATATTTCATTTATTCAATAGATATTTTTTCACTTGATTAGAGTAACATTTTCAAATCTTGTGAAGAGTGCAGGTGAATAAGAGGTATACGGAATTTTCTTAGCTTTGAGACGGCAATGATGGACGATTCGTTAGAGGGGCCAATCTGACCGGTTTCGATTGTGCACCAACGTCTTGACAATTTTCTTCAGCAGGAGCGGTCATTTTCGAGTACTTCTCGGTCATTTCAGTCATAGTTTTTGCTTTTGAGAATGTTTGTTTTTTATCATATCCTATGAATATACACGAATTATAAACAGTCTGTTTCTATATAATTTACGAAATATTTAAGTGTTAACAAACCGTTATAGTGGTCTTTGTAAACTGACGCTCCTTGAAACTTGTCACTTGAAAGTTGAATATTATCGATATGCTTTATTGGCATTCTTTTCTTAGAATTTTGCCTACTAGAATAGGCATTTTCGTACATTGTACGATAATTTACATTCTCTTTAGAAAATATTTCGTTATCATCATGTTTTTTGGGATCTGGACGAGGTGTTTGCATTTTAACAAAAGTTTCCTTGTATGTCGTTACGTCGGGTAATTTGTTGACTGGAGCTTCATAGGGTTTTTTTTGTGCCCATTCTGGTTTCGTCATAGGACTAACTGGCTTCGGTGTATGGGATTCTTGATATGATGTTGTACTTTGCATTGGCTCCTTACTTACTACGGAATTCGATTTAGGTAGTATAGGCTTAGAGCGCGCTTGATTACCAAAGTTAACATAATCTGATCTAGTCACAGTTTTATTCTCCAGAGCAGCTAGAGTTTCTCGCTTATTAACTGGAATGAACGCTGTCGATATATAAAAAAATTATCGATAAAAAAGCACGTCAATAAATATTCAATAAATATAAAAACTTACGCAAAGTTCGCGCAACGGAATTTTCTCTAGGGGGAAACGACTCTCCATGGGTCGTTTTCATGTCATTCCTTAAATGTTCGTAGAATATACCATTTTCTTTTTGAACTATGGCTTTTCTTTTATTGATGTTTTTGCGCGGATAGTAATCTTTCTGTCAGTTTTTAATGGCGTTGTATAAACATTTTAAAGAGGCATAAAAGTAAGATAGTGTAACTTTTAAGGTTATTTTAAAGTCTACCGGTCACTTTTAGATGTAATTGTATACTGTGTAATTATTGATCTTACTGAATGCGTAGTTTCACTCTCAAACTTCTCTCCATGGGATAATTCAAAACTATTCGTCATTTTGAAAATTTTTGGTCGACAAGATATCATTGTTTCCGTATCAAAAGGTACAAATTCGTCCCTATGGCTAGTCCTATCTGAAATTTTGGCTGTTGGCTGTGATTCGTGAATCATAGCGGTGAAAGCAAAATAAAAAACTTTTAAGCTGATGAACTCCGAAAGTAAAGATATATCAAAATACAAACCTGTCCTCCAACAACCGCTTCTTTAACGTCCATAACTGAAGTATGGCCAAGTGACACTGTTAAAATGTGTAAGAACTTGTATTATTGCACTTTACGCAAACTTTCGATGTTGATAACGCTATTGATTTTAAGCGAGTAACAGAAAATAAAACTTGAATATTCCTGTCGGACAATCAATTATGATAATCCTTATCACGCATATTCACATAAGCCTAGAATTAGCAGTCATCTCTTGTTTGGTGAATAAGAGTGTATAAGACTTTCAAAATACGTACCTTTTAAAACTTGGCAATAACCTCATATACGTTCAAGCATCGCCTAGCAACAACAAGAGGCCCTAAGCTTGATTTACATTCAACTTCAAATTGGAAACAGTATACTCTGTTGAATAGACCTAAAGTCTCTGAATTCGGTCAATCGCACTTTTTTTGATATAAAAGGATATTGTTTCAGGTTTTCAGATTATAGTATCACAAAGTATTGGAGACTGACTTGATTGCTGGAAATAGATAGGCCTACATCAGTTCCTATCCGGTGAGTATTCTCTTTTTTATTGACACCCCCTATTTAAGTTGTTAAACTCATCCATGAGTATGTTGTATCACGTGACCCGAAGGCAATATGGCGGTGAAAGTCGATTCGAGCAGACAACGAGTTAGCAGTTTAAATAAAATTTCTGTAGAGATCGAGCTAACAATAAAATTTTTCACAGTTTTAGAATAAAAAGAGAAATATAATGTCAAGTTTGACCAACCAATAAAGTTGAATAAATCATGATATCCGCTCTAGTTTCTCGTTTTGTGATGTCAGTATCGTGTTGTTTTTAATCAATGGTTATTGCTTTGAAGAATATTAAAATATAATATTTCAATTACAGATTAGTTTTTGGAACTTTATACCCTGCATATGCTTCTTATAAGGCAATTAAAACGAGAAATACTAAAGAATATGTATGTAGAATTATTGACTAATTTTTTTATTAACCATTTGGCTATTGCATTACTTTCAATCATATAAATATATGTTATTTGTGAAAACTATTTCTCCCCTAGTTAAAATGGATGATGTACTGGGTTATATTCGCATTATTTACGTGTGCCGAAACTGTGGCTGATTTATTCGTATGCTGGTAAGTTGTCGTTTGTTCAACAGATGTTGCTGTTTGTTCCATTTTCTAATCCCTCTAATTATAAATTATTCATTACAGGCTTCCTTTCTACTACGAATTGAAGATTGTATTTATAATTTGGTTGTTATCTCCAGCAACTCAAGGCTCAAAAATTATATATAAGAAAATTGTTCATCGGCAATTAGCTAAACATGAAGAAGAGATCGATACATATATCGAACAAGCCTCAGATAAAGGCTACTCTGCACTGTTAGAGATTGGTTCCAGAGGCTTAAGCTATGCCACAAATGTCGTACTCACTACAGCAATGAAGGTACATATTTATCGATTCAAACATCAGTCTTATTTGCTTGATTTATTTGCTTTTTAATAGGGTCAAACAGCAGTTGCTGATCATTTGAGGCGAAGCTACAGTTTGAACGACGTCGGTTCAAATCAGCTGTTTGAAGGACCTTCTCCAACTGACTCAGAAATTGTAATTGAAAGAAAGCAGAAGAAAGAACGTACAAAAAAACAATCGGCAAAAGCCAGCTCTGACCTCTCATCTGTTGATGAAGAGGACGATGACGATTCAAAAATTTCTTCATCAAAACGTCAGGTATGAATATACGAATTGCTAATAATTTTTTAAAATTTCCGCCAATGAACGAGTTTCAAGAAACTTTCCTGCGTGTAACGCCATCTTTTGACAGCTTCAGAACACATACTCTCTCGAGGAGAAAATTTGTAACGCAACTGGCGATTCCAATGTGAAACAGCGCTGGAAACGGCGATCAGGCGATGATTAAAAAACATCGATTCTCGCGTGTACTTAATGCTTCATTTTCTAAAATACTAACAGCATGTTTCAGAGACTTGATTGGTTTTTTTTTCAGCTTGATGCTTATGGAACGTTACCTAGAACCCGTCGTTCTGCCCGATCAACCAAAAAGAGTTGATAACAAATTTTTTTTAACTTCTATGACTAATGACCATAATGTTTTTCATTACATACTGTATGGATATTTCTCACTATACAAAAATTTTATGTTATTATTTTCTTTACACTCTCTGCATGATTATTAAATTGGATATTGGTATGCGTGTGTGTAAATGTATAAATAAAAGCGTTTTATCGCTTTTATGTTTAAAAAATTTACTTAAATAAAATTATTTGTGCGGTGTTAGATGGCAGCACCTGTTAAACCAGTCGAGAGTAAGAGATTTAGTAAAAAGGGGGCGGCGTTTATTGTAATGCTTTTGAAGGAAGAGAAGCTAAGCAATAAATCAATATTCGGTTATAGAGGGTATAATTGCGAGAGAATAGCGTGTAGAATGTAACTCGAATCTAGTCAGCTTACTAGGATAGTGGTATGTCGTTAGCGAGTGAAACGTTCAATTAGGGGCGCTTTGTGAAGCAAGTCAATGACTATTATGCCGAGCGCAGATCGCATCAAGAGAGACGCTGCGTCATTGGGGCGTCAATGGCCCGAAACGTGTCCATTCTGAAGAGTGTTCCGCGTCACTCGTTCGAACGATCTGGGTGTCTCGATCAGACGCTTGTAGCTATTGACGTTCAACACGTAGAACTGCTTTATTCCTATTTGTCAATCGATTAACAAAGGTGAAGTGAAGAAGAAAGTAAAAGGAATGAAGAAAAAAGTGGCGGAAAAATCAGTTCTCTAGACGGCTATCGAATCGCGAATCGGTGGCACACTAGAGGGAGTAGAGAATTTTGTCAAGCTCCATTTCACTTCCATTTAATGGTCACTGCATCATTTGCTTGCAGTGAGCAACGATATCATGTATATAATTAGAAAAAAAACGGAGAGGGTAAGAAAGAAAAAGAAAAAAGTCGCCTCGCTACTTCACATCTTTGACCCCGCCCGACCGAAAAAAAGGAAAGGCAGTTTTAGATATATGGGGGTGGAAGGCGATTACCGCCGCATACTCTTCTATCGCAAATAATCCAATGATGTGCTCGAATGCAGTCTCTTCTATACTTTCTCCTCTTCCTATTGCCAATCTCTTTTGCGCATGTCATAGTGCTAATGGGCTAACCGTCCACTCTTTTCAACCTGCCACTTCGAGTTCTCTTCCTATTATATTCTGTTGTACTGTATACATTGTATATGACCCTCTTCTATTTTCTCCCTTTAAAATGAGCAATTTGTCGCGTGCGCTATTTAGCAAGGAAGCTTAAGTACGGTCGATTACTTTCCGCTAGCGGGTAGTCTCTCCCGGGGAAGAAACGTTGCCACGGATGGATCGGAAAAGCGAGAAAATCCCATATGATGTAGAAATTCCGAAAATCACAGTTATTGACGCTGAGCCACTCGAGAAGCGTCTAAATTGCACTTAATGAAAAGGTGTAATATTGTTAAAAGGAAACGCTACAAAATGCTATAAATAAACGGCACGAGCTGCAAAGTCGGCGTCTAAGTAGTGGGAAATTGAATGAAGATCGAGTGCAGCTATTCAATTAGCATCATATCAT